CTTAACCCAAAAACTTCTCATTTATTTAATCGCTCGCCTCATATTGACGTAACAAGACAGATCGCCCTCCCGTTATCGTGCATTGCTCCGATAATGACACCGTGATATTGTGTTTGATGAACACTTGTGAAAGCATTCCTTAGCGTGAGAATCCGATCGGGTACGCTAACGCCAGAATTGGGTCGTTTTGATTTAGTTTAGGGAAATTCTTAGTTACAGGTAGTAACTATATATAAATAAGTAAATATTTTTCAGGACATAATTGAATATTTCGGGACATAAATATTCTGATAAACATACTTTTCTAAATGAATACATTTTATAGATGTATAAACACCCAGTAACCAGAAAAAAAACTATGTCCATCACAGGTAGTGGGAATCAAACCTACACCCTCAAGAGACAGGCTCACTATCCATTTCGCCAATTGGTTCGTCCAGAGGATTTAGTCGTTATTTACTGGAAATCAGTCTCATGTTGTTTAACGAAGTCTTTTTTTTATGTGAGAAGGTGGCATGCGAGCTGGCGGATCACCTCATGTTAAGTGATAACCGCCCATGGACATTTGCAACAACCCAGGGTTTGCAGATGCGTTGCCACCTTTCAATAAAGTGGACGCCGGTTAGGGTGACCATTCATAAGTGTAGGGATGTATGTCTAAGATGCCAGGTCGGCCTGATTTTTCGGAAAATGCCTGTATAAAATTTAAAAAAACTTGCGCAACAAAGTCGTACCAATCTTCGAAAAACGACAAAAGGGCGCGAAATTTTGAAATGCGCGTGAAATGTTAACCCTAGCACCGGTTATCTCAGTTACCTGACGAAGCGCAGAAGTGTAACACTTCCACTTCACGAGTTCATGCCGCTCTATTGTGACGTTGTGGTATTCCCCGGACGGACCTGCCGATTCGTGCAACAGTGAGGGTTGTTGCGTGGCTTATTCGCGATCTGATTCGTGCGAATAATATAGGATTTAGTTTTAAATATTTTAGTGATGATTTGTACACACTACCAAACTTTTATATTGTGTTTTCTTGTACCTATTTTTTTTTTCAAAGGGAAGGAATGCCTTTAGTATGATGTTCACCTGGTGTAATGTCATTTCTCTCATGATTCTCTGCAATATAGTGAGATTGGGATCGGGAAACCAGTAAAGTGATTAGGGTGGCCTTCCAGCTTTTTTATATCCCACATGAAATGTTGAAATGTTAGCTATAAACAAAAAAAAACAAATATTATATATAATAGATAAAAATTTGTTACATAGTAACAAATTTTTTTTGCTCACATGAAAAATACACATTTTAATGAAACTAGTTCCAGGACTTTTAGAATAATTAACAGAATTAATTACGGGAAGACTTAAAAAGGTGTAAAGTGATAGGTGGTGTAAAATGACAACATCTTTCAGGAGGTGTTTTATTGGCTGTAATTTTGGGAATTCAATAAGCTGTTTTTATTTTTATGCGCATGATGACGTAACACACGTTAAACTTTAATGAATACGAATAGTTTTCCTTATACTGGCCTCATGAATGACGTGACGTTACTGAATGGCTTACTACGTACGCGTGAAACATCGTTTTATACATGACGTCAGTGCAGTTTTTGACTGCCGGGCATTTGCCTTTGGATCAATCTTTATCGTTAATAATAATTATTATTATTCACCGCACATTACAGGAAAAATGTTAGTGGAAATGTTATTCTAGGCAAATGATGCCTAAAAATTATAGAATGTTAAGACTGAGTATGATTTACGTTACCTTAGAAATATTTTTAGGTACTTAATTTGTGAATTTTAAAATTAATAAAATAGGCAGGCATTTTTCTTTACATTTTTTTTCTTTGCCCACTAAAAAACAAAACACTCAAAGTTCAAAAGCGAATCGACGCCTTCAATACCCTAAACCTGGTATAATATAAACCTGTCATAGTCACCGGAAGGTTTACGTCAGAACAACTTTCGCGCGAAACGAATAAGGGCGAGCGTGGGCATCGCCGTCGCCGCACGCCCACGTCCGGATGTCTGACGAAACGCCTTAGCTTAGCCGAAAATAGAGCCCGCGATAGTGTAGCGAATGCCTTATTTTGTTGTTGGCGTATAAGAAATTTCTTCTGAAACGCCTTAGCTTAGCCGAAAATAGCGCCCGCGATAGTGTCGCGAATGCCTTATTCTGTTGCTAGCCTATATTAGAGAAATTTCCACACCCAAGGTTCTTTTTTTTTTCGCCTTCGCCCATAGACATGCCTAAAATAGCGCGTCACAGTGTAGTTATATGCCGCCCACAAAATCTGACAGATTCGTTACTTCTTCTTTATCGTGTTTCTATTCCAACTGTGGGATTGGCACAACATTTTAATTATGTTGTTAATGGTATCAGCTAGGGATCTTACGATCGGCCACCAGCCTAACGTCAACTACTTATTGGGAATGAACACCCAGAATATCCGGAACAATTATCTATGGGTCGCTCAAATACTTGTCCCGTGTACGAATTGAACCCAACATCCCCGCCGCCGAAGCCAATAGCTTAAGAACGGTACTACCGAGTCTATGCCACCCAGTTATCAGATTTTGTTGCAAGACTAAGGTATCATTGGTGGTCTCTCTCTTTAACAAAACTTTTTGGATGGAATAACTAAAATAAAATCTTTGGAAAAATAACTTCCATACATTTATCCTTGAATCGTTAAATTATAAAATAAGTACGTGGAGACCTACTATAATGATTTTAACTATATTTTTAAACTTTCAATATAAAAGTTGTTTTGATTATTTATTGATAAAGATCGTCATAAGATAAATACTAATTATATATTATAAAGTATAGTAATAATAATATGTTGAGAATACATTCATGTGTTTGTATTATATATTACACTGTTGTTCCTGTCTTGTGAAATATTTTTCCAAAGTTTATTTTTACAAGTGCCGATGTTCAAGAAGAAACAAAACGTAAAACGTAATACGTGTGAAACGTAACTGCATATCTTCGTTACTTATTTTACTGGTCGTTTCCGTTCCAAATAATTTTTCGGATATCACACGCCACAGCTGCATTTCATATGTGAATATCTCTGTAACAGATGCCAGGGTTTCATTTTTACAAAGATTAATTTAATCGTTGCTAACTCATGCATTCAGATAAATATACTACTTTCTTATAAGGTAAATCGGTATTGTAACTTTTTGTTCAGACATTATGCATTAATTAAGGTTAATAATAAATCCATGAAAACAAACGTATCCGTTGACTTGCCGATTAGAGATTTTGTCATATCCTAATTTGTATGAAATTTTTTGTTGATATCTAGTGTTCAGACTGGTATTTACTTTTCAATACAATGTTTTGTATGAAGTATATTATATATAAAAGATCTAGATAATTAAGCTTTCTTAAGAAATTAAGACTGTCGTAATGTTCGTCGCTAAATCTGATAATGTAATTACATAACTAATTTAAATTTAACGCAATTTTTTGATTTGTTTGCTATTAGTAATTAAGTTATTTGCCAGCTAATTAAAAATCGTTTGAAAGTCAGGTTGGACGTTGATTAGTATTGTGATTATTTTCATTAATGATATAAGGTAATAACTTGCTTGTCGTATTTAATGATGATGAGATATTACTTATCTGAGCGGTTTAAAGTCAAATGCTCAAATACACAAAACAATAGTATCGAACATAATATCGAAAAGCCATGTTTAAGTTATGCTAGAAGATTTTCTTTTTTTCTTAGTTTTAGCCATACCGTAGGAAGAGATAATCCCGCATTGTTGTGGAGTTTAACGAACACAATTTAATAGACACAAGTACTCAGATCCAGAACAATTATCTGTAGATCACATAATTACTCACCCGGGGTGGGAATCGAGCCCAAGATGTGTGAAATCTACCCTAGCCTATAGACTGCATCAACCTAGTCATCGAAGAATATATCTAATTATTCTTTGTCGTCTCAAAATTCATAACGTGAACGTAAAAATACGCTTTCCTACTTTATGATATATCATTAAAATATTAAATATTATGTGCTAGGTATTTTTTGGATTTTAATTGATTTTATATCAATTAATATAATATGCTACAAACGTACAAACACGATACAGAATCGAGTCTATTCGACCAGAATTGCTTACTTTTTGTTATCTAATCCTTCGACGTCCGTATTTGACCCATTTTTTGGTCGGCCAAGTGTTTAGTTATGTCGTATTTGAATAAAAATTAAGAACGGCGATAACAGTGGTGGCGGTTTGGGCAATTTACGGGGTTATTAACATTGTCGAAGAATCCGCAAGTGAAATCTGATTACTTGCCTTAAATACGAATTACTTTTACTTCACATTTTTACGAGGCTGCGGAGATGCACGGAACCGACGCCGTTTGTATATTAATCATAAGGACTATGCCATTCTAGCAGCGTTTGTTCACTTGAATATGCTTTTGTTTAACACTTTGACGTGTGGCTTATCGTTCGTAAGTTTATTTCTGTGCTCATTATCACTGTCTAGTCTTACATGGGCGATAACGTGTTACTTAATAGTATCCAGTTGTCATAACAACATTCCGACGCCTCGTGTGTGTTTATTTGTGAATTACGAGAAATAAAATCACACAAGTTATATCTGCCGTGTAGCTATTTCGTATACGAATAGCACATAGACAGGTGATTGGGAACGTTATCTCTAGGTCACTTAAACTTGTACTAAGGGAGGAAGCCGGCCGATAGGCGTACAAAACAATGACATAACGAAACGAATTAACAAGCTTATGTAAGGTATTGTTTTGGCTATGAAGTAGGGATACCACCTGCATAGAAAGATTGTTTTTGAGTATAGGCAATTGGCGCAAACGTATTAAAATGTTGACTTGTTTAAGCAACTATTAACTAGAACTTAAAATAACCGTCACTGTTCTGTGGTGCGTCAAAATACGCGTTCCAAATCAAACATGTTCAAGGGTCCATTTCGGTGTTTTAAACGACATTATGGCAACGATGCAACGCCTAGATTACGAATTGAAGTATACAGTGCGCGCTGAACACTATCTGCTGGGGCTACGCGCGCATGTTGCGATGATAACGCGTCCAGCTTATCAGTTCGAAGCTTCCGTCGCACAACTCCTGCTCCGGATCGAGTTATATGCGAGGGTAACTTGTAACTTGTGTGATTACATGCACATATTACAGTATGCGTACTTTACTGCTATCACGCTATTTACGGCTATTACGATTTTTAAGCGTCTCCGTCAATGTCCTATTAATATGTACTGTTTGATTTTTGAAAAGCAAATAAAAATAGACAGGATGTTTCAAACAAGCTTTATTTTAAGTGCTTTATAGTAAGTAGGTAGTATCGATTTATTTTGTTTTATAGTATCTGCGAAAGCAACGATCTTTGCCACCGTACCCCGTACTTTCATACTTTAATTTTTCTTACCTCGTGTCGATTTCGTGACATGTTTTTGGATCCGCATAGAATGCGAACGATTCTTGATAACTACGTTTCTCCTAAATATAGGAAATGTGACTCTAACGTTCCGGATCACATCGACGACTCGCGACTATTATGGCAATACGGTATATTATGACGATACAACTTATAAGACCTCCTATATGACTCCTTGCTACAAAACAACGCAAGTGGCCATTAGAGAAAAGTTTCGTCCCGCATAGTTGTTATGATGTCCCCATTTTCGTATTAGCGAAATCGGGAGGCTGAGTCGGCCGAGATCCTCAGGTTATGTAATAGGCTCCATTGTGGCGACAGACGCCCGCTAGACGGCGCCGGGACGGCGGGCGCCGCGAGGGAGACGGCAAACTCCTCGGTAACTATCTCCCTCGCGCCGAGACAACTGGCGCCCAGCATGGAACCAGCGTCTCTACGTACACTGGAGAGCATCGGAAATCCATAGTTTCGCCTCCTGCACCTTATACCTTTCCAATAAGGTTCATAAAGTTCCACAGATAAAAGCCTTAGCACGCGACTGTACTTTTAGAAGTTTTCACACGAAATCTTTATACTTTTTTGATATGCTGAAATTTACAGTAGCTTTTCCAATTTCGGTAGTTTTGAATTATCGCTATAACATTTGGGAAAGAGGAGTTATACCTGAGATTGTTTCTAAAGTTTTCTTTTTGTCTTACTTATTTTTTTATTGAGTAAATTGATAACTAAAAGCTTTAGCTTTTAGTTGTCAATTTTTGTAAGTTCATAGTAAATATTTTTTTATGAACATTTTTTCATCTCATTATTCGTCTTATTCGTATTCTTTATCGTATTTTTTCTTATTATTAACTACCTGTGCCAGAATTAAAAAAAAATCTAAAATAAAAGTAGCCTAAGTTACTACTTATTACATCAGCTATCTGCCAATGAAAGTCCCGCCCAAATCGGTACAGCCGTTTCAGAGATTAGCCGGAACAAACAGACAGACAGTCAGACAAAAATTGTAAAAAATGTTATTTTGGTGTATGTACCGTGTATACATCCATATACATTTAGTAAAAAGCGGTTATTTTAATATTACAAACAGACACTCCAATTTTATTTATCTGTAGAGATAATTTGCCATTAAAGTACGAACATGTTATTGCAATTATAAATTGAATAATCAGAGACATTGTCGGCATTAGATAAAGCAGAATTATTCTTTTATTAAACCTTGTTCCGTCTTCTGGATTCAAAGAAATAGTTTTCTCATTGGATAGCAGAGGAATAAGTGATTAACAGAGGAATAAGGGTAACAAAAGGTATTTCAGTTTATAAATTTATCATTATCATAATCAGACTTTCTTCTTTTCCAGGTATAAAGTCTGCAATGTGATCGGGACACAATCAAAAACACGCCAAATCTAGTGCCTTATTTAAATAAACAAACAATCCTACAGAGTGCCTAACTAAATTATATTACACTTTTAAATATTAACACATCACAAATCAATCGAACGAAAAAACAACGAGAAACGAAATTATATTTGGTGAGTACGTAACTATTTTATTTTATTATAATTGTTATTACTTTAATTTGTCACCAAAGTATCCCAATTAATGTTTTTTTCTTATGTGTATTCATAAAGACGTTAAATGTGTCTCATGCTTTTAATCAACCATTTGTTACCTTATCTATTGGTCTAATTATTGGCGAAATATTTTACTCGTTGAGCGTAATCTTATTTTAGTAATTAAAAAGTACTGTTTACTTATTTTTTTGTTCATTTTACTGAACCACATAACTCTTGAACCGGCAACTTTGGGTGCACGCTGATAGCGTAGAGTTATAGCCAACAAGTTAAAGAAGGGGCATAAAGTAGTTTTAAAGTAAGACCTGTCAAGACTTCGCCAAATTTTAGCAGTTCCCATTTCATTCCGTACAACAAAAACTGAAAAAAAATTTCCCGGCAAAGTTATTTCTTTTGAGAAAAACGTTTAATAAAAATTGGTCATCAGAATGACGAGATCTTTCGATACGTATTTTTTTAATGGCATTTGTAACAAAAAATCCTCTGTCCCTCATAAATAGCAGTTTCGACCCAGTGTGCAACGGCTCAGCTTTTTTATGATAGAAGATGGCAACCGTTGACATTTGCAACACCTGTAGGATTGCAGACGCGTTATATTTCTTTATTTTATCACACTACTAAACACATAAAGAACATCGACGCTTACAGCATGATCTACTTTATATTAATGTTCAATGTTAAATTTAAGTTAACACAGTAGACTTATAGATAAATATCTAGATATTTTTTTGTTTCAATACATTTCATTTATTTTTGTGGACAATATTTTAAGGCAGAATCCTGATATAGAAATCTATAGAAAATTTCTAAACAGTATAAAAAGAAAACACTACTATAGGATAATAAACGTTTTATAATTTATATACTATGTTCCAATCGTACATTGTATTTGCTCAGAGTATTAGGCATAACATTTCATAAGCACTTCAGACACCACCTCTGCATTAACTCGCTTTGTTGATATTTGTTTGACATATCGGCTAGCGTTTACAATATATTCGCAACATAAACTCTGAAGTGGTTGGAGTGCTTACGCACAGGCTCTGGAACAAACTGGTTCTACGAATAAGTACTTTTGTTTTGGTACATCGGTAACCCTATATTTGCATTGGCTGAGCGTTACTCGGAATTAATTGCAATTTAATCTGACAAAGTCATCTCATGCCTCTTATGAGGCAGACACACGCGGACGTATTCCGTGTGACTATGCGTTTTTAATTATAAGGACAAACGTAAGGTGTTACAGGTATGCGTCGCCATAATGGTTGTGGTTTGACACGCAATTCTTTTTGTAAGGTTTGAAAAAGAACTGTCTATTTATAACAGTAGTTATTTAGCTTTTGTGTTTACTATATCATACTACATCAATACTTATCTCCCGGCACGGAAGTAGTCATTAGACAGTTTATGACTCTGTTGATTGCCTTCACGCGTGTGTGCAATGTGTATCATCCGATATTAAAATTTTTCATAATGTTAACTCTAAAATTAACTCTAGATATTAGCGAACGATAAACATGCGGGGTCGGCTCGCGATTATAAACATTTACATAAGCGAGCGCCTCGGGCGACGGCGCAGAAGTAATTTCGTTGGACGCGAGGAGTCCTCGGGTTCAACGCATCATCGCAGTTGACGCCTTGATTGTTACAATTGATTGCGTTTACCCCCGATAAATTTGCTTTGTCCGTTCTTATGTTTTGTGCGTTTATTGGTTGTACCAAAACGACGCCTTCAAGGCGATAACAAGCGGGTGTAATCCACGCTAGGTCTTAGGTAGCCACAGCCGCTCCTTTTTAGCTAACAGGTTATGTGTAACCATTAAGCGCGGAAGTGTAACTAGAGTTCTTGGCGCCATGCTTTCCCAAACAGGTTCATTAGGCGATTTGTTTATTAGCTTTTATCGGTGGAAAGCGCTTGGCTTAGTATTATGATATGGGTGTATTATTTTCGATCGAGGTAATGATTTTAATATTTTATTAGAGCCTAGGCTACGATCTCCGTCCCAGTACAGTCCAGTAGTACAAAACCTATCCAACTACAGAAAGATGTAAGACAGGGAGATGATCCCGAAAGTCTTCACCGCTGCGTTAGAGTATATTTCCAGGCTTCTGGACTGAAAAGGACAATGGTGAACCACCTTCGATTTGCCGACGACATAGCCATCATAGTAGAATCGCTGGAGGACCTTGGTACTATGCTCAAATACCTAAACAGTGTCTCCCAACGGGAGGGCCTTAAGATGAACATGGACAAGACTAAGATCATGTTGAATGCAATCATGTCACGTATATACCGGTTGTTGTACAAGTACGTTTACCTAGGACGGCTAGTAGGGTTAGATAAGACCAACATCAACGCAGAGTCAATCGGCGAATCCGATTGGCAGCGTGCGGGAAATTCGGCATATCTGCTCGTCTAAAATACCTCAATGTAAAAGTTATGTGTTGCCACTGATGACATACGGAACCAAGACGTGGTCCTTAACTGCTGGCCGAAAGAGGAAGCTCAAAGTCACTCAGCGGGCTATGGAGCGGGCTATGGAGCGGGCTATGCTTGTTATTTCTTTGCGTGATAAAGTTCGCAAAAAAGATATACGCATTAGAACAGAGATAACCGACATAGCTCAGAGGCGCAGGAAAAAGGGTTCTTGAGTGGCTGCCTCGTATTAGCCATCGCAGAGTAGGTCGACTTCCCACTAAATGGAGTGACGACCTGTGCAAATGTGCGGGTAGTCGATGGATGCAGGCGACTCAGAGAATCGTTACCTTGTGGCAGACTGTGGGCGACGCCTAAGTTCAGCAGTGCAATGAAAAAGGTGATAATGATGATTCGTGCCGAACGTCCTTGTTAAATTTCTAAAGAATATGGAACAAAAGATGTATTGCACTGTTCTTACGAGAACCGAGCCCAGCCGGAGTTGTAGTTGATGTCGATAGCTTTTAATCAACGCAAAATACGACTCAGTGTGCAAGCACTCAATTTATGTTCCAAAGTAACAAGCTATAGATGTGTCATTGCTGGGCGAAGGCCATACAAAGTCTATACAAAGGGTAATAGTGTATAAACTTTGCCGCATAATCCACCACGCCAACTACTGCGGATTGTCGGATTTTCAAATCATTGAATTTTTTTTCTAAAATTGGCAGGTTTCCTCACGATATATTCTTTCACCGCTAATCACTTGATAAGTTAGCACTTAAAGTAACAATTTCATCGGCGCAGGTTGCTTTCTGTACATTGAATTAAAAGCGAGCTATCATGGCTTCACTAAGAAGATAATTAAAATTTTGATGCTAATCACAATGTTAAGAAATTGTAAAAACACCCACACCACGTGTCAACCATATACAAAAACACCCGAGAAAGTTGGCTTGTATGAGACATATAAAAAAAATATTTCATTATTATGGGATGGACGCAAGGGCACCACGAGTGAACCAGGACCACAGAGCAGTTTCTGCTCTGCTCGAATGGCTCGTCTGCTGAAAGACCATGGTCTCAGAAGATCGGCATTAAGTGGAAGAATTACACTTTCACTTACCGTATGGTTGGTGAGGGAACCGGGGCAGTGGAATTGCCTGCTCGCTTGCCAACTTTCACATAAAAAGAATTATATCTTCTGCATAGAAGAAGGCTATGATTGGGCTGAGTTTCATATTTTAACCTTGTGATGGGTAGACTCGAAGTTCGCTGGCTGTCGCGACTCAAAGCATACGATCCATAATAATTGCATATATTTGCCGAGTTTTTACAATTTTTAATTACCACACAAGATCTCATCGATATACAAAGACTTGTCTCTGAATTGAACAGATATTGCATTCACAAACAAATATGGAAAACGTAAATATGTATTAATTAAGATTGTTGTCTAAAAATACTTTGCCCTTTAATACTTTTCTTTTAGTCTATAAGGTCGAAATTGTTTTGTTAAATGTTCAAGCCTGCCAAGCTCGAATCTGTGTCAAAATGTGACATTAAGGCCTAATGGATTTTGTGTCGTTATCTAAATTGATTATTAAAAATTTTCGTATTTAAACCATCTTTTGAGATTGATTTACATTGATTTCATTTTAAATTTTTTTTTTTTTCAAGTTCCATCTCCATTCTGGAAACCAGTTCGGAGTTCATCGTCATTATATTTACGAGATGTGTTTAGTAAAGGAATTAAATGCACGCTTAAATGTCGTATATTAATATCAAGTATAAATAATTATATCCATATGTTCACAACCCTGCAAGATATCAAAATCTACCATACATAAAAACTCAAGATAATCTTATTTAGTTTACTTAATTTAAAAGCTATAACTTTTAACATACGTTTCGACATACAGAAAGACGAAAACTCTGTAAAACCTGTTTGTTATGCCATTGCAATTTTATTATAGAACACCATGTATTTTGTTAACTTGTAGATTTAGCTTGTGCTGTGAAATTCAATTTCCGGAATATAACTGATACTGGACTCGTTGTTTTTGGCTAGATTTTTACAGATTTTATTTAAAATGTTAATGTATTTTAAAATTTTAAACTTCTCAAAAGTCAAATAAAATTGTATTCTTTTATATTGATTTAATTCAATATGTCATCATTATCGTAAATATTGCTAATGCAAGTCGATCGAAAACGCTTCCGGTCGCACCAAGTCCATCGGCGTGGCTCTACATCATTCCGTGACATGACGAAGGGACTAATAGCACGAGCGGAGGCCCCGAAAAATAAAAAAAAATAACACAAGCCACCCAAGTTTTACGCCGCGATACGAATCAATAAACAAAATCACGATCTCCGGAAATCCGAGCGGAGTTCGAGATGCATTTCCATCTTTCGACGTCACCTCACCCTCCGAATATCGTCCCCAAAGTTCGTTCCCTTCGGCGGCGCGCAAGTGCGAGCGGGACGCGCGGCTGACGGGAGCAGGGCGCGTGCGCGGCACAACCCCTCGTGAGCGCTGGAGAACGGCTTGATAGTGGCAAGCGCGAGGTCCTGGCGCGCTGCCGGGGGTCCAAGAGCATTCCACCGTGGGTCGTCCGCGGAGGCGGTGGTCTCCGCTCTCTCACATCCCCGAAGGCAGCCCCGCCGAGTCCAGAACCGTCGGCAGCTGAATCACCACTCGACGCTGCCAGCGAGAGTCCACTTCGCATCCAGAAACCCCTCGACGTCCATACTCTCTATTCACGATTGATAGTAAATCGCTCGCACCGCAATAACACGATTTCGAGGTGCCGAAGGGACGCGAGAGAGCGAGAGGGTAGGTCGCAGCGCATTCTAAAGTGGGAACGAGACGACGGGATGAGCCAGCGCTTCGGGACGAGGTAAGTGCACCCCCGTTACAAACGGCCACGTGTTCATGAAGTTTCCCTTTTTCAGGTCAATCGCGGCGGTTTGTTTCGTTGCGTTTTCGTTGTCGTTTTCGTTCCTCGTTCCGCTACGCCTTGGCCGCCCTTTTGTATATCAATTGGGAACCACGATTTTACGTGTTTCTAAAAATTCGTTTAGTATAAAACAGAACTCTCAATGGTATCGTTTTATTCAGTAGTTGAAGTAATTATTTTTTACTTCGCTATACTACATACTTTACTATTTTATAATAGCATATTATTCATATTCTGTTCATAATTCTGCATCGTACCTTGAAAATAATTGTTATTAAAAAGCCAAATGCGATAAACATCACGTAAAAGTGCGACACCTATTGTTTAAATTTCCATTTCATTCAATAATTCCAGCTTTAACCGAAAAAACGTTTTACATAAAACGCGTTACGTTTTAAACTTTCTCTTTAAATTTTCCGCTTTCCACAAACAATTAAACTTGGCCAGGCTTTTCTATACAGGGTTCATAGTTTACAGGTTTTAGTTTATGGAGCTGTTCGCGATGTCGCTGTGGTGTAAATAAATATACATAATTGAAACATAGTTGCCTTAAAAAGCAAATGCTGTTGGTTATTATCCAATTTTATTGTTAAATTTAGTAATTTTGTATCAAAATAGTTTTTTTTGTCCATTCTCAAGATATGAAATCAGAGCATTGACGTAATTCTCGGAATAAATCATGATGGACGTGAGGCTTCACATTTTTTGTGTGAGACGGTGGCAAATGATCTAGTGATTCACCTGATGTTAAGTGATAACTGCCGCCCATTTACATTTGCAACCCGAGTGCGGGTTTCAGAAGCGTTTCCAAATTTTAGTAAAGTGGGCCCCAGCTACTTCACTCACTAAATGTAATGCTGAAATATAACACATCCACATCAAACCGGTCTTCTGTGAGGTCGTGATACTTACCCGGACAGACCTGCCCATTCGTGTAACAGCGAAGACAGTTGCGTGACCCAACCATAGTAAACTTCCGATAAACAGTCCGTCTTCAAAAAAGGAGGGTCTCAAAAAAGGAGGGTTTAGAATTTTTGTTCGTTACTTCAGAACTCCGTTATTTATGAACAGATTTCAAAATACTTTTGTGTTTAGTTTGGCCCAGCTGCCACGTGATTCTTACTATTCAATTGTAATTTTACTTGGCTAGAACTTTGGACTCCCGAGAAACATCATGGGACTCCTCAAAATCAAATATAAAATGCTTAGTGGCTAAGATATTTGAAATCGGTTTTGCCTTTTATTATTTCAATTTTTTTAAAGTGATAATTTACATTTTTCTGAGGCGACAGAATCACACAGCGAACACTGTTGGTGCAGGTTTAATCAACTAGTACATAATCGGTTATTTAGTAAACTGACGTCGATACATGAAACGAGTTCAATTTACATAAAAAAAAATAATTTCTCCGGAGCTGTGATCAGAAACAAGATATCAGTCTGATAGATAGCAACTAGCCTAAGTTCATCACCGAAATATGAAGCCTTAACGATCTTAAACCTTTAATAGAAACTCCAACGTCACTAAATCGATTATGGTAGACGTGTACAAATGCTTTTTGCCATGTTTTTTCGCGATATCTCCCTCAATGCTAAAAGCACCATTTAGGGAAGAGATAATTTGAAGGTCGCTTGTCAGTGAACTCATAAAAAAAATTGATCACATCAAAAGCCACCATCCCCTTCGTATTTTATCCGAAAACAAGATGAGATTATAAGCACTCATTGCTAGGAGACTAATACCGCGTCCTGATTAGATAATGACGTTGATTGTAATTGCTCGCGCAAACAAACCGTCCGAGGCTTACACGCTTCGCGTAATCATCCTAGCGAGCAATTTGGCTTATTTGCGACGTACCCCCGCCACGTGTAATTGAGTAACGGGGCGTCACGGGCGCTCTAACGTTACGTTATTAGAATCATCGGGTCATTCATTACTGGTTGTAGTCAAGTTAGTTAGGAGGGTTTGTTGCTTTCGCGTGGACTCCAGCGGCGATGATTGCGCGGGGTCCGCGAGTTTGATTGATCGCCGGTGACGGCGTCGTCTTCTAGATCTTTCACCCTTAGAATGCCGCCCTTGTTTGGTTTATTGATGCAGTCGTCGGTGGGCCGGTGGTGTTTGTCCGCGGGACTGTAACTTGTGTTTGTTCCGATCTTTTTGTTCTTCTTTCTTTTATTTAATGTAAATTATTTATTTTATTACATCCTTTTCGTTTCATAAGGTGTAATGTGCGATCACATGTGGAAGATGCTTTGATTAATTTCTGATTTACAGGTTTTTATTTTAATAAAATATGCTTTACGTCTATATACGTCTACTATTTTAATATCACATTATTAAAATTGGTACTTAAACATGTTTCATTCTAACCTAATCAAAATTTTATCTTTCATGCGATACGGTACCCATTATTTTCTCATACATTCATTATAAAACCGGTATAAAACATTAAATTATTCTTACCGCGTAACTATTGACCGCTCCCATTTGTCTGGACATAATCATTTTCGCAGTATCAATAGCTAAAAACACAGTCGACGGCCATCGGGGTCTCGGTCCGCACCGCAACTTCGATGGCCCTGAGATGACATGTCGTAGTTAAACGCACGCATGAACACATGCGCGGCCCTACCCACAGCGGAGGGCCCAAACCCGGCTAACTGGGCCAACCCCAAATCTGGCTAGCCCACCGGTTCTGTGTCAGATGAAGCTTTAATAGTCTCGGGACTGAAAGCAAAAACTTCAGTTAATACAAGATACAAGTATCAATAAAACCACTCGAGTTGCCAATGTACTGGAATCCTTTAGGACGGGGACTCGCTGATGTCTCCTGACTCACCCCACGTCCGTCTCGCGTCCATCCAATCGCCCCTAATTCACTTATGAGAAACGGACTATACGATATCCCGCGACGACGTCCGACCGAGGGAGGGCCCGCATATTCGGCCGCAGGCGCGTCCACAGAATCGTTTGCCACCACCAAACTCTGCGAAATTGATTAACTGCCTTTGTGATTGTTTTTCGAGTAACTTCTTTCGTGAATCGTGGCCAACGTGTCCATGTGATATAATAAAATTTAAAAAGTCATGTTTGGAATTTTTGTCATAAGTTATTCTTATATATATATATATATATTTCATTCTATTGCGACGTAATCATGGTTGTGCGCTACGTTTTCAGGGAAATTCCAAGTTTGTACAAGTAATGTATATACTACTAGGCAAAGGCCACCTCCGTGCTGAGTCCACCACGCTACCCCATTAAGCGCACCAACCCTTGATGTACGTTACATATCTTCGAACATTATCTTGTTATTATTTCGAAAATATGCAGGTTTCTTTACTGCTGAGCACATAACTCAGCAGTTAAAACTAACAATTTCATTGGTACCGGCACCGGGAACCGAACTCAGGTTGCTCGAGTATATTGAATTAAAAGCGAGCGCCCGGATAATGAGTTACAATTTTAAGAACATTTAACAGGCTGTTGACGACTACAGATAATAATCTCAATAGCAGATTTACAATTACCTAACGACCACGCCCAAAATCCCTCCTACGCTCTTCACTCTCCTTGGCACGGCCTTCTCTGGTGCGCGAGACTAGGCGCCCAGGCGCCAGACGCGGCGGCGCCTGAGTCTATCGATCCCCCCCACCGCCCCCACCCCATAATCCGGGTCAAATGACACCATAACGGTAGAGGGGATAACGCATGCGCAAATTCTGTTTGTTCGGATACCATAGGATTATGGATTTCCTCCTACACCCCTATTCTCTCCCAGCAACGAACCTAATCGGACTAGCGGAAGACCCGCAGTGACGCCTCAAGGAACAATGGGTTCGGATCTTAAGATTGGACTGACCACCCAAATGGGTTTGTACACTTAGTCTTGTTTTCTTTTGCTTACACTTTTATACTTCTACTTAGATTTCTAATCTCTAAGCGAATCTGAGGCGTAATCATGAAACATTGGACTTTGTCGGTAAGTTTTTGTACATTTTTTTCATAGGGCAACATTGCTATCTCATTTCATTTGATGTCCTTTCAATCTTTATTTAATGCGTGCGTTTTTTACAACGCATTCTATTTTAGACAAGAATTTCTCAAAAAAATCACTAAGTCACAAGATATGTGAATATGTATGTATGTGTGTGTATATTTATATTGTGTGAATTTTTCATTTTATTTTCTTATTTGTTAACTGGTTCAAACATTTTCCTGCAATTTTATAAAATATTAAACTCTAATTTTGTTTGTAATCTGTAAATTAAAACTCTGTTATTTGGGAAATGATAACTTAAGTTTTAAAAGATAACTTGTAAGCACAAAAATTAGAAGTGGCATCACATTGTGAAAAGCCTTTAAAGTTTATTAATTTTATATTTAACAGTGATATTGAAAAGTAGAGGAAATATTCACTGTTTGGTCTGATATGTATACACAAGTAATAGAGTAAGAAATTAGAGTTCGATGTTTTTTAACATAAAATGACTTTTGTGCGATTCCTACCTACTATTAACTCTAAAAGTCGTAGATATTAAACATCAGTTCAGTGGCGTAGCAAAAGTCCCGTAAAAGTATCTCCATTGCTAAGAACGCCATTGTCCGTCCATTGTCACCAATAAATGAGGGTGGGCGACGTCGAAAAGCGACAATAAGATATAACAGATAACCGGCTAATGGACGTCAATAAACACACCCAAATAAACTGGATACAGCATCGGCCAGTAACTGGATACGTCGACAACGCGTTAACATCACGTCCGTCGAGATGACACGCGCCGTTGTCTCGACAGCTTTCCGTCGGCCCGTGTCGCGCAACCCTTTGTTGCCATTGTCTCGCTCTGAACCGGAGTGCTCCGCTTCGACGTGGCTCGAGGGGTCTTTATTAAATAATAGAGTCTATTAGCGCCCGCGTCGAGTTGATGTGTTTACGCCGCTCTCCTCCCGTCACGCGGGTGTCGCATACGTCTCCGCGTTTTCATTGAACGTTTCGATGAAAATGTGGCAACGCATCTGCAACCCTTCCGGTGTTGCAAATGTCAATAGGCCACGTTGGTCACTTGACATTAGATGAACCGCTAGCACGTTTGCCGCTTTCTCACTTTAAAAAAAATTGAGATGCGGGTGATGAAGTCGCGTGATGTACCCGGTGGATTGAAATGCGTGCTAATTTTTTGTGCACATTTCTCCGGTTCTAAACTGATGCCGTAGATAGCTTAGATTGAATGAAAATACTGTAACTTGGATTTTGGGAAGGTTTTCCTGCGTTTATTGTTTCAAACATTTCATATAGTTAAGTACTTAATTTGATTATATACTTGTCATTAGTCAATTGTTTGTAATTGTATATTTTTTAACTTTATGCTAGTTTTGGAATTCAGGTGTTTGGTTGGAGTATCTCCGTGAGGATGTCGGTTCATACATGTAGGTACCATCGGTGGTTGCTTTGGCTTGTTATCGAACTGCTTTAATTTATGCAAAGCCGACTATCCCTGCGTGATGACTCCATCGGGTCGAATTTTTTAAATGGGTGAGCAATGTTCACCGATTCGCTAAAGTCATAGTGAACGAATTGTGACATCTTCGCTCAATCGGATAATTCGAGGGGTCTTGTCAGTTGGCGATGACGTCATAGGCGATGTCAACAACGGCTTCTATAATAATTTATGACAAGCCCTCGCGTCTTTTGACCCTAACTGAATGGTCAGTCACATCTTTGGTTCCTTTTTCGATGTTAGGTGAAGAGTAGGCGCTTCACCTGATTTCAAGCGATTACTGCTATCCGTGAAGAGTAGGCGCTTCACCTGATTTCATCAGATGAAAGAAAAAATTAAAGGCTTTTCTATTAATTTAATTAACGGCAGTTTTCTGTGGGGGCTCTGGTGCTTCGTCCACCACATCCGATGTGTCCTATTACGCTTTGACGTGCAGAAAAATATACTGCACTAAAAAGAATCACAGTAAACAGTTTTTCGATAAAAATATCCATACTAATATGTAAATGCGATAGTAACTCTGTCTGTCTGTCTCGCTTTCACTCCAAAACTACTGAACCGATTAAAATGAATTTTGGTACACAGATAGTCTAGAGCCTGAGAAAGGACATAGGCTATATATATACTTTTTAATTGGAAAAATGTGCTTTAAAGGGTGGAAAGATATTTATGTCCTTACATAAATATCTTAATATCTTAAGCCCTACATTAATAATCATAAGCCCTTGCTTCAACACGGGCGAAGCCGAGGGCGATAAGCTAGTATATATAGAGAGTTAACAAATCGTTATGCTAAACAAACAGTGTTGACGTAAAAAGGGAAATGAGTGTGATACTTTTACCAACTTCCCGAATGAGCAATACATATTTGATGTATATCTATAATATCTTTACGAGACTACTTGCCCTCCGATGAGAGTGGGAATGAAAATAGTTGCTTTTTTTTAATGTGATACTGTAGCTAGCGAGCTGACGGTTCACCTGATATAGTAACTGTCGCCAATTGACATTTGCAACACCCGTAGGGTTGCAGATGCGTTGCCACCTTTAATAAAGGGAGCCCCGGCTAACTCACTCACCAGACGAAACACAGAAGTATAACACTTCCACTTCACGTCGGTAGTCTGTGAGGTCGTGTTACTTCCCCGGACGGACCTGCCCATTCGTGCAACAGCGAACTGTTGCGTGTCCCTACCACAGTTAATTTATCAAAAGAAAGTAAACAAATTTCACACGAAATCGCAATCGTATTCAACAGAAGGTTAAAGTGATATTTACTTTTTAAAAACATTTTAAAACAGTGTACCGTTTCAAATATAGGCAACATTATATCAGCCAATGCCGATATAATTCAAATGATCGCGTAGCCAACTGGTTTTTAACGATTTCATACCATCCGACCTTCGAAAGTCTGTCTGCTGGAGCGGATCCTGCGGGGCCATTGTTCCTAAATGGATTCGAATGGATTAGCGCGGAGTTAACTGCGATTGATCACTGCACCCTCAGCCCCCGCGCCCTTTTGTTTAACGCCCGGCAAAGGAATAATTCACGGAGTGCCACGTACAGTATTCTCTTTACCTCTCGTTTGAGGAGCTTTACGTCAACTCAAATGCTAGGTACGGTAGGAACGTTAGGAGATATTAATTACACGATCCAATGGTACTGTGATATAACCTTTGTCTTAATTTTTGGTAACGTTCGTTTACGACAAGAACACTTTCTCGAATGAAATTTACATTAGATATATCGGTAGTCCGAAGGAAGCAACTTGATCCTTATTTGGTTACACAAGGTTTACGGTACAGGCAAACTGCCAAATTCCAGTGCGTTCATTAAAGGACGCCATGCCCATAAGGCCGCGAGTTTTTGCACGGAGTTTTGCATAAAACGGATTGGAATTATACTGTGATAGAACCTTTGTCTTAATTTTTAACAACGTTTGGCGGTCTCGAATGCGCTAGTTAATAGTTCACAACAAGAACACTTACTCAAACGACATTTTTACACATATTTAAAATGATTATTTAAAAACTGGAGATGTTATCTTTGATTTTTTCATCAATCTTCAAGTCATTTTGAGACTTTTCATTATTGAAATTTTTCTTAAGTTAAAATCTGGTAAAAGTGCTGCTTCTATGTCGGGAAATTGAGTCTGTAAACATTTCAGCGACCGTTTTAAATTTCATCATCATTCATCTCAATAGTTCGTGGAGGATTGAAAGCTGGAGGATTGAAAGCTACATAAGCGCTACAAAGAATGATCTAAAGCGTGTTATTTTTTTAAGTGAGAAGGTAGCAAGCGAGCCGGCAGCTCAACTGATGTTAGGTTATACATCGCCCATTGACATTTGCCGCACCCGTAGGGTTGCAGATGCGTTGCCACCTTATGATAGCCCCGGCTCACGATACGAAACGCAGAATTATAACATTTCCAGTTCACGTTTTCTGATTTTAAATATTTACTTTTATTTTAACTTCTCCCTGTTTATTCACATGATAATATATGGGCAATCATAATTCATATATCGGTAATAATAGATGATTGAAATAATGGAAATATATAATATAGTGAAAGTTGTCCCCTTAAAGTAAAGATCATGGAATGTATTGCGACATTTTTCATATGTATATTAGTATCAACCATGGTATGAATAGAATGGCGTAACCATTCTACGGCGTCAAGTTTATCACCTCCCTTTATCGTTAAACGCCCGTTAAAGTTATTTTCATCAACTTCTGTGACAATAAAAAAATTCTGTACGTCGCACTTCAATTGTTATATGCGCATTTCACTGCCCAAATGCTTCGCATTGGGGAATAATTCAGCGCAGTCTTAGTCATCAGTAACTCATTCCTCGCGAGCCCTCTCGCTCATAGTGAACTATTAAAATTCCGAAAGGGACGTCTGCGGGCCATTGCAATCCGTTTTATGCAAAACTCCGTGCAATAACTCGCGCCCTTATGGGCACGGGCTCCTTTAATGAACGCACTGGAATTTGACAGTTTGCCTGCACCGTAAATCTTATGTGTAACCAAATAAGGATCAAGTTGCTTCGTTCGCACTATCGATATATCTAATGTAAGATGAGATCGTTTAATATTTATCATATAACAGTTTAAAGTTTATGGCGTTTAGTTTTATTTAATACCGTTACGGTGATGTGACTTGTTGAAAATGATGGCTTCGTTTATGCATTTTTATAGTTCTTTGTTAATTTAGGCATATACAGAACATTGTTGATGGAATTGAACTTTTAATAGTTTTAGATTTACATATACATATATGTATATATCACCACTATATATTACATATGTATACATATAATATGATTCGATATTTGCCTGTTGAATATTTTATGGGCTACGTTTGGTTACTGCAAAAAGACATACGGTACAACCTTTAATTTATATGTTATCACGTGTAAGAATCTCCAGACTATGTGGGCCGTAAAAGTCACCGGTGCGGAATGCTAGGACCGAAATACTACCTTCGATGTATTTATCATGGTTCGGAGCTATAAGAGATTTATCTGATTGAATTACTTTTTTGTTCGAAATAAGAACAAATCGTGAAAACAAAATAACGCCTTTCCTATTGAATTTTTATAAACCAGATCACTTTTAAATACAGTCTTAGACATTGTTTATTCAAACTTTGAGATTACTTAATTAAATTATATAATATATGAATTAAGTATTGTCATTGATAACAATCTGCAAGTATACATTTATGGTCAAACATGTTCACACAACACTAAGTTTATTACATTACTGAACAAAATTGTTCTAAAGTGCAGCCTTGTACAACTTCTTCGAAGCTTTTAGCGCGAGATGGCGCGTAAATCACACATGTTCTCCTGTCACTCTTAAAAGCACAGATTAAAATAATTTACCTCAGAGTATGCCCCACTGCCTTAAATTCTGTGACACATTTACGTGTTGCATTTTAACATATTTTTCAGTTCGTGGGTAAAGAGATAAGTGCATGTTTAGAATAGAACTTACACGAACTTACATGAAGCTGGTAGTTATTATTAGCGTTGGTACCAAACCATAGAAATTAATAGAAAAGGGGGTTATCGGAAAATGTAAATGTCTATTTCAGTTAAAGTGTATCTATTCGTTTACTGCAAACACACTGCAATGTAACACAGTGCGGTTTACGTTCTTTAACTGGGTTAGTGCATAGCTGCTTTTACAGTTCTTGGGAGTGATATAGCTTTAGTATATTTAGAGATATGATGCAGAACTATTTCAGTTCAAGTCAGCATAGGAAATATAATCTAAAATATTAACGATGCCGCTTTTGCAACATAATTTTCATTATTTCAACAATAACTTTTGTATGCGTTTCTGAACGGTTTCTTTTATTTATCAATTTATCCCTATATCGTGGATAGGGTCGAGTGGCGCACTGGGGCCATGTGCTAGTTCTGTGAATGGTAAAAATAAACTGGTGGGTAAACGTCTCTGTACCGGCTTATAGCGGATCATCGAAGTAATCACTCTTAACGGATATCCGTCATGGTAAATGTTTCATCTAATAGTAACATTATATATTAATTTGATTGTCGAAATACCCTTCATACTTAATTAAGCTACACAATATAATGATAATTTACTTTGCAGAGTTAATTATGTCGGCTGTAATGAAATAAAAACTTATTTGGGACTCTTTTTCATACTTTGATATATAAATACAATTCATCGCACAGTAATAAGAAAATTAATTTGCTACTTAAAAGTTAACGTATGAACAGTTGAACAATCAAAGTTATGAATCATTATTATGTTATACATTATCCTTTATAATACTCATTCTTATGTAAATCGCAGAAATGTTACGTGAACGCAGTCGACCTACATATTGCAAAGCCTAGTATGGGCATTGAGTTTAACAAGTAGGTCAAGGTACAAGTTACGGGTCACCGCAATATTTTTAAGATATTATTTTAAGAGCTCGGTTTTAATTACGCCCTTTTTTCGGTGAAACAAAAACGAGGTCTGTTTTTGCGGTGGGTCTCTACGAAGGTTTCATGTTTAGAACATTGTCCGTGTCGTTAAGAGTTTAGAATAATAAATTACTCTTTTTTTCTTCAAATGAACGACCATCGGTCTGTCAGGGGCATGGATGTTGTGGAATATTAAAAATGTTTGAATTTTAAAATTCTCGCTCAGCTCCAATCATAACAACACTGTTTTAAAGCAGCAAGTAAAATTACAGTAATCCTTTGCCATTCCAAATATTATGGTATATTGAAGTTACTTAATTCGTACAAAATTACACACAAACCTCAGCACATATTATTCCCATCGATAATGTACGTTACAATAGGTAATGTAGCTTTTCTTAATTGCAAAACAGGACGATAACTCAATAAACGAGGACAATTCACATTGCTATGCCGTTAGCTTAGATATTGTTTTGCACCTACCACGATTTCTCCTCACGCCCCGGGTTGACTGGTAGGGAATGCCAATAGGCATTAAGTCCGCCCTTTGTAACCCTTTTGAGGTGTTTTCAATAAAGAATAAATAAATAAAATAAATAAATTGTTGTTGTTTTGTTGCTAAATTATGCCCTCCTGTTCTCCCTCGCAGACGGCGTACGTGTGGAGCGAGCCGCAAGCGGAGGAAGGCAGTTCTTGACGCAGCCTCCGCGAGCGTCTCGAGCAAGCACTCCAGGAGAACTGGCGGCGGCTAACCTCGACCCGCTCCGTGAGTGTTTATTTCTTTCTTTTTTATTGGAATGGTGCTCGTTAACGCGGCTCACGGGAGATGTGAGTTGGTGGAAGTCGTCACGTAAGGTAAATGTGTTATGACCCCTCTTTTCGACTCTCGGCGACTCGCTCTCTCTGTTCTGGCTGACTTAGCATCGTGGGTGTTTGTTTTCTTTTAAAATGTTGATCAATTGCAAATGTTTAACCGCTTGGCTACACTCAGACTATGTTAATTTAACAACTTCACGAAAGTCTTAATTTCACAACGAAAGAAACTTCTTTCGTCCACGTCACATCTCGTGTTTATTTAGCAACTTATCTGCAACTTCTCTGTTCGGGAATATTTATTATATGAGGTTAATCATCGTAAATCGTAAGACAGACATCAAGCTGGCTAAGTTATGTATTACATCATCAGTACAGTAAGTTCTTTTTGATGCAATGCATCCAGAAAATTTGACTTGGCCGACTTTTTGTCAGTGATGCTGGTCTTTGTGGTAACGTTTATTTATGTGCCCGGACGTATTGGGGAAATGGGCCATTAACACAGTTCCCGCACCTTTCATGTTATGTTGTACGTACATACGATCAAATTATGGACTGATGCGCGAAACAGCTCCAGACCGTTCTACGCTTTCAATGCAACACATAGTGTAGTATACACTATTTGTATTTAGTTGTATTGACCATTTACATTAATGCTCATATGGAAGGCAAACCAGTATCAAATTTAAATTTCCGACAGAGTAGTGGCGTACCAACTTGGTATAAATATTTTTGTTTTTTTTTCTCGGAACGTTATGGCACTGTGTCACCGACCTTGGTTATGAAATACATTACGGCGCCATGATGTCACCTCTTTGGCCGGTGCTCTGTTTCCGTCCCTATTTCTTTGTTTGTATTGTAAATGGAATTGGTTTAAAAATGCTTAAATCGAGTTTCTTTGGCGACTTGTGCAACAGACTGGAAGTGCGGAATTTACAGAATTTAAAATATTAATGAACCTGTCAATCTTGCAGCTTCTAAATTTTAAAAACCTCTCAAAAAAATAAAAAAAATAAAATCTCAGAACTAAATAGCTTGCTAGATAGAGAGGAGATAAGATCCTTATAAACGCATATAAAATCATTCAGTATTATAATCGATCGAAGCAACAAACGTCGGTATTGAAAGCGCGCGACGCTCGCCCGTTCCGGTAAAGTCCTCGCTCGGACCCTTTTTTTGTCGCCATTTCCAGCGATTCGACCACACCGGCTCCCGCGTGCACACACCTCTAGCAATACCGTTAAGGGGCCCACAGCGCGCCCGAGCTAGTAGTAGTATCGCTTGCGCTTCGATTCAGTTCCGTCAACAACTTTTAAGGTAAAAGTTGTCAAGCGAGCGGGCGGTGCGCCTGATTTTACGTGATTACCGCCGCCCACGGTCATTTGCAATTTTTTGTGTAGATGCTCTGATAGCTTTTTTGAAAGTGGCGTTGCCTCGCTCACCAGAGGATACGCGAAAGTATAACACTTCTACTTCACACCGGTGGTCTGTATCACAGTAAAAACTCATCGAAACGATACCTGAATTATTCTACGTATTTATGCCTCCACCCTGTTATGTCAATTTTTTTACCCCTGCCAGTCCTGCCACAGTCAGTTTAAACGACACGCGAAGTTCACACTAGTCGAAGGAACAATTCACATATGAAATGTGAATTGTTCCTTCGAGCAGCGCGCCAGATATCATGTTTAATATATAATGTGAATCCTGCATGACGATGACCCTGACGACCGATGTGGCAAAAAAATCATCATCATTTCACCATGTTCGTTTTAATCTAGTACTGAACATAGATCCCCACAGAGCGCCACGAAACGTTATTCTGAGCCACCAGCATCCATTAGCTTCCCGCAATTCACACTTATTGATATCAACATTAAATAAATAAAAGCTTGTAATAATATTTGTTCAAAACGATGCAAAACGCAAGTGTTTATGAAAATTTAACTTTTTTAACTCAAAGTTACATGTTCTAAGACTTTAATTGATGATTATTTTCTGTGTCAACACATTTAAATTAAAATACAATGATTTCTGTACTTGGAATGACTAACGATGATTATTGTATATTAGTAATTGTGTTTGTGACTTTGTTGACTCATTTAATAATAATAGTAATTATTATCATTTTGGACTCATTTCATCCGCTCGTCTTGTTTCCACACTGACAATGTCATCATTTGTAGACAACTCAATGAAACTTTTGACATTAAAATAGTTCGTACTAACGGTTTGTTCTGTCTTTTAACCTCTTTATAAGAGGTTTCCTTCCTGTTTTTAGTGTCCTAAAACTGACAATCGTACTAAATTTCATACTTCTAAATCCACCGGTTTAAGCTTTATGAATCATTATTTAAACTATTCAACTTGAGGAGTTTTCCTTATACGCGATAAAAAACAGTAAAAAGTAATGCAATAATTTATAGTATTAGATGCACGTAAGAATCGACCCGTCGTGCAACTTTAATAGATTATTGTACTTATTGCCACAAAGAGTGTGACGCTCCTATATGTTTGGAACTTGTTAAACGTATTTTTTCTTTTTTTTTTTTTTTTCATACATAGGAGACATCCAGAAGCCGACCTAGACACAGCTCCTTCAGCCAAGAGAATCCGCGTCAGAGGAGGTCGAGCGCACACTCACTCGGCTACGAGAGGCCGGACAACATCGCCACTATCCATAGGTGACTATTCTATATTTCTTACAACGTGTCCATTATCTCAACGAGCTATGGAGCGGGCTATGCTCGGTTTTTCGCTGCGTGATAGGGCTCGTGACAAAGACATCCGCAGTAGAACAAATAAAACCGACATAGCTCAGAGGATTAGCAAGCAGAGATGGCGATGTGCCGGACTTATAAGGTATTCGGTCGAGCCGTTTTGGAGGAGTTCAATTACAAACACCGTGACACGGGAATTTTATATATTAGATAATATTATATATGTACTTAACTTATTACAAAAAAAGAGATAACAGGACCGCAGATTTCTTCTCTGGTTAGGTCTACCTTAGCTTAGTGAGCTTAAATTAAGCATATTTAATAAAGAAATTTTGACTTGGATCTTTGACTATATTATAAATATATCTTTTCAACTGACTTTGAAAAATGTGAATGATCTGACTTATCCCTCGCTCGGCGGTGAAGGAAAACATCGTGGGGAAACATGCAAGTTATGGACATGACAAAAACAAATTTCGAATATAAGTGAAGTCTGCCAATACTTAGTGGGGTCGGGTGGTGAACTATGCCCTATAATAACCTCTGTACAGAGGAGGCCTTTGCCCAGCAGTGCTTTTTTACAAGTACAATAACTTAAATACGCTTAAATCATATATCTTTAAAATTTTTATAACGTTAAAATCACATAGTCTTTCTCGAGGTAACCGTCGAACTTTAAAACACAAAATTGTACTCTTTGTAAAAATTCGTAAAGTATTTTTTATAATAAAAATAATAAGAATGAATCATTATTTTAATTTATATTCCAGAGCGCACTCCCTCAGCAAAATGGCCACGTTGTCCCTAAAAATCTCTCTGGAAGGCGGCAAAGTCGTAAAGACCATTCAGTTCGACCCCTCGACCACCGTGTACGACGCGTGCCGCATCATAAGGGAGAAGATCCTGGAGGCGAGCGCTAGCGACCGTACGTTTTTTTTCGTTTAATTAAAAACTGGCCAGCACTTGACTGCCATTCCACCTGATGGTAAGTGGCGATGCAGCCTTTGATGGTAAGCGCGCTAGCTCATTAAAAACCTATTGGCTCTTGCCTTGAAGACGCCTACGTTGTAATCGGACGGAAAGACGGACGCCGGACGACGGCGTTCATAACGTCATTCAATTTCCACGTCTCTATTTCTTAATATTCGTTACTTGCATTTAAAAACACCACTGCGGATGTTTTGAGTGTTCCACCCTTAAGCTTTATTGACCTCGGCATATATATTATGTAGTACCCGAAGGCCCAGTTGCTAATCTATTGTTTTAGATGCCGAGGGTCGTGGGTTCGATTCCCACACGGAACAGGTATCTGTGTGACCCACAGATAATTGTTCCGTATTTGGATTCCATGTGAAAGATAATTATTCCCAAGGAGAAAAACCTAAGAAATCATTAACTAGTTTTTCTTTCTTTTGTGGCCTACGACACCAAGACTAACACGTGTTTGTAGTCAAAAAAAGGTTGAGTAACACTGTATTTAACCCTCAGAATAAATATTAAGTTCAGTGGGTATAACAATAGTTTAATGTTATGCAGCGTGTCTTTACCACCGCGACAATAAATGAACACACGTCTAACGCTACTTGCCAATAAATCCATAATTTTATTAAAAATCCATAATTAAAAATATATATTTTTCAAACAAACTAATTAAGTAAAAAAGAAACAAAATTTGTAACATCCTATACAACTACAACTGACTAATTCATACATTCAGAGACTTTTTCATTCGTTGCAACAGCGACGCATTACAAGCCTCTCCTTCTAACAGTATGTTTTGTCTCTTTTAAATTCATTCATATGCTTTGTGACCTTTACAAATGAACTTTACGTTACAGTTTTATACGTGAGGGTGTTATAAAATTTTTTGTTTTGGAAAATTTAATAACTCGGTAAATATTGATGTTTAAACAATGTTAATGATTAATACAATTTTAAAATTTATCCCTCTATATGTGTGTTCATTTATTGTCGCGATGATAAAGACACGCTGTATACTCGCAAATGACAAATAGTTTATTGCTCTTTTCTTCTATCACAGCGAAAGAATACGGTCTGTTTCTGGCATCTGAAGAAGACAACAAGAAGGGCATTTGGCTGGAGGCGTCGAGGAGTCTCGACTACTACATGTTGCGCAATGGTGACCTTCTCGAATACAACAAGAAGACGCGCAACTTACGTGTCAGGATGCTTGACGGTGAGTGATATTGAACTGAAAAAAATCTATATTTGTCACTGAGAACGATTATATAATCGTACCTGGAGGACCGAGCGTTGCTGGTTTTTTTTGGTAAATCATGTATTTTGGAAATAAAAAAAATACAAAATAGAGAAAATGATCTGGTATAGTAAAAAAAAGTAAAAAAATAAGTGTGTAAATGATCGTAATACGAACCGCGGCCGTCTGTTTTGGGGCCGCCCGATTACCGACCGAGCTATTATAACATTTTTTTTGCGTCGAAATTTACTGTCATTCAAATGATATTTTTCATTCCCAGAAAACAAGGATAAGAGGACATTTTCTAAAAATGAAACCTAGCTAGATCGATTTTTCGCCCCCGAATCTACGCACATACTAAATTTCATGAAACTCGCTGGAGCCGTTTCCGAGATTCCGATTATATATATATACAAGAATTGCTTGTTTAAAGGATAAGATTGAATTGGTATTTAAATCTATGTTGTGCCCAAGTATTGTAATATACGTATAGATTATGTTAAAAAACATGTCGGTGAGGAGGTAACTAGGATTATTCGTTGACATAATTTGTATCCTTTGACCATGAGGTTATACAGCGTGTCGTTACCATCGCGACAATAAATTAACACACGTCTAACGCTACTTGCCAATAATCATAAAAAATATTAACTTTAAACAAAATCCATAATTAAAAAAAATATTTTTCAAACAAACTAATTAAGTAAAAAAGAAACAAAATTTGTAACACCTACACAACTCGCGCCACAGCGTCGCATTACAAGCCTCTCCATCTAACAGTATGTTTTGTCTTTTTTAAATTCATTCAACCCATTCATATGGTTTGTGACCTTTACAAATGAACTTTACGTTACAGTTTTATACGTAAGGGTGTTCGAAAATTCTTTGTTTTGTAAAATTGTATAACTCTGTAAAGACACGCTGTATACAAAATTAATGACTTATTCGGCTATTTGTGACAGAGACATTTTTAGAACTTAAGTATTTTGATTACAGTTTTTAATATACTTAAATATTGATACAGTAATCATTAATATATTTTTTAACATCTTTTTCCAATTTTTGTTCAGGTACTGTGAAAACACTTTTGGTGGACGACAGTCAAATCGTGGCAAACCTAATGGTGGTGATATGCACCAAGATCGGTATCACCAATTATGACGAGTACGGACTGGTGAGTTGACTCTTAACTTGGAAATAACAAGAATCATATATTTGAAACATATGGTGGCGCTGTGGTAGGGCGGCGCAACAGTCGCACCGTCGCACGAATGGGCAGTCAGGGGAAGTACCAAGACCTCACAGTAGACCGGCGGGAAGTGCGAGTGTTATAGTTCAGCGTTTCGTCTGCCGAGGGAGGTAGCCGGGGCCCATTTTTTTATAACGTGATAACGTATTTTCAACCCTACGGATGTTGGAAATGTCAATCAAAAATAAGGGTTATGACTTAATAACAAATGAACCGCCAGCTCGCTGGCCACCTTCTCACTCTCACTTAAAAGACTATATCAATTTATTCATGATTCAATACATAACCGATTTATATCAGTGATTCATTGCTTATAATTAAACTTATCTTTGCTTTAACCAGGTCCGCGAAGAGCAGAAAGAAGAAGTGGACCCATGCGAGAAACCAAACTATGGTACGCTCACGTTGAAAAGAAAGCACCAGGAGAAGGAACGCGATGCCAAGATGGAGCAGCTGAGGAAGAAGTTGAGAACTGATGATGAAGGTAAGTTTAAATTTTATATTAGTATATGACATCTTTGTCATTTCTGCACAAGGAAGAATTGTTTTAATTTACTGGTATAGAATAGAATATCTCAGGCTTTAATATTGCCTATATAAAAGATTTTTGTACAAATAAAAAAATCTTACGTTCAAGTTGTGACTTTACCGTATTAGGCTTTCAGACAGGCTCAAGTCAAACAGAAAACGAACATAAATCAATTTGTACCAATAACATTAAAACGGGAGAAAAGATAGACAAGAGTCGTGGCAATCGTGTTCGCGTTTATCTCTATTGCAAATCGCATCTCGGGAGAAAAAAGAGACATTCAGTCGGGGCAATCGTGTTTTGAGCAAGTGGTTTCATTACTTTACGCGTCTGCTCTATCTGCAAATAGTGCCTGAATGGTTTGTCCGTCTGTTGCGACCAGTGAACTGGGTGGAGCCCTCGAAGACCCTGAGGGAGCAGGGAGTGGAGGCGTCGGAGACTCTACTGCTGCGGCGGAAGCTGTTCTACTCGGACCGCAACGTGGACTCGCGCGACCCCGTGCAGCTGAATCTGCTCTACGTGCAAGCGCGGGACGCCATACTGGCCGGCACCCACCCCATCACGCAGGACAAAGGTACTAATTTTTTAAATGTGAGAATTAGCGGAAAATCACATAACTAGGCAGTACATCGGAATTTTTATGTAATCTTTCCAACAAAAGTTTAAACGGCGGTCGAAGAGGCGACCCGATTGGCATGGGGAGTAGTGCACCTGCCCCTTGCGCCAGAGGGTGTGGGTTCGATCCCCACTACTGGAAAAATATTGTGTGATGAACATAGTGTTTTTCCAGTGTCTGAGTGTTTATATGTATATGTATAATATGTATTTATTTACAAAAGAAAATTATGTTTAAGTATGTCTATCAGTTTTCTAGTGTAATAATACAAGCGTTGCTTAGTTTGGGACTAGGGTACGTAAAAATGTGTACTAAAATATTTATTATTATTATTTATTAAACGTGGAATGTATGTACTTCTGGTGACCTATAAATAAACAAGGCGTGAATCCACATACTGAGTAGCTGTAGTTGGGCCACGCACCAGTCTTCGATGTTTGCACGGATGGGCAGTTCCGTCCGGGTAAATACCGTGACCCCATATAAGGCCGCCGTGAGGTGGAAGCGTTATACTTTCTCGTTGCGTCTGATGAGTGAGGTAGTCGGGGCCCACGGCAACGTATATGCACGCAAATTACGGGTGTTGCATATGTACATGGGCGGCGGATATCACTTAACGTCATATGAACTGCCAGCTAACCTTGCCATCTTCTTATATAAATAAAAACTGTACATGTATTGTGTATATGGTAGTTTTTCTAAAGTATACGAGTTCATATACCTATTTTATGTGTTTATTAACTAAAGCATATTTACCAGTTACGGTGTTAAACCTATAGTTGAGCTTCACTTAATTTGGGAGAAAATAACGTTAAAAATACTTTGGAATATTTATTTTAGGAAATGAATTTTTTTCTACGGATTTTATCACACTATGTTATCTTACTCTGTTGTTGTCTGTCAGATGAGGTGATTATTTCTGTCTCCTGACCTTATGCCACTGACTTATGGGGTCGCAATAAGATGTGAAATATGCTGTAAATAGTATTTTAGTATTTTTATCATTATCTATATCATATATTTTACCGGCCGGAACTCGTAACGTGTGGAAATCGAACTTACGACCCCTTGCGGCGAAGCAGGTGGCTTAGCAACTTCGATACCTAGAAATCATCTATGAATATATGAATGATATAAATCAACAAAATATTAAACTTTGATTATTTTCACAGCGTGCGAGTTTGCCGGAATTCAGTGTCAAATTCAATTTGGGGATCACAAGGAGGATAAACACACGTCAGGCTTTCTGGAGTGAGTATTTTGACTCGTTTGATATTACTGTTTCTATATGGATATTATGCACAAATAAGTTTTCGTAAATAACCAACAGATTTCTATATATATATATATATATATATATATATATATATATATATATATATATATATATACTATATACTTTGTGTAGCTATTTCCCAGCTTTGAATATCGAACTTCGAGTGTTTGAATTATGTGAACTGAATTATACTCTAACGACTATTTCTATTTTGTAGCCTCAAAGAGTTTCTGCCTGCGTCGTACGTGAAGGTGAAGGGAATCGAGAAGAAGATCTTTAAGGAGCACCGCAAACACGCCGGCCTAAGCGAGCTGGACGCCAAGGTGCTGTACACCAAGAGCGCCAGAGATCTGAAGACCTACGGTGTCGCCTTCTTCCTGGTCAAGGTAAAAAAACTCCAGCCTTATGCAATTGTTGTACATCCTCGAATAAATAGGATATTTGTCGAAATAAACACGAAACATAAATATTCTACATGCCCCAATGTGTCATACAATATTATTAAACGTCTATTCAAGATAAAATATTAACTTTGTATTGTAGTTGTTTATTTTTATAAATCATTTGAGATGTTATTTATATCATATTTCTCAAAATTAAGAAAAATACGGATAGAAATACACGTGGAAGACGTCGAATCGTACTTTTTTACTATAATCATTAATCAGTCTTTCTATGTATGTGTTGTTCGTTAAAACACGACTATGTTCATTGTTCGCAGGAGAAAATGAAGGGCAAGAACAAACTGGTGCCTAGGCTGCTCGGTGTGACGAAGGACTCCGTGCTCCGTCTCGACGAGAAGACCAAAGAGATCCTTCAGACTTGGCCTCTCACCACCGTTCGACGCTGGTGCGCCAGCCCCAACACTTTCACCCTGGACTTTGGCGATTACAGGTTAATGTTTGCATTGAAAATAGTCAATCTATATTAATAAATGGGGAGACTTTTTTGTTCGGTTATACTGCGGAAACTAGTGAATGTTTAACAATAATAATAAAATTCATAAATTAATTTTAATTCTGTCCACCCAAAGAGGCAGAATGGAATTGCTGTTGCTGTTTACTATCATTCTGTTGATTAGTGTTAAATGTTACGCGCCGAGTCTATCTTAGATATTCTAACTCATGCGTAATTAGAATTTGCTATAAACTAAACTGTAACCACACGAATTTCGATATTTTTTTATTGTTCCTTGTTTCACGGCCGGTTTCAACATTCTATCTATCTATAGCTTTGTTTACTTGAGATAAAATTTTGTTATATTATGGAGCTAGTGTCAAATACCTAAGGGCTAATCGACCGCTGCTACTTGTAATATCTCTCGCAGTCTACAGAGCACCATGAACGTGCAATTCTCGTTCTCTCACAAGTTACGTTGACGTCATTAGTTAAATGTTAAAAGACGTAGTGGTAAACGTTTACGAATGTCCGTCCGCAGCGACCAATATTACTCTGTGCAAACAACGGAGGCCGAGCAGATACTGCAGGTGATCGCCGGCTACATCGACATCATCGTGAGGAAACAACGCGCCAAGGACCACTTAGGCATCGAGGGCGACGAGGGCTCCGCCATGCTGGAGGACTCCGTCTCTCCCTCTAAGTACGTCATCATTTCAATTCTCTTATTTTCTCTTCTCTTTCTACTCTTTCTTCTCTTTTCACGTTTTTATATGTTATATGAAGATAACAGACATAGCTCACAAGATTAGCAAGTTGAAGTGGCGATGCGCCGGCCATATAGCTCGTAGAACCGAAAAATTATGGGGAAGAAAGGTTCTCGAGTGACAGCCTCGTACTGGCCATCGCAGTGTTGGACGACCACCCACTAGATGCAGTGACGACCTGTGCATAGGTGTGGAAAGTTGATGAATGCAGTAGCTTAGGATTGTGCTTCGCGGCAGTCAGTGGGGGAGACCTATATGTTCAGTAATGAAAAAAATCTTAACAAGCTGAAAAGAAGATAATGATATGTTATTGCACATCAACCATTCTTGCAGTTACTCAAAAACTTAACCATACCTGCTCGCTTTGATTGACATCCCATTAACAAAAATGTTTTTTCTATGAATAAACATCGTAATCGCCACCGTCATCAATATGAATGACCTTTTCTTTTTAAGTACACTTTCTGCAAATCGCAATAGATTAGAAGACCGTGTGAGTTTCCGGTTCACGTTACTATAGCTGTTATTTAACGCTTTACGTTATAAATAACTGTTTTATAAAACTTTGTGACAGTTTTGTCTTTAACATTTTTAAATTTCATATTGATTGCAGAGACTAGCGCTCAAATTGAAAATTATATTTGGTTAACGTTGTGCGTAATTTCTGTCACAGGGCGAACATCATCCAACACGACACATTCAAGTCGGGCAAAGTGAACACGGAGTCCGTCGCAAAGCCAGCCGTGCTCAGACCGGGTGCCGAAGGTAAACTCCAGCCCAATCGATGCTTGTACATAGCCTATCTATTAACTTGCCTTATATTTAGTCGTTAGATAGAATTCTATTATGTTCCAACATTTATTTTGCTTTTAAAATGTATTAGATGAGAGGCGGCTTAATTATTTTTTTTGTATTAGAGACGCGTTTCTTTTTTGTTTTGTACAAACGTTCGCTTTATAAGTTGGGTTATTTTGCTTGCGTCGGTGCGCGGACAGGAGCCAAGCCGTTCGCCGTGGGCCACCTCACCGGCGCCCAGCAGACGACGGTCTCCGGCCAGATCATCACCGGCCACACCCCGCCCACGGTCAGTATAGGCCCCGCGACGAGAGCACCTCCACGGGAGGTCAAGTTAATTTGGTCATTGGAGAAGAAATGTCTCTCACAGCCTATACAGAGGTTTCTATGACAGTTAAAATGGGAAACACAATTTTTAAGGCACGACTCGAACCCTACCTCGAATCACGAGGCCAGTTCGCAGATTAATCCGGTAAGAACACTCTTACAACAAAAGAAATAAGTTAGTAAGAAGAGTGTACTATTAGTACTTTGTGTCACTTATTCATTCATGACTGTAAATATGAGTCGCAGATAAGGAAGAAGTGATGATAGAGAATAATATAAAATTATTTCGTAGTATTATAAAATTTTAAGATATTTTTGTGTTTACATATTGTTATGATTGTCAAGCAAGCTTACAAATTTTCAATAGAATTGTTGTTTGATCCTCTTATGTTTTGTTTGTTTCACGCTTTCATAACTGACGGAAATGTGCAGTCTACAAAACGGGCTGTGTAGGTACCAAGCAGCAATGAAACTTTGTTTGCGCAGATGCGTACGGCGTTCGAAACATTTACAATTATTTCCACTGTTATATGAATGCCGTGCTGACGTATTAAAAACTATCTAACATTATTACTAGAAAAAAACTAAACTATCTAATATATGAATTTGAAATCTAAACAGGATTAAAAGATATATCCTGTTATTATTTTACAATCCATTGGTATATATTTGGATAAAAATAATTTTTACAAAACATTAAAAGAATATAAATACTCCTTGTATTTCTATCTTATGTAAAAACAATAAAGAAAGAAAAGGTGAATATAATGATAAGAACATTATAGCGGCTTTATACATTATTGTAAATTATCTGTCCACGTTTCGATAGAAACCTAATCTCGAATTTCAACACGCAGGCGTCTCAAGTGCAGCAGACTCGCGTGACATCCATATTGTCGGAGCCACAGCGCGCTTTGCTCTCAACTATTACCGGTGGGCGGGAGATCATACGGCAGACCGAGGAGAGCCTGAGCAGGGTAAGTCTAACTGGAATTATAAGGATAGTGGTAGAGAGAGCGGGGTGATAATGATAACGGATTTACTTCCCTTCTACATAGAGACGTGAACACATAGACGAAGATTAATTGCACTGTTCGATGCCAATTCGTCTTATGCGTCGTCTGCTGACTTCCACTCTAGTTTGCACCACAAATTAAGTTCCATCGAAGACATTATAGCGCCTAAACTGTGATTAATTCCGCGATGAAAGTATCAACTCTATACGATCAAGTTTTACGATTCAAGTCTGTCGATGGTCTCTGGTATTCTGTCGACACGGCTGGACTGATTGCGTGACATGTTCATACTATATGGTCGTTTTGACACAGAAAAGCTTAGTATATGGCGCCACTTAAATAAGTGAGCGAACGGAATTGATTTAATATGCAGTAAGCTATAGCTCAGTGCCCGGGCGCTCGCCTTTAATTCAATATACTCGAGCAACCTGAGTTCGATCCCCGGTGCCGGCACCAATGAAGTTTTTAACTTTAAGTGCTGACTTATCACGTGCTCCGCGGTGAAGGAAATAATAACAAAAAAATATTTTGAAGATATGTGAAGTCCGCCAATCCGCAGTGGGGCTGCGTGATGGACTATGTCCTGATACCCTCTGTATAGAGGAGGCCTTTGCCCAGCCGTGGGACATGTTTAGGCTGCTACTTTACTTTTTTACTTTTAAGCTACAGCCATTATACTCCCTTATTATGTTTGGGTATTTAATGAAAGTAAATCATTAAATTCTTTTTCGTCGTCTTATCTTATTATCTTAAAATGTGGTAATTAATGGTTTATGTACTATACGCAGGCCGCACTTCCCGCTCTCGGTCATGACGCAGCATCCGTCAAATGGAAGCAAGTAACGATGGACACCAGCAAACAAGTGGTGACCTCCCAAATCGCCGCCATGAACGCCGCCACCGCGCAAGTGGTTACCCTAACTTCCGGTAAGTATGCAAATGGCTGAATAAAAACATAAATATTACACATTGCATTTATTCCTCAAAGATCGATTTTGAATTATAATGTTTACTGTAATTTTAATTTTGTAGGACCAACAGAGGAAGTTGACCACACAGCTGTCGGCGCCGCGATAACAACTATCACCACCAATCTTCCTGAAATGACAAAAGGTAAGAAAGTGTCCACATTTTTTTGTCCTAAACCAAATAACCTGCTTCTTTATTTTCACTTACACACAAAATTTTGATTTCATTTCAAATATTACTTTAAAGATACGTGTTTTCGTTGCAGGGGTACAAACGATTGCCGCACTTATGGACGATACCGATGATGGGGACAAGCTGCTGGATGCTACTAGAAAATTGTGCAGTGCCTTTAGTGATCTACTAAAGGCTGCTGAGCCGGAGACTAAAGAGGTACGTTTAAATGACCGTACCGTTTTAAAAAAGTATTATAAAATCCGTCTCGAAGGACCATTTTTGAGAAATTCATATAATTACAGAGGATGCTATTGGAATATGGTTTTAGGTATTCTCTTTCTTGCAGCCCCGTCAGAATCTTCTCAATGCTGCTTCCCGAGTTGGCGAAGCGTCCACCTCCGTCCTCCACACCATCGGCGAAGAGACCGAAGAGGACAAGGAGACCCAGGTAACTATCGTTAACACGAACAGCACACAGAAAAGTAAAAACAACAAAAAGTCATTTCTGTACAGGAAACTTAACTACTGCGTTGATAATTTTTACAAGGCTTTCTTTGGGAACAAGAGCAAGCAGGATTACGGTTCGGACTTCGAGACCATAATAATAGACGACGAAAGTTGCAACCTACCTAAACAAACAGAGGACGAGGGTATTTACGAGGATATTGACACAAGTAACACATGGGGTAGGATGCTAGACGTCATACAAGAGGAATCCGACAGCGACTACTACAGAAGCTTGGAATATTGCAATACACACTTCAAACCCGGTCGCCCAGTAACACTAAACGAAATCAATCATACTAAAACGCAGTCTGCGTCCGCGGCAGGCAATAACGGCGATTACGAGGCGATATTACAAAATTGCAAGGGCTATTTAGACGACAAAAACGAGCCGAGCTTAAGACTACCCCCAAAGACCACGTCGGAGAAGATATACGATTTGAAAAAGGACTTCTCCGATCACGACTACGCTAACATTAACTTTACCCGGGAAAAAACTGAACATGACTACGCCAATATCGACATAGACAGGCGTACCAAGAATCAAATACTGCGCGAACGCTTCTTCCTCTCCGAGAACAATGATAAAAACGACATAAACGACAAATTCAACAGATACAACAGCCACAAACGCGTCGAATCCCAAAACATAAGAAACGACTCGGCAAAATCGGGTTCAGAATTCAACCTGACGGATTCATTTCATACGAAAATTCTTAACATAGACAAATACAATCGCACTCTGACTACCAAAGAGACATTTAAACAGACGGTGGAAGCGAGTTTCTCTAAGAAGGAACTGAATCTCAAAGGCAAAGATGATCTGGAGACGTTCATAAAGCGCAGCGAGAAGTACTATACAAGCGAAACGCGAGATAGAACCACGACAGTAGAGTTGAACAATGCGAAAACGCCACCGAAAGGAAAGACCGAAATAAGAATATTCTACAATCCCACCTTCGCTGGTAGCGAGACGGACCTAGCCAGTAGCCAATGCCAGTTCTGTAAACGGCGTTGTCCCAGAACTGAAGAGAAGTGTTGCCCAGATTGCGTCTGTTTGGAAATCGAGTTCGGCAGGGTGTGGCGAGAGAATTGGTTGAACATACTGTGTGTCATATCCCTCCTATTCGTGCTGTTACTGTTGTTAATTCAGTCGTTTATGCCAAGCGACGATTGTCAAAATGGCCACGCTATCGGTACAGATGGGAAATGTTTCGAAATGCTCTAACATTCTTAATATGTAACTGAAAGTTAAAGATTCTGTTGAAAAGACTGGTCGTTTATGGATTAAGAATTTCAACAACTCCTTGCCATTTCAAGGGGATGGTGAGATTTTTAATTTCTCGTTAAGGATATAAGCCTCAACTTGCCATATAACTATGAAATGTTCCTCAATTTACTAAATGCTTGTCTCCTTTGCTTGCCAAAAAGATCTAGTTGAAAACTACAAGAGATCAATATGCAACATATGCGATGGAAGAAAGTCATATGTTTCGTGATATTGAATGTTAACCATTGTGGAAATTATTGCTCTTCACTAGGCCGGAAAATATAATTACAATTTTTTAATATTGGCTTAGGTATGTTGCCTCTGAGTATTTAATTGTTATTTCTGAAACCTTTTTTAAAAATACTTTATGTATGAAGTACTGTTGCTGTCATTTTCCTTTGCTTTTTTGTTGCTATTTTCGTTTTTAGAGCTTAATTAAATACACAAGATATAAATTTATGATATTTAAAGACAAAGGTTAAAGGAAAAAGACTGCTGACTTCCTGTATTTACTATTAAACTAGATTTATATTTTTTTACACGTAAAGTTTGTTTTTTCTTACTTTAATTTAATATTATTTAAATACTATTGGCAGCTCGATTTTTATGTATGACCAGTGATATAAAATTTGATTTTAATTTTTTTCAACATTTCGTACTTACTTATCCGTCCACAATTAAGTGTTTTAGTAAACCACCGTTTTTTATTTTGTTAATTCATGTTTAACCTCAAAAAAGTTTGTCCTTTATACATCACGTTCAATTTATAAACTTATGTATTTTTTTATTTTCCTGGTCACGACAAATGTTCCTACAATGAATCTCAATTTATCATTTTCATTATTCTTTTAAATTTTATTTATAGTGACGTATTTTTTTACAGTTAATTCTTAATCTGGTTTTGGTTTACAATAATTATGAAGTATATACATAATAACCTAATGTAACCTTTTTTGTAAATAAGTCATAACTAACACAGCGCTGTGACTCGCAGGTCTATTTTGTTAAATTTTTTGTAACAATTTAATATAACAAACATTATAATAATATTGGACTCTTTGAAACATAAGAACTTTTCTGTTGACAAACAATTTTCTCGTTTTAGTTAATGATGTAATAATGAATAAATATAATAAAACCATAATTTTTGGCTAACATCAATAATGCTAAAAACTAAAACAAAATTTAATTTGGAAATTAAAATTAAGTTAAATTTGGACTGATAATAGCACAATTAATATTTTTTTTTTTTTTAAATATATCGCTTTACTCTACTTAATAAATTAATTACTATATTTTTTGTTTGCAAAGAAGACGCATATTTTTACCTTTTCTATATTATATCCATCAATATGGCAGCAATCCTAATACATTGAATTATAAGTATTTAATAATTGATAATACTTTGGATCCCCTATTTAGTAATTAAATAGTTTAAAAATAAGTTAAACGAGCACAGCATTCACAACAATGGATATTATTTTTGTTAATACATTTGCTTTTCATCACAATCTGGATTTTTATTTACGACTAACTGTCCGTAAAGTAAATGTAGTGACAAAGGTAATCCCTCGTTTAAAACTACTAACCAACCCCATATCATTGGTAATGTGAATCTAACAATTATCATCTGAAATGTCTCGATTTTGTAACTCGAAGCGACGAGTATTGAAGCTCGTATATCTTGTTGATACTCTATTAGAAATAATGGTATTATTATTGTTTTACATAAAAAGAAACGTTTGTAACGTATGTTCATTAAAATTGTAAGTATTCTCGCGCACTGTCATTTTTATGGTGCATTAAAACTGTCGCAACGTGTCATTGCTGTTATAAAAATAACAGGCGTACGCGAAGCGGGAAGATTTTAGTGATCGTTGTCTTAAATCGATAACGTAATGTTTATTCCATGTGTGATTTGGTTTATATTTTGAAGTTTATCCAGTGATATAAAGAAAGTATAGTAGTGATATCTGTGAATATGTTATTGTTCGTTTAAAATCATATTGTACGAGGCAAAACTGGTATTACTCTGAGAGTAAAGTTAACTTAGAGAATCGAATTGATTTGTAAGTTATATTAATGGGATGTAAATGTGAAAAATTCGAAAAAAGACACACACACACACACACGCTCAGAAATTAGTTATGCTAGTCAAAGTAAAGGAGGTTTTACGTTTGTGTTACCAGTGTGACTGGTGTAGTTAACACAGTTTTTGTTAAATTTGTTTGTTGGGCGATTTAGTTCTCAAGTTGATTATTAGTTTTTAAATTCATTTTTGATCTCGTTAATGAATCAACATTGACCACAATAGTGTTTTTCTTTTTTCAAAATATGCCGGGGCGGGTTAAGTTTTCTATTAAGTTTACAAATTCACTTTTAACATGTATCAAGGTACAAAATAACGTTGCCGTTCTTTCAGGACATCCTTCTGTCTCTGGCTAAGGCGGTGGCCAACACGACAGCGGCGTTGGTCTTGAAGGCGAAGAACGTAGCTGCTCAATGCAAAGACGATCAGACGCTCCAGAACAACATAATCGCTGCGGCCACACACTGCGCCCTCGCCACCAGTCAACTGGTCGCTTGTGCTAAGGTAACCTTCGACTTTATGATTACTTTTTAGTTAGAAAAGTTAGAAAACCATAAAAATCCCACGAAATCACTAATTTATATGAAGGAAATTATATAATCTTGTCGCTATTTGCTTACCCCGCGTGGCGGTATCCACCAAGCTGGCTGAAAATTAAAATGCATTTTCATGGAAAATTCGTTAAGACTTGGGAACGTTTTATGTTTTTTTTTTTTTTATTTCTAAACGATTAAATCAAAACCACTTTGCAAACAAGATCGAGAGTTACTTTTAACAAATTACCCTAACTGACTATAAGTATTTTTTATTGAAACGCTCAATCCAGCCACTCAGAAGGGTGAACAGATTTGCCTTCTTCTAGCCTCTTTTTTACGTAATAAGATGACAAGCGGGTTGGCGGATCACCTGATCAATGATAACTACCGCTCATGGATATTTGCAACACCCGTAGGGTTGTAAATGCTATTCCACCTTTCAATAAAGTGGTCCCGGACCACCTCATCCACAAGACGAATCGCAGAACTATTATACTTCCACTTCACGCTGGTCTTCTGCGACCTGCCCCTTCGTGCAACAGCAAAGACTGCGATCCCACGATCCCACCACACCTACCGTCCACAGTCCGCCTTGTTATTTGATTTGCTGCCTATTCACCGGTTGCTTCGTTTTCCAAAGGTGGTGGCGCCGACGCTGCACAATCCGGCGTGCCGGGAACAGCTGACTAGTGCCGCCCGCCAAGTTGGCACTGCGGTTGAGCGATTGGTGGATGCAAGTCGGCAGGCCCCCGAGGCGGCAGGGCCCGGGGTGGAACAGCTGGCCGCCGCCGCCCAGAGGGTCTCCGAGGAGCTGGAGAGACTACTGGCACATTGTCACTTGGGTGAGTGTCGTAGAATAGATTAAATATAATTATGACATTCTTTTATGATGGGGCAGATAGGTATATTGAATCGCGACAACTATATAAATATCGTTAAAATTAAAATGTTACTGTCGTAAAAATTAAAAATAATTAATAAAAGTTCATTGAAGTGTGTCTTATTCATACAATGATCGTATCAAAGATAATATACAATTGTGCCTCTGGGGTTGACGAAAGATGGTTAGGTACTCTAAATAATAATGTTAAAGAAGTGAGGACATTCATCATCCCGACGTTTCGAACCCATTCCAACGTTTACGGTCACGGGACAGACTTTGACGGGAATTACTAGTACTACGTCAAAATAAAATGGCGATAAAATACGTAAACTAGTTTCGTTCAATATGTATAATATTCGCGTAAAATCAAGTAGTCGAAATATTCAACATCGTTATTTTCGTTAAAATATGTAGAAAAAGTGCGAAAAGATTGTCGCCGTTGTGGGAATCGTTATTTTCGACTTACACCGTTGAACAAAATTGAAGAAGATAGATGGCTATAAATATTGACATCGATGAAATAATTAAGAGAGAGAGAACAAGTCGCATAGAACCGTGGAATTAAAATACACAGCGACGAGGTTCCATTAAGTTAATAGTACCCTAAAGTTAGTTGGTTGGCGCAGAGCGTCGCAGCGTGCAGCCCACCGTGATGGAGCGCAGCGTGGAGAGCGTGGTGGCGGCCAGCGAGCGCGTGACCGACGCTCACGACGCGCCCGAGATGGTCCGGCGCGCGCGCCTCCTCGGCCAGGCCACGGCGCGCCTCATCGCCGACATCAAGGTCGGCCAAGGGCGCACCCGCACTCACACACGCGCGCCCGCGCTCTCATAAATCACTGAATTCCACTCACACTCGCGTGCTCGCGCTCATTTTGGTGACTGGGAATTCTATTCACACACACGCACGTGATCACTTTCATCACTGTGAATTCCACTCACACACGCGCGCTCGTGATCCTTTCATCACTTTGAACTCCACTCACACACGCGCGCTCGTCTATATCTGTGGGCTTAAACATCTTAGTGTATGCCTACAACGATACGATTCCCTTAATATATAAACAAAACACAATCCTATCTTAAGTACATATAAGCATTGCGGCGTTATCTGTTCTTTTATTTGTCATTAAAAACACGTTACATGGAAACAATGTTGCAAATGTATAACGTAGCTTTGTATCACTTATGTTAAATTTTCTTATATTTCGTATAGACCGAGGCGGAGACCCAGTCTTCGGACTCTCAACGAAAACTCTTGGCGGCTGCGAAACTTCTGGCGGACGCTACCGCGCGTATGGTCGAAGCGGCCAGACTCTGCGCCTCTTCTCCCCAGGTAAAGAACACGTTACTAGAACTACTATACTCTGACTGATTTTTGTTTTCAGTCCGTAGACTATTGAAGTTTCATCGAACGCAGAACACAGACTTGTTTATTGAATCAATAGCAATCACTATAATTATGTATTTTTGTATTAATTGATATATATCAATTATTAATAATTAATAGTATTGGTTCTGTTGATTCCGAGTGAGAGGTCTGTACGATCGCCCCAGAAACTGGCTAATAATATTTCGAGATTACTTTTCTGTATGTTTAGTTCTTTAGTCCTCTAGTTTGATACTTGGACTTGATGGATTTTAACACAGGAGATGTTTGATAAATTACATTGGTCATAATTCTAAAAGTGGCATAACCTATAATTATTATATATAATAAATATTTAAGCATTTTGTACTCAGAGCAGTTTGTTTGTTTGAAATAATATTTATAAATGCGGATATAGGTAGCAACCATTTAGCATTTTAATTGCGAAGTTGAAATTTAGTACATCGCCACGATAAAAACGCCTTTAAAAACTTGGACTGATATAATAGGTGTATGATTAGGTGACACACTACATAGATAGATATAGATAGATGGTATTTGGGTAGGTGTTGTATGAATTCAATGTTTTGTCACAGGATCGAGATAAGCAAGAAGCGCTAAGGCGTGCGGCTGAGGAGGTGCGCTATATTACAGTCGACTATGCTGAGGGACAGGACATCGTGGGCTCCCAAGTTGCTCGTCTGCAGGTCAGTAGAGAGATCTGCTAAAGTCATAAATTATTACTAATTTGATTAAAAGCCAGAACAAAATAGGTATAACCTGTATAATAATAAAGTTTTATCAAACAACAAGTTTAGATACAAGAAGGAATGACTACAACTAAATAAATTATTAAAATTTGATATACGTTCGCTGTCTACTGGTTCCTTAAAATAATATCTATTATTTGACAATGTGTTGTTTATAGTATTCTTTGTAATAGTAACATAGTCAGTTGAAATAACATCATATTACGACAATTACAGTTTAATGCAAATGGTTGTGTATGTCCTGTCCTGACCTGACCCTAATTTTTTTATTTCTATAGACGAACCATATTTAAACTATATTTTTTTTGTTTTAGGAAAGCGCAAGGCAAGCTGCATCGAATGCTACCCAACTGATCACCTCCGCACACAACGCTACTCAGCACAATACGAACAAATACTCTCAGGTTTGTTTCTTAAAATACAAAATCTTAAAAGACAAATGTTACTCGAGTTTATCATTTTTACTTTAGAAACATTTTCCTTTTAATCAAGCAGTTTGAATACCAAACAATAACAGTTGTACCACGTAAGCAAAAGGTTCACCTCCTAACAAGTTTCAGAAGCGTCCGAACTTTGTTAAATGGGTATCACATCAATGTTTTTCTATCGCATCTTTTCAATCGTAACTGTACTACCACTTTCAAAACATCCATTGTCCGGGACACGCTGAAATCGATTCTGAACGATTATTCATGTTATAACATGGAGTTTCGTAATGTGATTACGACAGGAGTCGCTGTTGCAAGAGTGCCGCGCGCTGAACGAGCAAATCCCGCGCGTGGTCGACGCGGCCAAGACCTCAGCGGCCAGGCCCGGCGAGGCGGCCGCCCAGCTCGACCTCATTTCTGCCTCTGAAACCTTCCTGCAGGTAATGAGACCTTATGCGGGTCAAATCTCCTTTGGTACATCATTTGTAGATGTATTTGTAGATTCCATTAATGGCGTAAGAAAATGTTAACCCCCGACGTGATAAAGAGGGGTGTTATAGTTTGACGGGTCTGTCTGTTCTTTCTAAACTAGTTCGTATATGGTGAGGTTTTTTTTTTTTGAAAGCTCAAATTATAGACAAGATTATATTATAGCTAAAATTGAGTTTTTTATTTCAAGGGGTAACAAAAATTTATAATTTTATATCATTCGCTATTCAAAGAGCGTATCGGTATGGAACAATCGGCGTCTGAATTTCCGTCAACATATAACAGACAGCAAGATTGGATCATCGCGGTATAACATCAGGCGCAATAACAGTCGAGCTAGAATGTGATTAATAATAAAAATGAGTCGACTTGTACCTAGTTACGGATAGTTTTGCAAGAAAGAAAGAATGTAAAGGGAAAATATTACGTAATAAATATGGAGTACTAGCTTTTCTCCCGCGGCTTCGCTCGCGTTGAAACCCTTAAAAAATATCTTTCTTTAACCTTTCAAACTTTAAAATTAACATTTTTTTTTTTTTTTTTTCAATTAAAATGTCCTTTCTCGGGCTAGACTATCTTTGTACCAAATTTCATTTTAATCGGTTCAGTAGTTTTGGCGTGAAAGCGAGACAGTCAGACAGAGTTACTTTCGCATTTATAATATTAGTATGGATTGTTATAAAACGTTTATAAGTTGATAATTTCAATAACAGCCGAGCGGGCACGTGATCCAAGCGGCCAGAAGCGTCTTGCCCACGGTCAACGACGCGCCGACCGCCAAGCAACTTGCCGACACCACCCACCAATTCACCACCAGCTGTGCTGACCTCAGGTAAAAGAATATTACATATCGCGCAAAACTTGGTGAAGTCCTCATGTACCGTCGAGTTCAAAAGACGATTACCTAATATTTAATCTTCTTATGATTCGCAAAACCCAAGGGCAATTTTGATCGCAACTGTATACCAATGTGCAGTGGGAGTGAGACAAAACGATTTAGTAGTGCGAACGAAATGAAAATATCTGCATTATACAATGACTTGACGAACTTCGAAGGCATATAAGCATTTAGTGCTATAGTTAAAGTTAGGAATATTACAGATTTAATCATAATAAAAGTAACAAAATAAGGGAGCTTGCTGTCTTCTTTGCAGTTTAATTATTACTAATATATGAATTGTATATTTAAATAATAACATGTTTTCTGTCCAGGTCGGCGGTGAACCGCGCTCGTATCTCTTGCAAGGGACTGGAGCTTGACGCTGCAGCCGAGATCATTCGCAGTCTGCAGACCGAACTTGACGAGATGGAGGAAGCTGCAAGGGCATTCGATCTCAAACCATTGCCAGGACAGACGGTAAGATAGTTTTAGCTGATATAATTTACGATAGGGCAAATCAATGATAAAGATTAAATGAAGCTAGTTCACGGATTTTATCGCGACAGTCTGTCCCGTGACCTTGAACGCTGGAAAGGGTCCGAAACGTCAGGAGTTCAAGTCAAAATAAAAAACGCGATAAAATCCGTAAACTAGTTTCATTTGATATGTATAATATTCACGTTAAATCAAGAAAACAATACAATGATATAGGTTAAATTAAAAATTTGTAATTATAGGTAAATCTCAAAAAATTCTTGGATACCATGAAGTCGGTGTCATGCACCGTAAAAATTCACTTTTCTCAAATTCAAAAACTATTAATTTATCTTAGAATTGTAATAAAACCAATTAATGATAAATATAGTATTCCATGTTAGTACTGTATTAATAGGTAAATTACTTTACTGAGTGCTTGGCAAATATCCATACTTGCACAATGAACAGTTTTGCATTTGGGTAGTGATCCTGCGTATTGCACCGAAGGTTGTGGGTTCGATCCCCACTACTGAAAAATTATTGTGTGATGAACATTGTGTTTTTCCAGTGTGGTGGTGGGTGTTTTATATCTATAATATGTATTTATTTACAAACGAAAAGTATGTTTAAGTATGTTTATCAGTTATCTAGTAACCATAGTACGAGCTTTGCTTAGTCTGGGAACTAGAGGACGTTGTATGAGAATGTGTCCCAAAAATATATGTTATCAGTAATAAAATTAAACCGTGCGCCGCCAGAGCGAGTGGGCGTCGTCGCGGCTGCAGGGGGCGTCGCGCGCGGCGGCCGCGGCCACGGCGGCGCTGGCGGGCGCGGCGCGCGTGCGCGAGCCGGCCGGCTGCGGCCGCGCCGCCGCCGAGCTGGCCGCCGCGCTGCGCGACTACGCGCCGCCGCTGCGCGCCGCCGCCGCCACCGCGCACCGCGACACCGCCAAGCAGATGCGGTACGCGTGCTACGCCCGCTACGCGCCGCTACGTGCCGCTACGTGCCGCTACGTGCGCGCACACCGCCCGCTTTGTCCATGAGCTGCCACTGGCTAATTTACGGGAAAACAAACGGACTCGATCATCTCAAAGTTCAAGTCCGATAGTATATGGAATACTGTTACCATATTTTGGCCCGATACAAATGACTATGATGATATTTTAATTTAGTTTCACTGAAATTTAGCTCACTGAAAGTTATTAAAATAGTGATCAAACAAATTTAATAAATTTTGTGATTGCGCTAGGTCAATTGTTACAGATAGATGGTGGCATATTATGTAGATATGGTTTCAATCAAGATCATATTGTTATTAAAAAGACAAAGAAAATACATAGACGATAAAAATAATTAGACTGAATCGGGGGTTGATTTATATTAGTTATATTTATTAACCAGATAATGATAATACATTGTGAAGTTTTTTATTATCTTTTAAATAAAGTATAGACCAAACCACTGTCACCATAATAAAAAATCATTAAATTTCTATATCTATTATTATATCTAAAAATATATAATGTAAACTTATAATGTAGATTTTCATTAAAAATTTTCATTAAACTATGAATCTTTTTTTATATTAATATTTTTTACGTAGTGTGATCTCCTCGGGTCGCCAAGTCCTGCATTCCTCTCTGACTCTGGTTGAGACGGTGAAGCAGTACATGAACACTTCGGATGACGTTGACACCGCTTCCATAGTGGCCATTGCAAAAGATATTTCACAGGTAAGGTAACATTAAAATGATATATCAAGGTACTTATTTTTTTTGAAATTCTACAATTAATGTTATAAAATATTTCACGCAGAACTTGGAACAAACGATGGAGGCGGTACCCTCGCATGCAGAACTCGACATGGCTATGGAGAACATCAATGAAACTCTCAATATCCTGAACATGGGAGAATTCCCACCATCCGATAAGAGCTACGGGTAAGTCTGTGCATTTAACACATCCAATCAGATGTTAAGAAAAATTATATTACCATTTGCAACATCTTATCCGGTGTAGTAAATGTCCATGGGCGCCGGTTATCACTTCAATTAAACCGCCGGCTCGCTTGTCACATAAAGGTGGTAGGGCAACGCAACACTGTCGCACGAATGGGCTGGTCCGTCCGGGTAAGAACTCACAGAAGACCGGCGTTAAGTAGAAGTGTTACCCTATTGCGTTTCGTCTGGTGAGTGAGGTATCCGGGGCCCACTTTATTTAAATGTAGCTAAGCATTTGCAACCCTACGGTTTTTGCAAATGTCCATGGGCGGCGGTTATCACTTAACATCAGGTGAGCCGCCAGCTCGTTTGCCACTTTCTCCCATAAAAAAAACCTAGTTTAAAAAAAACATCTCCCGCAGCGAGCTGCAAACGGAGCTGAACGCGGCGGCGGTGGGCCTCAGCACCGCGTCCTCGGACGTGGTGCAGGCGGTGGAGCAGCCGGAGGCGCTGGCGGACAGCGGCCGCCACTTCGGCCAGGCCTTCAACCGCCTCCTGGGCGTCTCCATGGAGATGGCCGGCCAGACCGAGGTGACGTATACGGCCCAACCCCTTTTTGACACACTTTAACAGTGCACGAAGAAAAGTAAACACTGGTCTACGGTCCACCAGTTCTTTGCCCTGTGCACGAAGAAAATTAAACACTGGTATGCGGTCTACTTATTCTTTGCCCATTTACCAGTGCGCGAAGAAAAATCATCCTCATTTCAGCCAGTTTGAGTCCACTGCTAAACAACAACGGCTTCCCCCACAGTGTACGATCCTGAACCACCTGCATCCATCATTTTCTCGCACACTTGCACAGGTCGTCACTCGATCTAGTGGGGCGTCGAGAAAAATAAACACTTATTTAATGAATTAATGAATTATTATATTATTTCTGTTTGTCATTATTGTAAACCTTGTTTACAATAATGACACTATTTCTACACTATTTCTTGTTTTTGAATACATTTTTTTTATATTTTTAAAATTCATAAACTTTGCAGGATCGTGAGGCTCAAGCGACTATGGTTAGCTCCATGAAGACCGTCACTGTGAACTCGTCTAAACTGCTCGGAACCGCGAAATCCGTTAGTCAAGTAAGTTTAAAGTATATTAAAAACGTTATACAGTACTTTGAAATTATCTTACGTTAAGTGTCAGCATACGTTATAATATAAATACATTTCTCTTAACCAGGATTTGACGCGCCCCAACGCGAAGAACCAACTGGCAGCAGCGGCTAGGGCTGTCACAGAGAGCATTAACCGTCTTGTAAGTTTAATTTTGTTTACAAGAACACTTTAGTGTATTATACTCTTATCTGAAAATGAACGATGAAAAAAATAATGCAAACATCAAAAATACCGATCAATGTTATTTCACTGTTTAAAATATTTTTTCTGATCTTATCAATATTATGTATAGATATAAATAAAAAAAAGTAAATTCAAATCCCAGTGCCTGCAACAATAAAATCGCGTTAAGTGGTGACTTATCACGAGCACGGTGGAGTAGGAAAGCATCGTGAAGAAACCAACATATTTTGGAAATAACTACAAAAAATATTTCGAAGATATATTGTCCACCAATCCGCAGTAGGAGCATAGAGCAATCCTTTGTTCAACAAAAAAGCTGTTACTTTAGATAGTCTTGTATCTTGCAGGGCCAACTGAAACGTCCCCGGAACGGTACACATTTTTCTGCTAATACACACACCTAATCAATCTGGGAGTACCACACTGAATTGTGTAGAGCCCTGCTAATCTCATCATTACAAACGTCCGAAGGGCAATTGTGTGTGTGCGTCGATAACGTGTGCATCATTATAAACATCCGAACGGGTCTTGAGTGTGTGTGCGTAATTAACGCGCGCGTGTGCGTGCAGGTGGACGTGTGCACGGAGGCGGCGCCGGGCCAGAAGGAGTGCGCAGCCGCCATCCGCAGTATCGACAGCACGCGGCCGCTGCTCAACGCGCCCACGCAGCCGCTCAACGAGCTCGGCTACTTCGCCTGCCTCGACTGCGTCGTCGACCAGAGCAAGGGGCTCAGTGAGTTCATTCATATATTACTATTGGACTCGCCGCTCTCAAACTGTTTTTAATTTTCTCTGCTAATAGTGTATTTCTTATTCCCGATTAGTCGCATCGAGACTGGTCTCTATTTAATGAAAAAATACCTAGAAACTTATAAAAATATACAGCTTAAATCGGACTAAATTTGCGAGCTGGACCTGATTGTACAAAACGCTCAAGTGCTGAAACTTTGATAACATTATAAAAAACAGTTAGAAATCCAATTTAATGATTGTAAACTGACTATAAAGCAAGACATTTGTTTACCAGGCGAGGGCATGTCGGGAATGGCGGGCGCCGTGAAGCGTGGGGAAACGGAGCAGTTTGCTCGATCCGTTGGCGCGGTCGCCGCCTCAGTGCAGGGGCTCGTCGAGTGCACCGCGCAGGCCGCTTATCTGGTGACTCTTTTTTTTATGTCAAAACTTGGTAAACGAGCAGGCTGTTCACTTAACATCGAGTGATAGTTGTGACTCTTCTTTTCTAATTTATTTTTTTAAGACAAATTTGGTGGACGATGTTAAGTAATTTCCGCTCCCGATGAGATCTACAATATGACGGGTTGCAGATGCGTTGCGAACATTAAAAAAGTTGGCACTTCACGCTGGTCTTCTGTGATACTGTGGTACTTTCCCGAACGTGCTTGCCCATTTGTGAAACAGTTGAAGATGCTGCGTGACCCTACCACAGAAGCTTCTACCGTCCATATGGTGATAGGGAGATATATAACCAAGAGAAGAGTAACTTATGGCCAAGCCAGCTCGGCGACATTATCAGCTTTTTTTATTAAATCACATAGTAATTTACATATTAGATGTACCCAGTGTTTCATAAACTTTTAAACAATTCAATGAATAAGTTATCTATATAGGGCTTTATCATAGACACGTTGTATTGAGAAAGACTCGTCTATAGGTTTATTTTTAATGCTGTCAAATGACAATTTATATTATAATAGTTTTTAATTACCCAAAAGGTGGCCGTTTCGGACGAAACCAGTGTGGCCGGTAGACCGGGGCTGGTGGATCAGGCGCAGTTCGCACGCGCCGCCCTCGCCATCGACCAGGCCTGCAAAACGCTGTGCGACAAGGACAGCAATCAACAGCAGGTATAGTGATGGTTTACTAGTTTCATAACAGTACAGTGTTTCAAAGTATGCTTGAAAATATCTGCGTCAATTAACCGATTCGTGTTCACTTTCAGTTTTAATGCCCTAACATATTTCGCTTAATGTATGCCATGACTAATTGTTCGGACAAAAAACAAAACCGACTCGAAATGGTTGATCCAGCCAAAAAATATAAGTGTAATAAAAATAAAAGTGCGTGGAGTCCCTCCGCGCGGAAGAAGTGAAACTTCGAGTGCATTCACTCTCGCTCTGTCTCTTTCCATTCCCCCTCCCCAGGAGCGTTGAACGTTTAACGCAACAGTGGTTTCATACCAACTCCACGGTAGCGTTAAACGTTCAACGCAACCTTGCCGGAAGTCGCATTAGAAGTTTAACTCGTAATGTACAATCGCGAACCGTCGGCCAGGTGCTGTCCGCGGCCACGGTGATCGCGAAGCACACTAGCGCGCTGTGCAACGCGTGCCGCGTGGCGTCCGGCCGCTCGGCCGAGCCGCAGAGCAAGCGCCACTTCGTGCAGGCCGCCAAGGACGTGGCCAACTCCACGGCCGCGCTCGTCAAGGAGATCAAGGCGCTCGACGCGGACTACAGCGAGGTAAAAAAGGCCTTTCTTCCTTTGCCACGTAACACTTTGGGCGGAGACGTAGTCGTAGTATTTGGAAGCTTTTACCCCTTGACTTTATATAGTATACTAGATAGCTGAGGTCGGTGTTATTAAAGGCCTATTACATTAATAATCTGATACGATATTTCACGAAATTAGATTACGTATAACTTTTAAAACTTACTCAAGTAATTGTTATAAATTCTTTGTTATTATTTTCGAACAAAAAATCCATCGGCGTAAGGCGTCTTTACATCAAATTTGAGAACCACCGCACTCGAGCTTATAAACGCAGCGTATTCTCACAGGATTTTTGAATTGTATCACGTTTTATTTCCTGCAGGTGAACCGCGCCCGCTGCGCCTCCGCCACTGGGCCCCTGTTGGACGCGGTCCGCAGCCTTTGCCAGTTCGCGGACAGTCCGGAGTTCGCGGCCGTGCCCGCGCGCATCTCACCGCAGGCCCGCACCAGCCAAGAGGCCATACTTGCGTGTGGCAGGTACATCTATACCATTATATTACCTTTCTTTATTTATTATATACTAGCTTATCGCCCGCGGCTTCTCTCGCATTGAAGCCCTTAAATAAATATCTTTCTCTTTCTGTATTTTTTTTAAGAAAGATATTTTCAACGCTTTACAACACTTTTTTCCAATTAAAAATTAGCCTATGTCCTTTCTCAGGCTCTATACGAAATTTCATTTAAATCGGTTCAGTAGTTTTTTCGTGAAAGCGCGACAGACAGACAGAGTTACTTTCGCATTTATAATATTAATATGGATTTCTTATCGGCCTTATCCCATCATTGTGAGTTAGAATAGTTAGGTATAAAAACAACTCAAACAAATGAAGCGTTAATACTACTAATATGTATGCTTAAATTAAAAAAAACACCATTTTGAACAACGGTGAAGAAAATACCGTGAGGAATTTTATTTCAACATATTTACGGAATAAAAAATAAATACTTCGCAGATAATTATGTGAAGTCTGTCAATCAGCAGTGGGGTCGCGTGATGGACTAAGGCCTTAGAGCTGTACATATCAAGCCCTTCCCAGCAGTAGAACACATAGAGGCTGCTCACTTCACAAGTTTATTGATGATTTTAGAGTGTTCGTGCTAAATTTAATTAACGCAAGTAAAGCTTTCTTTTTTAGCTTACATCGTTCTATTTCAACAGGAACATAATCTCGGGCTCGTGCTCCATGCTGGAGGCCGCGCGCGCCCTTGCCCTCTCGCCCCAAGAGAGGTCGCAGTGGCAGGCGCTCGCCGCTCACAGCAAGACCGTCTCGGACAGCATCAAATCGCTGGTCACCAACATACGGTAAGCTTATATCAGGTTTTTGTTATGTATTCACGTAGACGTACTTCGTGGCAAGGATTATCTACAAGTATATACTAAAACATGCTCACCCCTGGTAACGATTTTAGGAATTAAACGCTCAGAGCAATGAAGCCATCGTTATCTCAATCTATCAACTTTTAGATAATCGATGATTTTAAAATTTCTGCCTTCGCTTATTGTTGTCAGGTAAAACATTAAAACAAAACAACAGGCATTTAGTCCATCATTTATACTTTTTATAAATATTTTCAGGTGACCTGTGAGATGTTCTTTATAATTAAGAAACCACCTAAAATCACTAAAACCATTGCCATTATATTCATTAAAAAGCTGACGGTAGCCTGCAATAACTTTGACATTTAAACAACTAAATCTACCACGGGAGTTTTTATTTAATAACAGTGAACTGTATGTAAAAGCAACACTCAACAATAAAACATACTAACATACATACGTATATTATGTTTTTAGCTTCCACTGTAACATGCTTTAGGCATAATTTTGAAGCAAAATGATTTTGGTCGCAGCGAAAAGGCGCCTGGTCAACGCGAGTGCGCCGCCGCCCTCGAGACCCTGAACAAGCAGCTGCGCGAACTGGACCAGGTGGCCATCCAAGCGGTCGGCCAGGAGTTGCAGCCGCGCCAGGCCAACACGCTTCAAGGTGCGTGCATTGGGAAACGGGCGGAGAATGTTTATAAGCCTTCCTTGACAAGCAAAGGTCTACGCCCGGTGAAACACTGGTCAACGTTTCAGAAACTCAAATGTTATTTGAAAAGACATTCGACAGCTGATTAGTCAACTTCTACGATGATCAGTGTTTCAGAAACCGGGCGTTAGTCTGTGAAGTGCATACTAACCTGTCTCTGTTGCACGAATGGGGAGGCTCGTCCGGGGAAGTACCATAATATGTTCTGCGTTTCGTCTGGTGAATGAGGCAACGGAGGCTCACTTTGTTGAAAGGTGGCAACGTATTTATGACCTTACGTGTTTTCGCTTAAAATCAGGCGACCACCAGCCTCTTGCCACTTTCACGCATAAAAAACAACAAAAATGGTTTAATATAAAATTTTGCCCAGTGTCTTTTTACCGCTAAGCACTGACATTGGTGTCGTTAGTTACATGCTAGATTCAAAGCTCTAAACTGTAACCTAACGTCTCTCGTATATTATCTAATGATGATTTTGAAATGAACCCGATGGAAAATTTCATACATTTTGGTCGTTTTATAGGTTACTCAGAGCAGATAGAGAATGCAGCTGCCGAAATGCTGGAGAGGCTAGAGCCTCTGCGCGTGGCTGCGAAGAGCGAGGCTGAGAACTTGGGCCACGCGGTAGTTCAGCTTGTAAGTGGAGCAACCCTTCATTAATTTGTATTTAAGGAATCACTGTTAAACTGCACAAAAACAAAGGGTGTGGTTGAAGACCCAGTAAGCAATTAACGTTATCTTATCCTTTAAACGAGCCTTTAAACGAGCAATTCTTGATATATGTATATATAAATATATATATAATCGGAATATCGGAAACGGCTCCAGCGATTTTCATGAAATTTAGTATGTGCGTAGATTCGGGGGCGAAAAATCGATCTAGCTAGGTTTCATTTTTAGAAAATGCCCTTTTATCCCTGTTTTCAGGGAATGAAAAATATAATTCGAATATGACGGTAAATTTCGCCGCAAGAGAAAATGTCATAATAGCTCGGTCGGTAATCGGGCGGCCACGAAACAGAAGGCCGTGGTTCGCGTCACGATCATTTACACATTTATTTTTTTACTTTTTTTTCGATTCCAGATCATTGCTTTCTTTATTTTTAATTTTTTGTCGATTTGTTATTTTGTTATTTTTTTCCCTTTTTTTTAAAGTTGTTTCTTTTGTGAAAAACATGAGTTCATATTTTCTTATTATTACGTCGGTAAGATCGAAAAATATTATGCATATTTCATTACTCAGTTAGTTGTATCTAAATGTAAATTCCAAAATACACGATTTACCAAAAAAAAAAAAAAAAAAAACGAGCAAAGCTCGGTCCTCCGGGTACTATTAATTAACTTTAATACTGTTAATTAACGTCTTAAACCGAGTCTCTCTCAACATAACGGTTTCTTCTGTTCTCAATAACAGCACATCGATAGATAAAAGTAATTCCTGGTTTGTCTTGTTTTCAAATTGTTTAAACTGGCAAAGCGTTCTATACGTGTACGGCTAGCAAATTGCTATCCGTGTTCAATACACGTTATCTCACTTGACCGGACGTATCAATTGCGTGTAAAGTTAGCAAGCAATTAGTGCGCAATACACGAAAACCCTTAACGAGTCAAGTCCTGTGTTACTTTCGCAATTTACGTGTACCTACCGTTAGCGTTTCAAGCATTCTCAATAAACGAGTACAGTTGATGGCAGCCTAGTACAAGTTGACGTCCGTGGTCTTGTACCGTTAGCACGTCACCCACCGTGCTCAAGCGAATGTTCTCGCGCAGTTGTCGTATGCCCCCATCGTCCTCAGTACACGAGTACCATTGACGCGTCAAGCCTCATCTCGCTCGAATGGGCGTCCGAAGTCGTGGACCGTTGGCACGTCACCGGCCGTGCTCAAGCGAATATTCTCTCGCGCAGTTGTCGTATGCCCCCGTCGTCCTCAGTACACGAGTACCGTTGACGCGTCAAGCCTCATCTCGCTCGAATGGGCGTCCGAGGTCGTGTACCGTTAGCACGTCAATCGCCGTGCTCAAGCGAATGTTCTCGCGCAGTTGTTGTATTCACCCGTCGTACTCAGTACACGAGTACCGTTGACGCGTCAAGCCTCATCTCGCTCGAATGGGCGTCCGAGGTCGTGTACCGTTAGCACGTCAATCGCCGTGCTCAAGCGAATGTTCTCGCGCAGTTGTTGTGTTCACCCGTCGTCCTCAGTACACGAGTACCGTTGACGCGTCAAGCCTCATCTCGCTCGAATGGGCGTCCGAAGTCGTGTACCGTTAGCACGTCAACCGCCGTGCTCAAGCGAACGTTGTCGCGCAGGTGTCGTACGCGGAGCCGCTGGTGTGCGCGTCGGCGGGCGCCGCTTCCAACACGACGGAGTCGCGCGCGCAGGCCGCTCTGCTGCAGCACGCGCGCACCGTGTTGGAGACGCTGGCGCTGCTCGTGCACTCCGCCAAGCTGGCGGCCGGCAACCCGAGGGTGAGGCGCTGGTGCTCGGTGACGTCACCGCTTGTATGAGTGTAGGGCCACGAAACAGCCTGATTTTTATAGCATGAGGGTGAGGCGCTGGTGCTGATGGTACCGCACGACGCTCCTCCACAACGATTGTAGGGCCACACAACAGACTTTTTTTTTATAACCCGAGGGCGAGGCGCTGATGCTGCTGTTAACGCACGACACTCGTATATACGCTCGAAAAGGTTGCAAACGAGCTGGTCGTTTACCTGATGCTAAGTGATAAACGTCGCCCATTGACATTTATAGCACGATGGGGTGTAGGGTTGCAGATGTGTTGCCACCGTTAAAAAAAGTGGGCCACGGCTACCTCGCTAACCGGACGAAACGCAGAAGTATAACACTTCCACTTCACGCTTGTCTTCTATGAGGTCGCAGTAATTCCCCGTTTCATGCCCATTTCATACAACAGTGAAGACTGTTGCGTGGCCCTACCAATGTTTAACTTTTAAAAAGGCAGAAACGTGGATGATTGGTTGCGGAGTCTGATACAGGCATGAGTTATCGCTGCTTCAAAGCTGGTCGAAACGTTGACAATGAGATGTGGTGCCTATACACGGCTGAGCTGTTGCCTAAAAGTTGTGCTTAGTGTCAAGACGGGTTGAAACGTTATTGACGATGAGGTTGCGGTGCGTGTGCAGGGCTGATTTGTCGCCGCTTTAAAGTTGTCAAAGCGGGTCGAAACGTTGTTCACTATGAGGTGCGGTGTGTGTGCAGGCGGTGAACGCTGCGGGCGAGGTGGAGGCGCAGTGCTCGCTGGCGCGCGCCGCCCTCGGCGAGCTGAGCGCGCACGTGCGCGAGCTGAGCTCGCAGCGGGGCGCCGTGGGGCCGCTGCTCGACTCGCTCGCGCGCGCGGTCGCCCGCCTCACCGAGCACAGGTCAGAACTTGGTCCAGACTACGATTTAAACATACGGGTCGTGTCGCTGTGATTATCGCCGTGGGCCTCTTAAAAGATTTACGATTTAAGCCGAACAGTGTGACGTCACGGCCACGCTCTTTAGTACAGGTCTCGCAGCTCCTAGTTTTGACGTGGTCCTCTTGAATCTTTGTCACGCTGCTCGCTCTGAACAGTGTAAAATCCTACAGTTGGCCTAAAGGTCCTTGATACCGGGCCATAAAATCCAAAAAAAGGGTAACATCCAGGCCACGGTCTTAAGTACAGATCTCGCAGCTCCGAGTTTCGACGTGGTCGTCTTAACGCGCCCGTGCAGTATGACAAAGATGACGATTACTGAATGAAATGAAGTTTTATGGATTTATCCCTTTTTTCTTAATTATAGCTGCCGACGTTTCGAACCCTTTTCAGTGTTCATGGTCACTGGACAGGCTGAGGCGATGGACGCCTCAGTCTAAATTCGTAAAAATAGTTTAATTTAGTGATGTGTAATCACGTAAATACAAAAAAAAAGATAATGAGCTAACCAAAAAGCACGGTTATAATACATCTCCAGAGAACGGTTTTTAAAATACAGCATTGGAGTATATTACTCTCGGTCGCAGCGCCATCCAGAATTTCCTTCAAAGTGGAGTCACACCCACATTTAACAGAATAATTATTAGACCGTATTAAGAATTTACTGCATTTAATTTGCAATAAAATTGTTTTTCTGCCTAAGTTTCTACTAATTGCCGTACTACCCATCATACACCTGCATCGGTTCAATAACAAACATAAAATCCCACAATAAAGCGGCGTATAAATACTCAAAGTGGCCTTAACCGGCGGGTTAGTCAGCTGTGCGCGTTATATATAGGCCGAGTGACGGACGGACAGACGCGCTATTTGCGAACTTTATGTTCATGTCGAACCGAATGCGCATCGACCGATGCGATTGCCCCGTCCCAGCTATTTAGCTCGCTTCGAATGTTTTACTCTTCACATCTCACGAAAAGTTTTCGGTTATGTTTTAAGACGAAAATAAACGCCAAATTGTCTCTTAGCTCTCATTACTTTAAACAAGATGATGCTATCTTGTATTTATACAATGTCGTACGTACGTACACATGATTTAGTTCGATCAAAAACTACTTAAATCAAGATCAAAAACGAAAGTTGTCCCGTGTATGGTATATGTCCTTTTATTAGCAACTTACAGTATTTATAATACAGTTACCTTATCCAATTAAATATGAACCGTTTCCGCTATAAACATTGCAAAGTTACTTTTACAAAAAATGTGAAAGAACTGAAGATAAACCATATAATTGAAGATATTAGTACATAGTTATTTATGAGTTAATTTTTATACTTACTGTATGTTAGTAATCGAATTTCGAATATCGACTTATAAACTGGCTCTGAGCCAGAAGTGATAACTGAATGCAGATAATTGGAGAGGCCTATGGCAGTACGAAGCCCGCCGAACTTACTCGCCCAAGCAAATATTTAATGTACACTTCCTTTTCTTAATAATCGTACACATAATTGATATAATATATTAATATGCCTTTCATTAACCAAAATAAATGTATGTGTTGAAACATTCAACTTTCATTGTGTAGGTTTAATTAAAATATAAAATAAATATATATATAATAAAAATTAGGCGACCCGTATGGCTTAGTGGATAGTGTACCCGCCTCCTGCGCCAGACGGTTTGGGTTCGATCCCCACTACTGGAAAAATATTGTGTGATGAACATGGTGTTTTTCTATTGTCTGGGTGTTTATATATGTATAATATGTATATATTTACAAAAGAAAAGTATGTTTAAGTGTGTTTATCAGTTTTCGAATACCCATAGTACAAACTTTGCTTAGTTTGGGACTAGAAAATGTGTAAAAAATGTGTTCTAAAATATTTATTTATTTATTTAATTAAATATATTTATATAGTGTTTTCCTTCCTAGCGTGCTATTATATCAGTTGTCTCAATAAGCCTATGACCTGGACTAAGAAAGCTTTCTCTACCAAGTTTATATAGATATACTATAAGCAGACATTACGACATGTTCACTCAGTCGGAACGCAGACGTCGGCGTCTCATATCATCCGCCGTGCATCGCTTTCGTAATTCGGGCGATGATGAAAAACCTGTGCGTACATATCGCTAACGATGCGAATCATCAATTATCGCGTTCGTTGTGTTGCCATCGTGTTTAGTGTTTTGGTTTAGAACGTGATCTATTCGTTTTTAAGCCGGTATATTATTCGTTGTTTGTTCAAAGGGTTGTTCTCATTCCGTTGCTTCAGGATGTCGCTGATAGGGTCCTTCGACGAGACCGACTCGTTCGTGGACTACCAGACGAGGATGGTTGGCGCGGCTAAGGACATCGCCCGCCTCGCCACTGACATGGTAACTTTTTTTTTTTTAATTTTTTTTTTTTTTTTCATTTTCTCTAATGACAGGCGTCGGATGCTTCATTGTTTCCCGTGATAAGAAATGATGCAGTGTTTTCAAACACACATTTAACAGTACTCCCTTCGCGAACTGCTTATTAAGGACTTAAATCTAAACTCTTTTCTTAGTACAGAATTCACTTCACTATTTTTTTTGCTTTTTATACGCAGATTATTTGTAATTGATTGCTAATAGGTAGTTGATTTTTAATATGGATAATTCTAAAAATTTGAGTTTTGAATCATTGAAACGGTGCAAGAAATATTTCAAAACGAACGTCGAGATAGGAGAGTTTTTAAATTCCCTAGATATTTTTGTCATGCAGCAATGAATTGATAACTTTATTACCACAAGTATTAGGCAAATATTTCACACATGCACATGGTTCGTATTAAACGGTGGTAGGGCCACGCAGCATTCTATGCTGTTGCACGATTGGGCAGGCTCGACCGGTGAACTACCACGAGCTCACAGAAGATCGGCATGAAGTGGAAATGTTTAGTTTGGTGAGTGAGGTAAACGGGGTCCCTTTATTGGAAGGTGACGACGCTTTCGTTACCCTACATTAGGTGTTACAAATGTCCATGTGCGGCAGTCATCACTTAACATCAGGTGAACCGCCAGCTCGCTAGCCACCCTCTCACAATGAAATAACTGCTTTAGGCGGATATTTATGGAAAATTGTTCATTATTAACACAGACCGCGAAATCGGCCACCGAGCCCAGCCGCCTGGTGGAGGTGGGCAACGAGATGTGTGGCAAATACGAGCAGCTAGCCGGCGACAGCGTCGGCGCCTCCGCCACAACTCCCAACGCAGACGTCGCCAACAGGTAAGATAGATAAGAGAAACGTGTGTGTACGCTCGTAAGAAGTTATACTTCTTTGGCGTAGCAAAAAAGAAGTAACTAAAATTTAATACCGTCTGCCGGTACACTTTGTTTGTGAAGAAAAAAAGACATTTAATGGAATTATAACGGTTTAGTTGAATAACTTGGAATTATACGCATGTAAATTTCAAAAAGTTGTTATAGGTCAAGTCGATATCGTGCATCGTAAGAATTCACTCTCACATTTTTTCCCAAACGCGTCAAAAGAAGAATAACTTTAGAAAAAGAATATGTAATTTATTTCCTAATTAATTTTAGAGAGATGGTTTCTTGATGGTTCTTGGGTTCTGGTTCTAGTTAGCCCAAGAATTCGGCGTACGGTGAAGTTATAATAGTCCACGTATCGAAACCAAAAACATAATTTCCAAGTGAAGCGAAGAGTGGTGTAAAGATTTGTTCGTCTGCAGAATCCGCATGGCGGCAGTGGAGTTGGGCGAGGCGGTGTCTGAACTGGTGAAGGCCGGGGGCCATTGTCGCCTTTCCGCCATCGCGCAGAACCAACGCGCGGTGGCAGATGCCGCGAGGCGTGTAAACGAGAAGGTAACAAAACCACAAATTCCTCGTGAGTTTACAGTATACATAGTTTTCAAAGATCAAAGTAGTCTATCATACCATAAATATTTACATGTTCGATTGTTACTAGCCACCCATAATTACGATATATGTATAGAGGAGTTCCCATACTTCCAATTGTACTTTGTTAGTTTTTTTAACAGCTTTTTTACTCTAAGTGATTTATTTATTATTGTTACTTATATCTCGAATTTTACTATGATGTTACAATAAACAATCTCATCATTACAACTTGGTACCTTCAAGAGCTAGTGACAAATTAATGCCATATATTCTTTTTTGAGCAAATATGTAATGCAAATTTTGCCTTTTTTGTGAAAACAATTAATGTGGTATGTTCCGATGGTAGAGAAGAATTTCGCGTTCGTTTTAAAATGTTAACTGCTTTTCTAACGTTCCATACGGTTGCAGGTAGTAGGCGTCCTCAGCGCCCTGCAAGCCGGCTCACGCGGCACGCAGGCGTGTATCGACGCTGCTGCAACAATTGCCACCATCATTGGCGACCTGGACACCACCATACTCTTCGCCAGCGCTGGTATATATGGCTTATACACTAAAATACAAACGCACGTCCTTTGGATATTGGCACGAGCTATCAAGTGCATTATGTATTTGGTACCTCGTGCATCAAACATGATTCACAAAGTCTACATTACTTTATGTAGACCAAAAACTATTCTAACCTTCATACATTTATTTTCTCGGAATTTGAGACAGTTTATACTTGCAAAATTCTCTTGCGAAGCATTCACTTAATACTTTAATGATTTTACAGGAACATTGCACTCCGATAAAGAAGGCGACACGTTCTCCAACCATCGCGAGAATATTCTGAAGACGGCGAAAACTCTGGTGGAGGACACGAAGACCTTGGTGGGCGGAGCGGCCGGCACCCAGGAGCAGCTAGCATCCGCCGCGCAGAGCGCTGTCAGCACCATAGGTTCGTATCATAGTGTGTTGCATAACAGTCGTCCAGATCTTTTATGTGAAAAGTTGGCGAGAAAATTTGTGGTTCACGCGATGTTTAGCGATTGCCACTTTCATGGAAATCTCACTGCAAATGGAATCTTTCAAAAAGTGGACCCCGACTACGTCATTTGCTTAACAAAACGCGAAAGTATCATACTTTATATAGTATTACGAAACGGTAATCTTCTAACCCGATCAAGATTAGAGACTCGTCAAACTTTCTGACTACTCCAGGCATTAACTTCAATGTGTGTGTGTGTGTGTGGACGCGCCGAACGCTATCTAAGCTCTCGTGTTTACTCTGCACAGTGCAACTGTGCGAGGTGGTGAAGCAGGGCGCCATGTCGTTGGGCGCGGGAAGCGCCGAGCCGCAGGTGCTCGTGCTGAACGCGGCCCGGGACGCGGCCGCCGCGCTCCGCGACCTGGCCGCCGCCACGGCCGCCGCCAGCGGCAAGCACGTCGCCCACCCGGACATGCAGCGGCTGAAGCACGCGGCCAAGGTACGTCCCGCGCCACAGATGTTTAAGCTCGCGGCACGCGTCTCGTATCATTTGACGTTCGTCCCTGTCTGCCCCGACCGCGTGGACGGAGACAGCTGATCCGTTGATGGTATCACCGTCAGTACTCGCCGCTCTTGCATCACTTGACGCTCGTCCCTGTCTGCCCCGACCGCGTGGACGGAGACAGCTGATCCGTTGATGGTATCACCGTCAGTACTCGCCGCTCTTGCATCACTTGACGCTCGTTCCTGTCTGCCCCGACCGCGTGGACGGGACAGCTAATCCGTTGATGGTATCACCATCAGTACTCGCCGCTCTTGTGTCACTTGACGCTCGTCCCTATCTGTCCCGACCGCGTGGATGGAGACAGCTGATCCGTTGAGGGTATCACCGTCGATCCTCGCCACTCTTGTCTCACTTGACCTTCGTCCCTGCCTGCCCCGACCGCGTGGACGGAGACAGCTGATCTGTTCCGGGTTTCACCGATCATCATCGTCAATCCTTGGCGCCTGTAATGGGAATCAAATTATGCCATGTATAAATACGAAAAACCCAAGCAAAAAGCTGTGCACGACCCTTATGACTAATATTACAATCTCGATTACCTGACAAAATGTCCCTCTTTCACTTAGTAACGGAGACCATATGGGCTATAGTATGTCATAGTTTATTTTTCATTCGTAGGGTATTGACGAAAGTTTTACAGTTTGCGCTGAAACCGAACTTTTGACCAACACAGCTTTATGTATACAAACCGGTAGAAGTAGATAAATTAACTTTCATTATTATTGCGTTACTTTATAAATGTGCCCGAATTAGCAATGTTATGCATCTTTTATTATGAGATTTCGCACTTGTACATAAATAGTAAAAACACAATATTTGATCAACCTCAGTTAACCTAATAGATGACTCAGAAGGGACTTACATATCAAACCCACTCTTCATTTTGTGTCTGTCCTGTTTCCGTGTCCGTTTTTCTTGTACATTGTCTGTTGTCAATATTGGACTTTGGCCGCGACTAATTCACGGTTTTCCGATAGCGGCTGAGCGACCCAACGAAGCGCTGGAGTCTACCCATCAAAACTAACACAGTGCCCCGTCAGTCCAAGCGGCGTTCTGTTAACCTCGGCCCTAAGACTGAATACAATTCATGCGATTCCGAAACGGACATCTTCCAATCCGATCAAGAGGAAGAACTCGTAAAACTTCTAGACTATTCCAGCCAGGACGATGATGTGTCCCCCTCGATATTTCATGATAACTGTGAGGAAATAATAGCGTATATCGAAGGTCTGATGAGAGAAGTACCTGCGAAGAGCGTGAAAGACGATGACCTGAATCTACGATACAACCTCAGCTCCCGTAACAGCATATTCGATATGGACTGGAGGGTATTGAAGTACGGCGAAAATATATTTTTGGGTGAACTGAAGAAATTGGTGAACGCAGTGGTTCGGTTGGGTGAAAACGATGAACAGAAACGGAAGGAGGATACGTTACGTCGTAAGAAAGCCACTTCAGATCTAGATAACGAAATGAAAAGGTTATCTCAAGTTATAGAAGACCTTGATTCCGAATTCATTACTCCAACAGAGCCGCTAAAAAAAGAAATTTCGACACAAACTACCCAAACTACAAACACTACCGTGTCAATGACGGAATCCGACGAAAAAACACCAACAATAAAAAACATAATATTCAAAGTGAAAAAAGTCAAACCTGTGAATTTAGAAGACAATTCATATACAGATATAAAAGTAACAGATATGCCATCCGTTCGACCTCTTGACTATAGATCTACTAGTCCAGAAGAGAAACAAAAAGGCGAAACGAATGAAATAACAATAAGACCACAGTCTAGATCGAAAGAAGTGAAGTTAGAGTTTTGGAAATTGTTCAAAGATGACACAGAGTGGTGGAAAGCCCTGGCTAAGAGAAATTTGGAGAAAATGGAAGTGACTAGAAGGGAATTAGAACGCTTCAGCGGCCATGAGTTAGTTTTAGGAGAAATAAAGAATGAAATGGACAAATTTGAAAGGGAAAAGGAAACTTTACAGACGTTTATCGAAGAAGTCGATAATTCCAAAGCCATCAACAAAGACTTGGAATATAATAAGAAATATGAAGACATTGTCTTGAAACTGATCGAATTTGCAAAGAAAGATTTCATCTACAAAGGTTTCGATCCCCTTATTGAAAAGTTAAAAGCTTTGTCCAACGTACACGTTGAGGGCAGAAAGAAAAAAGTGCATATACAAGACATCATAAATATTTACAGTCAGATTGATGTGTCAAAGTATACATATGAAGAATTGTGTCTTCTTGAAAAGTACTATAAAGAAGTAATTAGACGATACAAACAAGAATCAGGCATTAAAGAACAGGAAAACCCTAAAATCGTTTACACTACCGAACCGAAAAGAGACGATGTACAGTCCGCGCCACCTTCTTTCAATAGAAACGTAATCTTAAACGTCCATTCCAGTCAAAATCTAACCAAAAACGTAAACCACTTCAGTAACACAACCATTACTAACGGAGACACGCTAAATCGATCAAAAACTAACAAGCAAGATTCTAGGCACAACTTGGAAATCTTTGACATGACTCGTACTTACCCCCTGGAGTACTACGCCAACAATTGGTGGTCCATTTACGAAGATATCCTGAAGAACCGTGAGCAACAATTCGGTACTATCGACAATTGGTGGAATTTCTACGAAGCAATATTGAACAAGAAGGAGACGACCGAAGAGGAGCTGAGTAGAATTCGAGCGATAATGGAATTCAGGAACAACACGAGGAGGTCTAGACCTAACAGTCGAATGGAGGAGCAGCTCAGAATGCTGGACGAGATGACGAACAGCAGATTCCGAGAGAGCGAGGATGTGACGACGCGCGACAACGACTCGGTCAGATTTCCCAATAGCCTGTACATTAACCGACCGTGCACCGCGTCTAACAAACGAGTCATGCAGAGCACGCAATGGATCGCATGGTGTGGAGAAGACTCGCTTGTCATGTTGTCTGGTGTTTGGATCATCGGATCATTGTTGTCGTTCTATCCTCTTCCTAATACTAGTGTTGGTATCATAAACATACTGCTCCATGTTCAAGAGCGCAGTCGCTTGAAACTGTAATTTCAAATATGATCATAACGGGTGTTATGCTTACGATATCATCACATTCTTCAATCATTATCAACGCCGTTGTCAATCATGAGATTTAGAAATGTGTTTAGTTTTGTTTTTGTGTCGCCCTCTGTGTGTGGCATGATCATTTCGGCCCTAGGTCGGAAGCATTAACATGAAACTTGCCTCTAAACACATTTCGCTAGAAACTTCGTGGCCCCCACATATCACGGTACAAGGTGACTCAGATCGCCGCTTGTTATTCAAGTCATAACTTCAAAAGCCACAAGCTTTCATTCTATTTCACACACACAGCGAAGCTTTGAAAGTCCAATATTGACGTACACACAAACAGCTTTTTATATTATATTTATTTTATTTACCTTTATTTATTTTTTATTATGGTTGAAAGCTTTTGGGTTTCAGCATGAGCTTAATATATCTGACCGCAATCGCATTGGGATTAATACGTTTTGTCGTCCATCGTATATAATTTTCACGTCCGTGGGCAACCCAAAGCTTTAAATACCTAGCGATGTGACATTTAGTTTCAGTTGTTTGTTTTGGTCTAACCATAAATTACGTAACATCACAATCTTCTATACAAATTAGGTTGAAATTTTTTTATATTGACATTATAATACGTCATATTTTTATGATAATAGTGATGATAGTAACACAAATGATGATAGTATTTTGTCTATTTAAATAACTACGCTCACAGCTTTGTCTATATCAATAAATGTTTTTACATAATGAATATAAAACGAGTGAGCATGTGCTTTTACGTTTTTGTTTTTTCATTTTAAGTATGGTAATATGTTGATTTCAAAGTATTTATATAATGGAAGTAATACATTTTTAATAACCATCCTCACAATTTTATTATGCTTTTTGGTCTCTGGGAAATAAATTATATCATTTTAGTATATACTTTAATTAATTCTGTATAATAATATATTATGTAGTTTATTCTATTTATCCTGCCGGTTTTTAAAACTTAACATGTTATTAGTACATAGGATATTGAGGGTAATTAATGTTGTATATTCTATTCCGCGTCCAGGTAATGGTGACCAATGTGACATCACTGCTAAAGACAGTCAAGGCCGTAGAGGACGAGCACACGCGCGGAACCAGAGCCCTCGAGTCCACGATAGAAGCAATCTCTCAGGAAATAGAGGTAAATTTTACCTTTGAATCTTTTAATAATTATTCATTTATAGTTCTAACTGTAAATAGTTCATATTCGACACCAAATTTTTATAACATAACTAGCTAACTCGGCAAACGTTGTTTTGCCATAATTATAAATTATTTCTAGAGGAATCTGAACGCACGCATAAAATGTTTGACAGGTTACACAGACACCGATGACAGATTGATAGGTACAGTTAATATAGAAAAATAAAATTGTTGCTAATTTGATTTTCCATGCAATTTTTCCATAATTTCTCATCGTTTAAACCTTCACTGGACTGCCACAAATATTTCAAAACCTAAATATGCCAAAACGGGTCCATCCGTTCTCGAGTTTTAGCGAGACTAACGAACAGCAATCCATTTTTATATATAAGATAAGTTAACAATCATAATCCCTAATTGGGCAAAAGTCGTTTTATTTTCAGGTCTATTTTTAACACATTGATTTACCAGTACATAACTGTTTAAACTGGTCTCTGAAATCTAGTCGACACTAAAAACATATTTGTGTACTTGTACGCACGTAAGTAGTTAAACTATAACTTCTTACGTTTAGCGTAACAAAAGAAAAAAAAAAGAAAAATTTCAACCCGAGTGCCAGTACTCTTTGATTGTGAATAATGCCTATAAATAACCTTAAAGAATTCATCACGTTGCGCCAGGTGCTGATGTCGCCCTCGCCGCCGAAGAGCACCGCAACGCCCGAAGAGCTGGTGCGGTGCACGCGGCTGATGACGGCCGCCACGGCCCGCGCTGTCGCCGCTGGCAGCGCAGCCGGCGCCGGCAGCCAGGACCAGCTCACGGCCGCCGCCAATTTAGGGCGGAAGACCGTCGTCGACATGATGGTCGCCGCCAAGGTATTGCACCGCTCACCAAGTTTACAACTGGAACGATCCCCCTCATTTTTACCTGTTCCGATCTCCTAAGTGATTCTATCAATCGATTCCTTCACTATTGGCCTTTAGGTGGCATTTACAGATCCACCGGGCTTGAGGTGGCGGTGCCTAGTTACTCCATGAGACGTCTTCGGTCGCTTTGGCGGACGCTCCATGGAGTTACTAGGCTCAAGGGCTTTCGGCTTGGGCAGTTTGATAATGACGGTTCGAGGGTTCGGTGCCCCAGAAGGCCGGACATCGGCTCGATCGGTAGCTATCGTCGATCTATCCAATCGAGATGTGTTTTTGTTTTTTTTTTGGACATCATAATTTATCCCTGATTCTACTCTACTACTAGTCCAGTGTAAAACCGGCAGAAGGATATACGTAATATTTCTCGTTCCTATTTCATGTTGTTCATCCGGGAATTTATTGGAAACTTTGCGGATGAAATTATAGACGACGTAGCGGATTTATCTCCTCCAGTATTACCCATCATGAGTAATAACCATCATACAAGTGTTAAATACGCGGCATTCGACTCGTGCACAGGGCGCGGCGCAGGCGGCCGAGACGGAGGAGCTGCGCGCGCGCACGCTGGAGACGACGCGCGCGGCCGGCGAGGCGTTCCGCGCCCTGCTGCAGGCCGTGCTGGCCGCGCCCGGCGGCGCCGCCCGCTCCCACCTGCCCGAGCTCTCGCGCAGGGTGGCGCGCGCCGTGGCCGACATGCTCGCCGTCGCGGAGCTCCTCAAAGGTGCCGCCGCCGCCAATATCGCTGCATACTATAAACAAAGTCGCCCCGCTGTCTGTCTGTCTAAAACTACCCAACGGACCTCGATGCGGTTTTCTTTACTAGGTGGAGTGATGCAAGAGGAAGGTTTGCATGTATAATACATTGCACCCATGCGAAGTCCCCCTGCGGGTCGCTAGTAATAAATAAATACATTTTTTTACACAACGTCCTCTAGTCCCAAACTAAGTAACGCTTGTACTATGGGTGCTAGATAACTGATTAACATTCTTTTGTAAATAAATACATATTGCAAATATATACCAAGACACTGGAAAAACACCATGTTGATGACAGTGAGAATCGAACCCACACCCTCTGACTCAAGTGGTAGGTTCACTACCCACTACGCTAATCAGGTTGTCAATATTATTTATTTATTTATATATCTCGGCAGCTACACCGACAGGAAAGTATATAGAGAAATTTGTGTTCTAAGCTATAGGACCGTACACACGACATTACAAGATACATAATAAGCCTATAATGTAACGAAGTCAAGTACCTAATTCTATAACTGTCGATGTATAGTGGTTAACAGAGGTGCCACTTGGTTGCAGGATCGGAATGGGTGGACCCCGAGGACCCGACGGTGATCGCCGAAGCGGAGTTGCTCGGCGCGGCTGCGTCCATCGACGCGGCCGCCAGGAAGTTGGACGCCTTGCGACCGCGCAAGCCGCCGAAACTACAGGTGCCTACATTATATTCATATCTTTCGTTCGACGCTCGCCTTTTGTGTATTTACCAAGAATATTATAAAGTATTATTATGAGTATTTATGTCCCACTGCTGTGCAAATGCCTACCGTACAGAGGGTCCATTATGCAACTCCTCTGCGTATTAGCATTAACATTTTTGAAATGTATTTTTGTTCCTTCAGCGATGATCATAAGTTAGCACTTAAAACTGTCAATTTAATCCAAAACTGCGCCCTATAGTTCGAAATTGTTCTATATCAACTCGGTTCTACACACGCAAAATCATAACACTGTATTTTTATCTTATTTTTAACACATTATATTATGTGACCATGCTTGTTTTTTTTATAAATTATTTTTATTAGTCGTAGTTATCTATTAGCATATCTATTCACGTCAAATTTTATTGTAATGATTCAAATATAGCGGACTTATATCTAGAGATCGTTACTGCGACGCACCGAAGAAAAGCAGAAGCAAAATGGCACGTTTCGGTAAGATATGTTTGATATTCTTGGTTGTATCTTTCGTATCACCCAGGAATCAAACATATTACCTATCGATCGTGACCGAAAGCACCATTGAGAAGAAAGAAGGTTTAAATTAATCGAAGAAAAAATGAATGCAACATGTCCAATATTTTGTAACACTTCTCTTGTAATAGCGTTGCAATAGTTTTGTTGCAATAATGGAAATTCTGGTATTTTGTCCTAGGAGACTGACGAAACTCTGAACTTCGACGAGATGATCCTGGAAGCTGCCAAATCCATCATCACTGCCACGTCCGCCCTCGTAAGAGCCGCATCGGCAGCTCAACGTGAGCTTATAGACCAGGTCAGTTATTTTTTTGTGGACACATTTTTACACTGTCACACATTTTAAATATAGTATATATTATTTTCTCTTCTCTAGTTACATAGTTTAGTATCAATATGAACAAAATGATAGAGGTTGCCTGGTAGAAATTACTTTTAGTAATAAGGCCGCCCATTGTGGCCATCACTTCTACATAAAGTTTTTGATTTTTGTTTATTTTATTTTTGGTATGCAATAAAGTATATTCATTCAATCATTCAATAAAAAAAAATAAAAACTTGTCTAAGAAAATTAAAAAAAATATTGTGATGAATATCCAACAAAATGATGATAACAACGACGACCGCACTGACGGTCCAAACGACCGACGCGTGATGCGAGAAGAAAATTCTGACGAGCGCCTCCCGCGGCCCACCGAGAATCGAACCCGTGCCCCATCTGACCGTCCCTCGCTCCTCGCTCCTCGCGCAGGGCAAGGTGGCGCGCCGGCCCGAGTCCTCGTCGGACGACGGCCAGTGGTCCGAGGGGCTGGTGTCGGCGGCGCGGCTGGTGGCGGCCGCCGCACACGCGCTGGTGGAGGCGGCCAACGCGCTGGTGCAGGGCGCCGCCTCCGAGGAGAGGCTGATATCGAGCGCCCGCCAGGTCGCCTCGTCCACGGCGCAGCTGCTCGTCGCCTGCAAGGTTAGTGCGCGCTGCGCTCGTATCTTTGTTGTGTATATTGTGTGTATGTAATTTTTATATATATGACCTAAACTTTTTATGTATGTATGTATTTGTATTTATTATTCTATATGAAAATTAAAAATGTTTATTAAGATAAAGATTTACAATTGTACATACTAACCCCCACACTAGGCGCAGCCTGTCCTATATACATTGATATTTATAATTGTTACGATTACTTTACTTTGTAATATTTATAACAATGTACACACCCTCACCTAGTTACCTGCCATTATTATTGATTTCTTATTTTCAAAGGTCTGCTGGAAGAGAACTCTCTTCATAGTTAAGCTCGCCTTTGTACATTTTTTTTTTTCATTTCAACCGTCTTCTATTGGGAAATTCAGCTTTCAAGTAAAAAAAAAGAATCATCAAAATTGGTTCTACTAAGTCAAAAGTTCTTAGGTAATAAGCATAAAAAATAAAAAAATACATTCGAATTGAGAACCTCCTTTTTTGAAGTAGGCTAAAAATGGTAATATGTGTGCACTAATAAAGATAAACCTTAGTTGGTTGTCGATATCTCGCCCAGGTGAAGGCGGACCCGTCGTCGGAGTCGACGCGTCGGCTGCAGTCGGCCGGCGCGGAGGTGATCCGCTCCACGGACAACCTGGTGCGCGCCGCCCGCGACGCGATCCACTGCGACGACGAGCGCAGCCTCGTGCTCAACCGCCGCATGGTGGGCGGCATCGCGCAGGAGATCGACGCCAGGTGAACACCGGCCGCGCTGGACCCCCGCCGGCAACGCCGCCCAACCGGCCGAGGGGCCACCGCCCCTGGCCCCTTTTGTTTTGTTTCATGTACATGTTAAGAGGTAGCACTTGAAACGCGGAAGTGTAACACTTCCACTTCACACAACACGATTCCCGGACTGAACTGGCCCGTTCGTGCAACAGTGAAGACTAGCGTGGTCCTATTACAGATCACTACCCTCTCCCGCCCTCCCCTTGCGTTGCCCTCAAGACCAGGCCTTGCCATTACGCCAAACACGGTCAATGATCAATTCCTAAACGCAGATTAACGTGGTTGCTGCCAAAAATAAACTGAATTATAAATTAATCTGAATCACATACCGTCGGCTTTTTGACGACCCGATTAGCGTAGTGGATGGTGGACCTGTTTCTTACGCCAGATGGTGTGGACGCGATCCCCACTAATTACAAACTTACAAGAGAAAAGTATATTTATGTATATTTATTTGTTACCTAGCACTCATAATGCAAGCTCGCTTATGTGTGCAACTTAATAACGTTGTGTACGAATATGTACTACAACATATTAATATTACTGTTATTATTTTAGGTAAATGCACTTTTGTATGAACTAAGCAATTCGTATCGGGATTCTAAACGATTCTGAGGCATTCAATTTTCGTTAACAGTAAATCTTTGTTATAGATCCGAGGTGCTTCGCATTGAGAAGGAACTGGAGGAGGCGCGCGGCCGCCTGACCGCCATCCGCCAAGCGAAGTACAAGCTCAAAGCTGGAGACACCTCCGGAGACGACACGGACACCGATGTACATCTAGCGGGCTACTCCAGCGACGCGTCCACTCACCACAGGTGATTAAAGCGCTTGATGCTGAATGGCTTTTATTTAGACGCTTTGTGATTTTCTCCGTGGCGCAGTTGCTAAGCTGTCGACTTAGGCGCCGGGGCTCGTGGGTTCGATTCCGAAACAGCAAAAGTATTCGTTACCACGGATAATTGATCCGGATCTCGGTGTTTATTCCCAAGGAGAGCAGGCAGTTTGCCAATCGTAAAATATCTAGGTAACACCATTACACAAACCTGATTCAAACCTAGATGGATAAGGCAGAAGAAAGAAGTAGTTTAAAGCTTAGCTCATTCATAAATTCGCTGTATAGTAGAACGAAGGATATCTTTATTACATTTCAATCAGGCATTCAACGAAATGTTTTCGTAAACCTCGCATAAGTTGTTATTCATATGGCTATTCGTGGTTGTCTATCCTATTTCCCGCCCAAAAATTCACGTTTTTCACGAACCAATTTTCCAGATTCAAGACGCCCAACAGCAGCTTCGCGAACACCACGTACAGCCCCAACAGCACCTACTCCACGCACAACGCAACCAACGTCACCCAGAACACGACCAACATATCGCACCACGTGTCCAGCCTCAACCAGTCCGTGCACGGCGGCCCCACGAGCCCGGGGGCGAAGCCCGAGCCGAGCCCGCAGCCCTACAGCGCTAACGGCTACCAGCGCGAGGAAAAGCACACCCAAGCCCAGAGCCCCACCTTCTCCAGCTTCAGACCCCAAGAGGAGACCCCCAAGCAGAACTACGAAGGTTTCACCACACGGTGAGTGAATGGATCGGAGACGCCACGCTTCTGTCAGTTGTGTCGCGGCATCAGTTTCGAAACCACTTCATCATGTTTCACAACACCTTAACGCGTCTGAATGAATTTTTCATCGGGAGCGAAATTCGAGTCTTCTAATTAATGGACTTAAAACGCACGCATAGTGAAGCGAGGCAGAATGATTTGGACTGCAGCGCGAGCGAGAGGGAAATACTATCTCTTCGCATTCCGTCTATTTCTCCTCCGATCCTATGAACTTTGTTCTAATCCTATCATAATGTATACAATAATTCATGACTCGAATAAGCTCCGGAGACGCGTTTACGAATATTCATAAATAATTAATATTTATAATTCATACATATCTATGATTCTTGGATAATAATTATAAAGATTAAACTGATTTTCACTGTAATTGCTAAGTCTGATATTAACTTTATTATTCATCGCTGTATACTAATTTTCATTGTCAAATTACAAGTATAAGTTCTTTTCTAGTTTGTAACTAAATAGAATAATTTTTACATTTAAGCTATCATCAAGACTGCTACATAATAATAATCTCTGCTTCTTTACACGCTGCCATTGGATTGTATGGTCAGATGATTAATTTACTTCTAATCAAAGCCCTCTTGTAATAAGTGCCTTCGCTCTCAACTTATGATTAGTGCCTCTACTAAAATTAAATAGAAAAAACTTTGTATTTATAAAATTAGAAATAACAATGCCATGTGCCCTTCCATATTGTCAAAGGTTCGTATATAGTTTGTTTTGAATTTTAATTGGAAATTCCTTGGAAATTGTTACATTTTTGGTTGTCGCCACTTATAATAGAAAAGTGCTTAGTGTTATTGTACAAAAAACTTTTTTTCTTTCCATGGCAACCGATCGTGTAACTATCATGCTAATTGTATCGAGCGCCACTTTTTATACTATGCTTCTCACTATATTTAACTTGATTAATGCTATAATTGGATAGTTATGAAGCTGGATCTTTAATATTTTTGAATTGTCTAATATTTACTCCCTCTTATGACGATACAAAGACTTTTAAGATAATATGTACAAAAAATTGCAATGGTAACTCGTCTATTTTTATTAAATTAATCAAATGAATAATTACTCTGTTGCAATTCTTTGACACACTATTTAAAATACGTCCGCTAGAAAGCTCTTAATATAACTTTGCAAAAAAAACTATCATTATGTAAGGCATGGAAGGCTTGCTTTTTCCGCACATGACGTACCAGTCAATAAATTCATTCATTCATTGTCATTTTTATAATTTTTATCATTTGCTTTATATTCATTGAAATATTATTAATAAGCTCTATTGACTGGTATATATTTAGTTTATAAGATGTTCTACTCTGTATAATGTAATTGCAACGAGATTCAAGACTCTTTAAATAAAAAAGCAAGTAAAAGTCGCTTTTAGATAGTATTTATTAACTTCTATGTTGTATTAGCACTTCACAGATAGCCTAATCTTCTAGTAGCTATCCAGAATAATCTTCTAGCAAAACGCAATGTGTCAGACTATGAAACTATCGTGTGCTGTTACTAAACCGTGTACTCAAGTAATAATTTCGTTTGCAGAGAAAATACGACCAGTAATGATAGAACGATGAAACACGAGTAAGTCGCTGTAATAATGAGCTTGACACGCCGTAAAACGGCCGTTTTGTTTTTCCGTTAAATGTCCACATTGCGCGCCGCTTCCCACCGCGACATACGAACATCGTTCTGTACATATCGGGCTTTAGTGTACCACTCGTAATACAAGCTTAGACTAAGTAGTGGCGACTAACTACTAATCGTTTGTTTTCTCTCCCCCCCCTCCTTAAACCCTAACCTGCATGCGGGTGATTAACCTAAATAGGACGAGCGTGACGGAGGAGACGGTTGTCGTGAGGTCGTTGCAGCTGCCGGAGGTGCGTACGGCGTATTTGGTATCGGACGACGCTACGGAGGGCGACCGAGTGTTCTACAGGAGGGAGAGGCCGCCGCCGCCGCCGCCGCGGCGCGTTTCCCTACTAAAGTACGAGGACAACGCTAGTTGATTGGGTTCGTTCTGGCTCTTCCACCCTATGCGCACCGGGCTCCGACCATCACCACAGGAAAAGTTCATTCACACCGCCCGGGACCCCCTCCCCCCGCACAATGCGCCCGCCATGCGAGCACTCCCCGTCCATGTGCATAAGTATATGTTGCACTATCTAATACACGCCGTGTTTCTCAGTAACACCCTTTCTATGTCTCGCTGTCGTGATTAATCCTCCTTCTAACGCATGCCGCATGCCGGTGTTGGTTAACGCCTACCTTCTTTTCGGTTGCGGAAGGACCATTAGGTTTGTCGACACGCGCTCGCCGACGGACTAATCATTGATCGCAATATTGCAGCTACGAGACCCGACTCTACGACACACCGCGACCTATTAACGAGTACAGTAAAACCGAGGAGCAGCGCCAGTTCGAGTCCAATCAGTTCTCGAAACAGGAGCAGCGTTACGGCTACGACGCGCAGAAACTGCCGTCCCCGCTGAGCCCGAAATTCAACGCCAGGGACCTCAAGTTTGACGAAAGACCCGAGCCGATTTACTCCTCCCTCAAGAAGCCGACCACCCCCAAGTCGCCCTTCGACGGCGTCGGCCAGAGCTTCGCCGAACATCAGAAGTCCACGGAAACAATACCGGGCGGCACAAAGCATTCCGAGTACACCGTCAAGAGCGAATCGTACCAGAGCTACCCGAAGACCGAGTTCATCTCGACCGAGACCAGGCAAGAAGTGAAGTCTCCATTCGCAACCTCCACCCCGACGAAATTCGAGACCGGCCAGTTCACGGAGTTCACGAAGAACTCCACGGACCTGGTGAAAGCGCCAACGCCCACCTACGAGAGGATCGCCTCACCGTACGGCAAGGAGGTGCACAGCTACGGCGGCCCCAACTACCTCGAGGAGACCACCACGGAGGTGAAGGAGATACCGAACGGCACGCAGAAGATTACCACCACAAAGATTTACAGCTCGTCGCCAGTCAACATGACGAGCACCAGCACGAAGTACGAGCCGATCAAGCTCGAAGGAATCGACGAGCTGTCGAAGTCCTTCGACAACGATTCGAGATACAGCACCCTGGACTCGCGCTTCAACACCCTGGACTCGAAGCTCAGCTCGGACACCAGCCGCTCGTTCATGCGGCCATCTGAATTCGCCACCTCCGACTACCAGGCGACCAGCAGCGTCAAGGTCAAGAAGCCCTCCGACCTGCTGAAGGAAATCGACAGCGTGGACAAGAAGTTCGCCAAGCAGACCATCACCTCGGAGACCATAGAGCGAAAATCCGTGATGACCAGCTCGCACAAGTCCGAAACCAGCTCGACCGTTACAAAGAAGTTTGGCAACTTCTAAGCTCGCCATCGGTTTAATTGTACGTCGTTAACAGTACTCCGACGCGCTTAGTGTGTTTATGTGACTGAATGCATTTTTTATAAAACTCAATAGCTGTTAAAAACACGAGATACAAACTTTTTTTATATTTTAAAGTTATATTGTGCACTTGTGTTCTTGTGATAATGTTGCATTAGTCATTTCGTTTTATGCCATTAAATTTTAATATATATGTCGAAGAAATTTTTCTAACAAGTATAGTATAGCATAGTAGTTTTGTAATATTTAGAATTTGGAGCGAAATTTTTATATTACTATTATCACAAGAACACTCATAGGTTTAGGACATAATCAGAGGTGCTAAAATAGTATATTTATCGACGAATGTCGCAATGCAGTGCCTGTACCGCACGGTACTATTAAGCTATATTTAAGATTTTATTTTCTATTTTTAAAGATTTATTGTAGTTGATCTTTTTAAGAGTTTTAATTTAATTGCGGGAAAGTTTCAATGATTGCATTTAATATTAAACTTAAATGTTTCTAATTCATCGAATTATCTTCTGATTAAACAATAGTGTATAAAAATTTGTTGATATTAGTTATAGACAAGATATATTACTTCACCCAATGAAAAGGAAGCAAATATTTGTTTATAACTTTTTGTATTTTAGTTTTATAACGTTTTTAAATTTATTTTGAGGACTTTCTTATTGATTTTCTTATAAATCACTCTCACAATTAATTGTGAAGAATATTCAAATGTAATCATTGAAAGCCAAATTCACAAAGTGCTAACCCCATGATAGGGTCTCATTAGGGTTGCCTTTAATTATTATATAAGACACTAACATTTCATACTGCAGACTCGTTAGTATATTTCAATTTTGAAATATTACTCAAAATATAACTTGTGACATATACAGCGTGTCGTTACCATCACGACAATAAATGAACACACATATAGGGGATAACTTTTTAAAGTTGTATTAAACATTTTAATTCTTTAAACATCAATATTTACAGAGTTATAAAATTTTCCAAAACAAAGAATTTTAGAACACCCTTACCTATAAAAGCGTAACGTAAAGTTCATTTGTAAAGGTCACAAAGCATATGAATGGGTTTAATGAATTTAAAAGAGACAAAACATACTGTTAGAAGGAGAGGCTTGTAATACGACACTGTGGCGCGAGTTGTATAGGATGTTACAAATTTTGTTTCTTTTTTTACTTAATTAGTTTGTTTGAAAAATATTTTTTTTTTAATTATGGATTTTGTTTAACGTTAATATTTTTTATGATTATTGGCAAGTAGCGTTAGACGTGTGTTCATTTATTGTCGCGATGATAACGACACGTTGCATATATATAATATTGGGAATTAAGGAATTTGTAAAGGTGACAAAGTTTTATCTACTCAATGATAAATTTGTGTAACATATTCCCTAACAAAAATAATGTTAGCTAAATGAGTTTGCAATTGAAATAATCGAAAAAATCTTTGAATAAACTGTTTTAAAGTGAAACAAGTCATGGGATTGCCATAAATCAAAGTGGTAATTAAATTTATATTCTATATTTATAAATACTGAACTCTGTGCCTTCAATTACCAAATTAAATATATTTATACATCATGTCAATTTCTATATGTTGACTGCATTGTGTTATTAACCTCAGGACATTTTCATGTGCCATAGAGAACTACAAAATAGGTTATTTAAAAAGTTTAGTGTGTGATTTAATGAAATCTTTATAATAGTTGTAGTAAACGTTTGGTGCAATCTTTGTAATTAATTAACGCGTTTCTCAAATGAGTTGATGCAAACGTTAAAATTCTGTTCTTTTTTCTTATTTCTCTATGTGACTTTTATTAAAGTAACACGATCTCTGTTTATTATTTTACTTGCATGAGAGAAATAGCACGTTTTAATGTTTTCACACGTGAATGATTCTAGTTTTCAAATCTATTACATACTTTTTATAGTAACTGGCAACTTTGTTGACAGCTCTCGAATTAGAGATATTTTTTATTAACCTATATTAACATTTACTAAATTAACGTCTGAGCATGTTTATGTTAAATAATATAATGAATTCGTATTTTATAGAGGTATGTCTAATGGGTGATAAGCATAGAAATGTCAAAAAAAATGGTTCTATTTATTGAAACGTTCTTGTGCCTTAACCAAATTGCAGCTTTTGCTTGTTTTGAAAATTATATTGTATTAAATTAGAAAGTAGTTCATATAAGCTATACGAAGGAGGGCTCGCGGGAGCTATTCGTCCACTGAAGGTATTGAAACACCAATCAAAATAGGCTAGATGCGTGTAATTTCAGTAGTTGTTAATCTAACTGTCTTTATTACAGTCCTTTTGTTTTCATAATGCGTTTACAAGTCCTAACTGTCATCAGTTATGACAAGTTTTCACAGGCTATAGTGCAATGAAAGAAAAGGACACATTGCGAACTCGATAGGATATTTTATTGGAACGACTAATTATTCGTAAAGTAAGTAAATTCAGATTAAGTGTCTTATTAATAATTCGATGATGTAACCTTTTATCGACGTATTTATGTAGTAACGCAAATAACCAAATCTTGTCTGGTAGATGTTAGTTATGTAGAGTAGTACATAAGTTTTATTACACTATCCTTAAATAATGAAACAATATTCGTAATTTATTAATGTCAATTGAATGTGTCACATTTATTGCATCGAATCTACAATGAATATTCTCCTCCAACTATCGGAATCGTAATTAATAATTTGTTAATTTTACTGCAGATATATTTATTGGATTTTCTTCGAGAGCAGCCTGTAGCTTCTATTTAATATTTATCTTAGTTGGGGCATTTTGTGGTATCTCAATGTGTATAACTACATTTGAATGTAACAATAAATTGTAACTAATTATGTATTACGATTTGTTTTATTTATTTGAAAGAATTATTGAAAAAAAATTCTTGGACTGGTCTGGATTTTGGTGGACTCAACAGGCTGAAATGATGATGATAATAAATAACCACGTATACACGGTGGTTTTTAGACGAAGTACATACTTTGAAATAACGTTAATTGAGCATTCCATAATTCAAAAAAAATATTTTATTTTGACAATTACTAACCAGAAAAATATTAATTCAAGCAATGCTTGTTTATCCCGTTAAAAGTGCTCACCCTATTTATAAGCGGTAATAATATTTGGTAGCAACGCAAGCGTTGATACCAAATATACTTTGATGTCGTTGTGACTATCCAGGAAGAAACTCGAGGATCGCTAGAAGAACGAAGAAACGCTCAGGTCGGTACGAACGCTCATATTTTCTCTTATTCTTGCACGTACTACGTAGCATGGGACGAAATTTGCCATATCAGAAAATAATTTGTTAACACATAATAATAAAAGTAAATAAGACAGAATATCATAAGTATTCCAAAAAAAAATAAAGTAACAGCCTATACATGTCCCACTGCTGGGCAAAGGCCTCCTCTATACAGAGGGTATCAGGGCATAGTCCACCACGCGGCCCCACTGCGGATTGGCGGACTTCACATATCTTTGAAATATATATTTTTTTGTTATTATTTCGAAAATGTTTTCAAATTTCATCACGATGGTTCTCTCAGGCGTCTCCAAAGGTTTTTGCCCTTTGAAACAAAAATTACTCTCGCCCAGTCCCTTCTACCTCTTCTTGACTATGCGGACGTATGCTACTTGGATGCTGCGGAGGAAGTGCTGAATAAATTGGAACGCTTACAAAATTTGTGAATACGCTTCATTTTTGGGCTGCCTAAATACGATCATATTTCTAGCTTCCGATCCCAGTTGAAATAGTTACCCATACGTCGCCGTCGAGATTTGCATGTAGTATCCACACTTTACTCAATTCTCAAAAATCCTGCGGCTCCTCTGTACCTCCGTGAGCGTTTTGAGTACATGGTACCGCGTGGTCAACCCTGTCGTGAGATCAAATCCCATGTTCTAAAATTACCCTCGCACTCTTCTTCCTGTTATGGCAGCTCTTTTACAGTACACGCAGTGCGTCTCTGGAACTCTTTACCTCATAATGTCCGTGCCAGTCCATCATCGAACGTTTTCAAGAAAAGAGCAAAGGAGTTTTATTCATCCACATAAAGTATTTTTCTTCTTGTAGTTATACAGCGTGTCGTTACCATCGCGACAATAAATGAACACACGTCTAACGCTACTTGCCAATAATCATAAAAAAATATTAACGTTAAACAAAATCCATAATTAAAAAATTAAATTTTTCAAACAAACTAATTAAGTAAAAAAGAAACAAAATTTGTAACATTCTATACAACTCGCGCCAGAGCGTCGTATTACAAACCTCTCTTTCTAACAGTGTGTTTTTTCTCTTTTAAATTCATTCACCCCATTCATAATGCTTTGTGACCTTTACAAATGAACTTTACGTTACGCTTTTAGAGGTAAGGATGTTCTAAAATTGTTTGTTTTGGAAAATTTTATAACTCTGTAAATATTGATGTTTAAAGAATTTAAATGTTTAATACAACTTTAAAAAGTTATCCCCTATATGTGTGTTCATTTATTGTCGCGATGGTAACGACACGTCTTACGTATCTTGTTTTCTATCTTGTATTTTTTTTAATATATATTTAGTGTATGTTATGTATTGTGTACATATGTTTATAGATATATTTATGTATTTATATTAATATATATATTTACGCATGGTATGTTAAAGAAATATCTCTGCACACTAAGCACATTTTCAGCTACCTTCAATCAAATATTTTTCTCACCAGGTTAGCTGGCAGAGAACTCATGCATTGAGTTAAGCTTACTTTTTATATAACTTTTTTTAAACATTTTTTTGTAGCCTGTGTTTTGTGTACAATAAATACATAAATAAATAAAATGTTTTCCTTCACCGCGGAGCACGTGATAAATCAACACTTAAAAACTTCTTTCTGCGAACTGAGGTTGCTCGAGTATACTAAAGGCGAGCGCCCATTTTGAGCTATCAGCTACCAAATACAAATCAATTTATACGTACAAATATTTTTTCTCAAACCATGTGGTTAAAATTTGGTGCAAAATTTGGCAAAGACTGAACTCTGAAGGACATGTGTTTGAGTACATTATCAAAATAAGAGGTATATTCAACCTATCAGGATCGTCAATTTTTCAGACTCCGCGTAAACGTAGACCATTGTCTCGATAAAGAATGAATTGTTTTTTATTTTTTTTCCCGTTCCAATACAAACTGGTCCAATACATGTACCGACTTTTCTTTTAAAATAACAGTTTTTAATGTAATTTATTTCTTAAGACATGATAGGCGACCAAGCCAGCGCTCTTTTCATGACTATCTAAAGCTAAAGACAAATGCTGCCAATCTTTGTAACCTATTTTAACATTAATAGGAGTGCTGCAAGGAAAAGTTTACAATAAAAATAATAAACAGGATCAGGCGATTTGGAGTAAACCAGCTAGCTAAACTAGCATAATTGGAAGTATTTATTCTTCTCTTTATCTGGTTAGAGAGATGGCCCCGACTAGCTTACTCATCAAACGCAGTGTAAACTTACGGACACACAATTGGCGTAGTTGATAGTGACCCTGTTCTCTTTTGACAGAGGGTGTGGGTTCGATCCCACTACTGGAAAAAAAGCAACATATCGCGTGAGATACAAATATTACACTAGTTAAAGGGGTACGGCAAACAATGCATAATATCAGATTTTACGAATAAATTAAGTAATTTTGAATCTTAACTGCATGGAAAAAAACTCTAATTTAAATACGAATCATGTTATTAACGATGTCTTTAAATTTTGTTTAGCCTTGAGCTGGAGTGCATTGGTACCTAAGCACGTAATAGTAAGGGATGCCAACTTAGGAATTTTATCTCTAAATTAAGGAAGAAAAATATACAATGAAAATTTTTAGGAGGTAAATTTATTGGGAATATTTTTAAGAGTAAAAATTTATTCACATTTTTGAAAAAAAAACGAAAAAGAAAAATATAATTTAATAGTGCTGCTTTGGTGGACGTGAGGCCAAGGCTTATGTGCCTTGTGTGTATATTTTAAATACTTCCGCCCTAAACTATAATATTGAATGTATTATTTCTTACACAAAATAAAAAATATTGTCATTTATCATGATTGCGTGTTCTGGGGTGTTGATAATATAATTGAAATATGTATTAGGTTTTAACGTTCGTTCGAAACTTTGCAATAAAACGAAAAAAAATTTTAAATGTCCTACGCTTGACCGTGTAGGACTCACTGGTCTTAACAAACCTTTACAAAATTAAAATTAGTTAACATTTATACGCGAACGTAAAATATCTAGATATTAAAATACATAGTTTCGAAATCTGATATTTGAAATCGAAATCTGATTTAGATACGGTTCTCAGAAAAAGCGATACGACCCATCTCTAATCGCTAGGCCTCACATTTCACGACAAACGGTCGCTAAATTAAAGGAGCTGCGATTGGAATCCCCTTTACTCCCCATACCTTGCTCCAACAGATTACCAATTTTTAAGCACTTTGGAAAAGATCAATTCCGATGGGGCAGTCCAAACAAAAGCCTTCGAAGATTATATTGATTCTCGCTCGCACATTTTTTTCAGGAATGGAGTCAACAAACTACCTTTAACGTGGCGAAATTGCATAGATAAAACCGGCCAAGTAAGAGTCGGTCTCGCGCACGAAGGGTTCCGTACCATTATCAATAAAAACTGCAAAAAATCATGTTTGTTGTATGAGAGCCGCATTTTGTTTTTTGTATTTGTTTGTTTTCCATATAAATATAATAATATTGCCAATTTTCTATGTTAGGACCTAACAATAGTAGGTACTTAACCTGTGTTGTGATGAGTTAGGCATATTAAGAAATACATCGAGCTGATTTGTCGACTCGTAAACATAACCGACTTGAAAGTACCACGACCTCACAGAGGACCAGCGTAAAGTGGAAGTATGACAAATACGTTTCGTCTGATGAGTGAAATAGCCGGAGCCCAATTTACAAAAGGTTGTCAACGCATCTGTAACCCTCGGGTATAGCAGATATCCATCGGCGGCGGTATTCACTTAACATCAGGTGAACCGTATGCTCGTTTGGCAACTTTTCACATTAAAAAAAAGTTGAGATCGGGAATATTTTATAATGCCAAACTATTTGTAGGCTGTCATAAACCTAACCGATCTCAAAATTACAGAGCGCTGGCTACAAGTTATATTGTCTAAAGAAGCCGTGGCCGTCCAACGATTAGTGTCGTATTGCGCTGTGTTCTGGGTTCGATGAATTATTATTTTATCAATTGATGAGATACTACATGGAACTCCACAATATATATACTGAGAAACAGAGAGAACAGAAAATATATACTGAGTAGGATATTTTAAATCGATTTCTTTTTTGCTTAATGTAAAAATTTTACTTGCATAGAGGATAGAAAATACAACAGAAATTCATTTATTCAAAACCTAAATAAGAAGTTTGTTTTACTCAATGCAGGTTGCTTGTAACCGCATAGGGAATATTGTAATTAATTATGTATAGCAAGTTTGCTTTGTAAATCGTCATTAAGTAAAACTATTTTCTTTCATAAACCCGAGTATGTTGTTTTCCTATTTAATGGTTACGTTGACTGTAACAGGCACAAGTCTTGACTCTTAATAGCATCTGAGTACGAGTGAAATCAATTACGCTCGTGTTAGTTGAGTTTTTGTTTTTATAGATGCAATCGAAAACTAGTTTGCCTGCGTTGATACAACCACAAGTTCACGTAGTGTTGTCTAATGATTGTTTTCCATCTGTTCGATCAGTGGAGGCAGTACCGCAGTAACTCTCTATGTGCACAGTTCCATCTCGCGTTGCGCGCTAAAAGTATAGTGGTTAAAATGCTTGCGATTAATCTGTGTGTGTTGCTGTTTTCGTTTACGGCAGCTGTAAGTTAAAAAAAATACTCATTGCTTTGTTTAAAATGTTATATAAATACATGTTCCTTATTTTATAGATACTAAAAAAAAATAAAGTATAAGTGCAGAATTTAATATTATATATTATTATACTTTTAACTTCATCTTTTTTAACTTTATCACGGTCGCAAGAGAAAAAAATTTTCGTCTTGTTTGATCATTAGAGATTGACGTCTAGCTTGACGGAGGCTGTAAGGTCTAACTTAAACGTAGTGATTATATTCTCTTTGATCTCCCAAGAAATAGAGTTAAAACGGGGTCTTTATCATTATGTCCTTTTCCAAGTATGACAAAATTAAAATAAAAACGATCCAGCAACCTGTAGTTTTAGTATGTATTATAGCAAAAAACTCTTCATAGAAAAATATAATATCTTAAACCGGTATTCTATTATAGCGTATGTAATTGCAAACAAGCCTTGCGATGTTGCAATACATAAGAAGTTAATTAAATTTCAATCAAGATGGTTTATGTGACAAGGTCCACCGGTTGTTTATTTTAGTTTATGCAGTTATTGCTACTTGTAGACTCATACATATAGGACAGGACATATATATGTATATCATACAAAACATATTTGACTGTCCATAATTTACTTTGCATTTACGTATTTATAACATTAAAAACATATTACCTTAACAATATAATACATTAATGTCATTTTCCTATATCTACTTCTTATAGTGTCCGGGCAGTCGCTTTTAATTTCAATTTTGATTGCATTAATTGCAATTTTAGTTTAAGTGTTGACTCATCAACACGTTTTCAACTGTGGAGGAAAACACATGACGAAATATGCACATTTTCGAAATAATACTGATAATAAAATTTCGAAGATATGTGAAGTCTGTCAATCCGCAGTGGGAATGAGTTGTGAACTATGCCCTAATACCCTCAGCAAGGAGGAGGCCTTCGCCCAGCAGTGGGCCGGTTCTATAATTTTACTTTGTGACGGATAGACGAGTCCACCTAGTCGTATATAAAAATAAATTAGATCAAAAACGCTTCTTATGTTTAATCTAGGTACAAGTTAGGCGCTAATCAAAGTACAGGCCAGGCATCGTCATGGCCTCAGAGCTGGCAACCTCAAGACCGGTGGATCTCTAAAGGACAAAGCCAAAAAAAATCCTAATGTACATGATGACACTTAGGCCTCGCAAAACTTTTCAAGGCATCTGGATGTGGTTGGCTCCACCAGTTCCGACTTCTACAGTCGGTTGCAAAAATCAAAATCCATATACAACGTTACCTAACATCAAAAGCCCATTTTGTTCGCAATTGTACCTAGACGTGTTGAAGCAGTGCCGGATTAGCCAAGTTACAAGAGTAGCAATTACTACGGGCCCCGCGTCAAAAGGGGTCCCGCATATTTAAACCCGCTCATATTTGCGTGCGACTTATTTTTTTAATTGAAACATTAAATACGTAAGAGTGTTGGATCTAGTATCCTTTTCTACAACTTTATAATTAAGAACCCATAGCAGATTGATTAAGGGCTCTTTGAAAGAATTTGCTACGGGCCCCGCGCTTGCTTAATTCGGCACTGCGTTTAAGACAAAATGTCAGCCGTCCGAAATCGTGTACTGCACATTACTCGGATAAACAACTCAAGTTGTGCGTGCACTTTTAGTTAAAATATTTCCAGGATGCTGCGCCTACGGAGAGCATTCGAACCATCATACTCAACGATGGCCGAACCATACCCGGCTTCGGCCTAGGCACGTGGCTTGGTTTCGTTCAGGTAACTTCCGATATCGAATACTGGGCTGCTTTAAATTCTTGAACTTGTACTAAATTTTGGCGTTCATAAGAGCGGATAATCAAACTAACTAGAAATAAAAAAAATCTCAACTTAAACACTAAGATATGATGCTAATATATTATATGCTACAATAAACTAAAACATATATTACGTTTTCCGACTTAAAGGCGAAGTAGTCAGGCGTCCGTCATGTGATCAGCATCGTTTGGACTCACTATTCATTCATTCAATTCACGACCTCCGACCGTTAGTCCACGATCCCAATCATAAGGCCATTTGGCAGCACCTAGCTCTTGTACACCTTTTGTACTTACTTGAAATTTAAACTTAAACCATAAAAAGTCTTTATATTTATTCAATATAGGCTTTTGTCTAAGGGCTGGGTCTTTTATAGCTCAAAGATTAAAATACATATTCCACGAGTAAATACTGTTAGAGCACCTAACATATGATAATTTCTTATTTAAAAAGCGGTCTAGTGGAAAAAAATGACTCACCGTGACTACTTTGTTAGTGGCTAATTTTACTTTTGTCTTGTAGGAGTCAAAAAGTAAAAAGGACGAGGTTGAGAACGCAGTCAAATGGGCCATCGACGCCGGCTACAGGCATATAGATACTGCATCTATATACGACACTGAAGATCAGGTAATATTCCTGCCTCGGTAAAGTAATAGTAATTTAATCAAATGCCATATTAACGGCCTTCTGCTCAAATGTTTGTGAAGCTAGTTATGGTATTAAATCCAGTAGATGTTATGACTTCTATATTAACGCATTGTAATTTTTTTCATATACTAATAGGTATGTTAAATTTAATTCTTTACAAATTATAGTTTTCTTATTTCTAATAAATTTCCTCATCAGGTTGGAAAAGCGATTAACAAAAAGATTGATGAAGGCGTCGTGAAGCGAGAAGACATATTTGTAACAACAAAGGTAAGTTATATCATATGTTAGAGTTTTTATTTAATTTTGTAAAATGGCATAATTGTTATTTATTTACTAATTTATGGCTTGAACTTGCAAGGGGAGCACATATTTATACGTATCAACAAGTTTATCGATGACTGGTTTGATAGACTGGAATAACTGCTGTTACAAGATAAATTTTAGACTTTACATATTTTTTTACTTTTCTTTAGCTTTGGAATGACGCGCACGCTCGGGACGCAGTAGTGCCAACTTTAAGGAACTCTCTGAAGAAACTCAATTTGGACTACGTAGACCTATATCTCATACACTGGCCAATACCACAATACGTGAGTGCCACTTAGCTAATAATAAGATAATATTATAGGAAACAGTTGTAACCGATGTTGCAAGTGTCCATGGGCGGCAAAGAACGCTAACCTGATGGCAAGAGTCCTACACTATAATATCATCGCATTATCCAAAACACATAAGCTCGTATTTAAATCTGCATATTTATTCGATTAAGTAGACACAAAAATGCTCTTGTATTATTATATACATATTTTAACGTTTTTCAACTAGCGGCCTGTGTGAGAACAATAAATGCGAAAAATAAATTAGGTACTCTTGGTCGCAAGTGTTTAAACTTGACAAAATATTCTATTACTTGTAATGGCAACTAAAATAAAAACATCGTAGGGATGGGAAGCCACGGTTCTTAATGATAATTGGAGAATTAGTAAGCGACTAAAGCGGCATCAAACTCACGACCGAGAACCGTGTTGTCGATTTCAACCCGAAAAAGTATCGGTGCCAAATCTGGACATGTGTCATCAAAGACATCATCATCAAAGATATGATATATCAAGTTTATGTACAGTGCGAATATGAATTTAACTATTTTAAAAAGTTTTATCGCATTTCATATTGTTTTTACGTTACCAAAGTGTTGATTAGTTTTATCATCACAGACAGTTCTTAAATTATAATTAATTAATGCCTACTGTACTTTTGTTGGCTTGTAGCACAACGGTTCCTTTTATGACGTCGACTACCTAGAAACATGGGAGGGGATGATAGAGGCCCAGAAATTGGGGCTGGCCAAGTCCATTGGTGTTTCCAACTTCAACCAGAAAATGCTGGAGAGGATTATCGCTAAAAGTTCTGTCAAGCCGGCCATGCTACAAGTTGAGGTAAGATTATTAGTAGAGCTACCCTACTACCTTTATAATTTTTGGCTGTGTGACAGGTGTCATTTATTTGTTTATGATTTAGATGTGCCGTACGGTAGCTACATTCTGGTCATAAAGAAGATCATTCTGATCAATTCAGAGAGTTTAACTATCATTTTGGAAACTCAAATAACATTTGAAAAGCCATTCGACAGCTGATTAGTAAAGTTCATGATGATCAGTGTTTCAGAAACCGGCCCTAATTTACTCAAGTTAATAGAAAAATTGTGTTAAAATGCCAATTTTTAATGAATGAATTTTATAAATTATATCCACTCCGCAAAATATATGTATAATGAATATTAACTATTATGTATTACCGTAGTAGTATTTCTCTTATCTCTTTGTTTTTGCGCTGTATTTACAATGTTACGCGTAATTTAGAATTGGGTAGATAAAAATCTTGATTTTTATTGTTATTCCTTGAACATTATTACAGAATATTAAAATAAGTACTTTGATTAGCTCCATCCCCATTGAGCATTAAAATAACTGCGTAAACTTTTTAAGTTACAAAATATAAATAGGTAATAATACCAATCCGCAAATATATAATATCCGCAATATACATATATTATAATATATACCAATCCGCAGTGCGGTCGTGTGGTGGATGTACAGCGGAGGCCTTTGCCCAGCACTGGGACATTTATAGGCTGTTCCTTCACATTTTTGTTATCATTGACTGAGCTTTGTTCCTTTGCAGATCAACCTCAATCTGCAGCAGCCGGACTTGCGTGAGTACTGCCGTGAGAATGACATTGCAGTCACCGGGTACACCCCTTTCGGCTCCATCTTCCCCAGCAAGGCGCAATCTGACGCGCCGCCCCCGCGCGTTACCGACCCGGCCCTAGTCAAAATTGCCGAAAAATACAACAAGACAGTCCCTCAAGTAGTTTTGAGATATCTGGTGAGTGTATTAAGCTGACGATGTATTTGATCTGGATCATATAAAGGTGTACGTTTCCCGAAAAGCCTATAATCAGAGTTTAAAAACGATAGGAAATTACTTCGCAGTTGGGCAGGTCCGTCCGGGTAAGTACCACGACCTCACTGAAGACTGGCATGAAGTGGATGTGTTTATATTTCTGCATGTCATCTGGTGAGTGAGATAGCCGAGGCCCATTTTATTAATAGGTGGCATCTGCATCTGCAACCCTGTTGGTGTTGCAAATGTCGCATGGGATCCGGTTATCACTTACTTAACATCAGGTGAACTTGCCACCTCACATAAAATCGCTCTAACTTAGTTGTAGTCGATAGTAAGAGTTCAAATATCGTAGCTGACTTGAATACTTGAATAGTTAAAATATTTAATAGTTTAAAGAGATTAATATACTCGCTGTTGCGTCTCAATATATTTATTGTAATATTTTGTATGTTAAAGATAATATTAATAATTATCTAAAGAATACTGACAGACATAAACTAAATACTCGAAATAAGGACAAACTAACTCCAAAAAGTAAACAGGTCGTTCATGGGGCAAAGTGTACGCATGTATAATAAAATCCCACAGTCGATATTAAGTCTTCTTAATATAAGTCTTGATGAATTTAAACGAAAAATTAAAAGTAAACTTATGGCTAAAGCCTATTATACTATTGCCGAATATCTTGACGACGCCAATGTGTGGGGTTAATACTGTTGATACTCACGTAGGCTAAAACAAGACTATTGTACCTGTACTATTATATTGTAAACTGATTTTTTAAAAAAAGAGCAACTGTTGAGTTTCTTGCCGGTTTCTTCTCAACAGAAACTGCTTTCCGAACCGGTGGTAACTTACGAACGTGTTAATTTCTTGTAAAATTTTGACGTTTCATATGAACGCGCAAACGTCTATGTGAATAAAGATATTTTATTATTATTGGGGGATATTCATTTTTTTTTCTCGTCTGGTTGGGTTTATGAATAAAAATAAAAATGTAGATAGATATTATTATTATTATTAGTTAGTAGTTTAATAATTTGTGTTTGAAAATTTTCTATAAGAAATATCGTAATTACCAACCAACATGTAACTATTAGAAAAACCCACCTACTAGAGAACATGCTTATGTCAAGAAGTGAAATATTTTATCCCAATATTGTATTGACAGCGCCACAATCTATTTCAACAAGTAAACTTCTTATGTTTTTTATTGATTTTACGCCAATATTATACGTATTAAATGAAACTACTTTACGGATTATATCGTGTTTTTTATCTTGATTTGAACTCCCGACATTTCAAACTCTTTCCAGCGTTCATGGTCACGGGACAGATGACAGACGTATTTTAGTAAACTTATTTTTTTTTTAGAAATCCATTTTTATTATCGTCATCCAAGCAAGGGCATTTGTGAAAATATATCTTTGTATATTTTCAAATTCCATGTCCGTTTTGAGCTGACACCTTCAGCGTAGATCAAAGTAAACATGTTCAAAATTTGAATTCGTAAGCGCCACTCGACCTTGGCAAACTTAGCATCTTCCTTATTTTATTGACCCCAATTTAAATTATACATGTGCGCCGTAAGGTTGTTCGCATTGAGCGCCGACATATAGTTTTGTACCGTACACAATACCAGCCTATTTCTTGTGCAGGTTGAACTGAACGTTATCCCGATACCCAAGACTGTGACAAAGTCGAGGGTTGAGCAGAACATCGACATCTTTGACTTCCAACTAACGCAAGAGGAGAGGGACCTGCTGAAGGGCTACGACAAAAATTATAGAACCATCGCCCCGAAGAACTGGATTAATTCTAAATACTACCCGTTTGAGAAGGATTGATATTTACGTCGCACCTCATAAAATTTTTAAAAAATAATACTTTGTAGCGAATGCGTTGATATTATTTTTATACCTGACAACCTCTTTTCCTTTATAACTTAGTTGTGTTTAATTATTTTCATATTTGCGATATTTTTAATAAATACATATATAAAATAATACTGTCGAGAATTTATTTTTAAAAATATACACTGCTGTAGAAGCCGTGATAGCTCATTGCACGGGCGCTCGCTTTTAATTCAATATACTCGAGTTTGAGTTCGATTCCCAGTGCCGCCACCATTGAAATTATTAATTTTAAGTGCTGACTTATCAGCGGTGAAATAAAACATCGTGAGGAAACCTGCATATTTTCGAAATAACGATAAAAAAATATTTCGAGGATATGTGTATTCCGCCAATCTGCAGTGGGGCCGCATGGTGGACAAGTCTCTGTACAGAGGAGGCCTTTGCCCAGCAGTGGGACATGTATTACGCTGTAACTTTACTTTTACTTTAACACTATGTTTAATATATATTAACGATGTAAGTGACACTTCTAGATAGTCTTTGTAAGTAAAGGAATCTTTGTCTATATTATATGACATAAATATTGATGGACGTATAGACGGACAATAAGCTTTTAGCTTTCTATGTTTTATTATTTCAAATCGTGAGAATTATTAGAAAATGTGATATTTAGTTCTCATTCTTTTTGTTTTTCAAAAACATTTGCGTTACTTTAGCATTACATTATCCTGTGTAGTATGACGTTTTACTAACATAAATTTCACTTAGACATACATCCAGATGCGAAACAACTATCTGTGGGTCACACAAATAGTTGTCCTGTGTGGGGAACGAACCCACGACCCCCGACGCCGAAGCCCTTGGCAACTGCGCCACGTAGTCATCAAAATTTTCGAATAATACTAGAGCCAGCATAATTGTCACAGTACCACATCTAATAATTTCTTGTATTTACGCGATTACACATTATAGATGTACGTTTTAAATAGATGTGGTACTAATTTTACGGATTTATCGCGTTTATTTTTAATTTTAATTCCCGACGTTTCGAACCCTTTACAGCGTTCATGGTCACGGGACAGACTGTCCCGTAATAAATGTGTGGAATTAAAATTAAAAATAAACGCGATAAATCCGTAAAATTAGTACCACATCTATTTAAAACGTATTACATATATCAATCCCTTACATATTTTATAAATCAATGGGACTACGCACTAGAGAACGTTGTGTATTTGTCCCAATAATATTATTGATAATCGTTTGCCACCTTAACCAGTTTAAAACATTTCATATAAGATAATTATGTACGCTGTTGCAATATTTAAATGAATTTCATATATTAATAATAATTGAATAATATAAGAAAAAAATAGGCGTTAAAATATTATTGCCCTTGTAAACCATTATAAAATATGTACACTTTTTTTCTCTTTCCCGGAAGTTGAACACTGGCCATAACATCACAGATCACAAACATAACTTGCTCAGTCGAAGAACAACGTGGTCGCCGAACGATGTTTGCATAACAAATTGATTTTTAATCGTGTCGCACGCACTTAAACGCTTGTTGTTGGTTGATCGCTTGATAAGAAGTATTTACATAAACATTATGGAATCTTGTTTCTTCAAAAATACCAAGGGCTTCGAAATTTTAATTACCGACTTTTCGCTTAAATCTGTAACACACGAGAGGTGGTGACTAGTTTTAAGACAGTATGCAAGAATACTACTGCTAAGGAAGTGGGACGACATTGTTCGCGCTAAGTGAAATGCCTCATCGGCACTGATTATTATAAGTTGTAGAATTGCTATAATTTTGGCTATTTAATGTCACAAGTTCGCAAACAGGTTAGCGGTTCACCTCGGTCGTTAAGTGACTACCGCCGCCCATGAACAGTTGAAAACTGTGTGAGAATGCAAGTCCAGTGTCAATCCTTTACAAAAGTAGGCCCCCAGATGCCTAAAACACCACACAAAAACGTACTTCCCCGAAAAGGCTTGGTCATTCGTGCAAAAGCTGCTAGTGGCCTTCCCACAAAGAAAATCTTTATAATTATGTATGGTATACTAAGAACCGTGCATTATAATTGCAGTAGTTGTAGTTGTAAAATTAATAAACAAAACTAGTTATGATTGGAGAAGTCTGATACCATTGCTTCTGCGGCATTAAAGTGTGAAATATTCAAGAAACGACTTGAATATCTAACGTTGACATATGCAATGAATAGGAGAACTCACACGATCATCATACATATCTAGTCTTTGATTATATACTTGTACAAGTATATAATCAAAGTATCTAGTGTTACGGGTAGAGGTCATTGCCGCGACTGCCCGCGTATCTGTGGTTCTGTAGAAATAGAATCTATAAAGCTTTGATCAGTCGCCTGCTCGACATCCAGTGATAACGTTATGTTGCATAAGTTCGTGTTTTTAATTATTTTAGCCGCTGCCAACGGCTTAAGTGTAAGTACTTATTTTGTGATATATTTATTGTTTCTGTTTGTAATTATCATACGTCAAATATTCCGTAAATTGATATTTAAACTTAACTTAGAAAATGAACAAATGTGTGAGCGGTCTGTGAATTTTCCAAGAGGTATGATAATTTCTCTCATAAAGAACTAGTTTTAGCAGGTTGTATTTTAAAATGTCTGTTGTTTTAACCTTGGCTCAACCATTGTTAATTTAGAAATATGCACTTAATTCAACTGTTTAACATTGTTTTAAAACTAACGCTTTACAGAATGAAAAAGTTTTAGCCTCGAAACTAAAACTGAACGATGGCAGAGAAATACCCGCACTAGCGCTAGGCACATGGCTGGGGAATAATACAAAGGTATTATATAAAGTAACGTTCAACTTACATTTTGCGTTCAAAGTCAGTCACAATTTGTTTATTCAATATAGGCTTCTTTTAAGCTTTTATTGAACGTCTAAAAATACTACCTTTGCACTAATTTAGAGCAGTCTGGAGACGGACTTCTCGACTTTATTTTTAAATGATATTTACAATTTTGTATAGTATAAAATCAGGAGCAGCCAGGGGACCTGCAGGCATAGAGCACTTATCCTCAATTTATTCTTCGACATTATAAGAGGCCCTATTCATTAGGGTAGGTTTTACGTATTGTTTGAAATTGGTTATACTCGTCTCTTGTTTGTGGATGTCAGGAAGCAGGTAGGAAGAGTAATGTAAAAGTCAAAATACTTTATTCTTTTTGGTCTCCTGATTTTCTTTAAAGAAATTATTCACTGATTTCAGCAATTCAGTGAATAATTTCAAATTGGCGTCTTTTCTATAATACATAAATAATTCTTATGAGACTACGTGGGAATGTTCCTTATATTAACCATATTACTTCAGCTGTATCTGAAAGAGTGGGGTGAAGCCACCATAATTAAACATTCCCGTTTTAGTGATCGGTTAAAGAGGTGAAGATTAACAAAAAAAATTTTCCAACATGGCCGCGTCGAGCCCTCAGCAAACGAAGTGGAATTAGCGGTCGGATGGGCAGTCGACGCGGGGTATCGCCACATCGACACCGCCTACGCATACAAGGTCGAGGATCAAGTCGGCAGGGCGTTGGCGAAGAAGCTGCAAGAAGTGCCCAGGGATGAGCTCTTTATTACAACTAAGGTATTTCGTGCGCACACATCTCTCATAAACTAACCACCTTTTCCGAATCAAGAGTAGGTATATATTCAATGATATTGGTTGGATGGTAACTGACCAAAACCTCCTCCAAATTAACTTGCTGTCCTTATCTTTAAATATTAAAATGGTTTAATGCAGATTGTTGCAAGACTGATATTCTTTTTCTTCTTAGTCGGACACTCTTGGCAGAGTGGTCGTGGCTGTCGATGGACAGTTTTCCGAGGCGGCTGTTAGCAATGCGAGCACATTATTACGATATTATGCCATACCTATACACGACACAGCTAAAGCTATTTTTTATGATGTTTTTATATTAAAGTACTCAACAAATAGTTTTCGCATTGCCTATCTCTGCGTTAATAGTTACTCATTATTGTAGAGTATTAAAAAAAATCCCTAGTTTCACTTGACCAAAGGTCATTGACCATATATTACAGCTATGGAACGACCGACACGCACGAGATGCGGTGGTGCCTGCTCTCAAGGAGTCCTTGCAGAAATTAGGTCTGGATTATATCGACCTCTATTTGATTCACTGGCCCATCGGACAGTTCGTAAGTGCCAACTCCTAATACTTTGTATTACCTGCGCAATTTTATAACAGTTCACTTTGAGCAGCTTTACTTGAATGAGCGAGGAGCATAATCGTCTTGATACTTAATTTAATATACGTGTGACTCTAAAAAAGTCTAACTTTATTCCTAAACGAAAAAAAAAATCGATACAAGCAGCATTTAAAGTGGTCACTAAATATACCCCTCTTGCTTATTGATTATAAAAACCTTATTGCTCCTATGCCTTTTTCTAATTCAAATAAGTAAAATGAATAAATAACAAACTAATTTAATATAGGGTCCGTGTAGGTGCTTATAATCTAATAGTGCCAATTAAAATGCTCATCTAGCCTATAAATGCCTTAATAATTAATAATTATATAAATTTTACGTGGTATCCACCTTTAATTTCAGGCTAATTTGTCTTCTGACAACACGGATTACCTTGAGACTTGGCGTGGCATGATGGACGCCAAACAAAAGGGGCTGGCAAAGTCTATCGGGCTGTCCAACTTTAATGAGCAAATGATTGACAGGATCCTGGATAATGGGCTGGAGTTACCTGCTGTATTACAAGTGGAGGTAGGTTTTGTAGACGACAGACTTGAAAAATACCCGTGAAACAACCAACAAACTCTCATATCAAGGCGGTGAATACAATGTTCATTATGTATGACTCTTGCAATAGCAATTTGTATCATACATCACTCTACACACTCGTGAAAACACAATGCGTGTAAGATCAAGGGAGTAGACCGAAACTACGGAATTTCTCCACTCATCCTTTCTACTTGGCCAAATCGTTCAATGATTTCAACGTTCATTGTTAATCGTAATAAAGTTCCCTAAAACCTCTCCATGATGGTTTTCTTCACTTTTTCACATAGGAACGTTATTCGTGTGTATTCATTAGAGAACTGTGAATAATTGACGAGGTTACATTGCATAAATCGTTACACTGGATATCCAACGATCGGAGCGACGCTTGCGGCTTGGGGCATTAAGACGACCACGTTGAAACCCAGAGTTGCAAAACCTGTGTATAAGGTCGTGGCCCCATCAATTAATTTCATCATACCTTTATTAAAGAAATAAATTTTTGTACAGGTAAACCTAAACCTTCAGCAGCCGGAATTGCTTAAGTACTGCAAGGATAAAAATATTGTCGTAATGGGATATACGCCATTTGGGTCGCTATTCTATAGTAAAGCAAAGCCCAACTCCCCGCCACCGCGTATTGACGATCCCACACTCGTCAATATAGCGAAAAAATACAAGAAAACTGTCCCTCAAATCGCACTTCGATATCTGGTAATATAAATTTCTAATTCTCGCTTTACTGTTTTTTGTTAAAATGTTTTAAAGAAGGTATCTATTGTTTCACAAAAAGTGACGTATTTTAGAGATGTGTTTGGAGGTTTATATCTTAGCGCTGATCATTCAAGATCCAAGACTTACGGCCGGTTTCAATATTGTATCTACAGATAGATTTGGTTACTGGAGATAGAATTTTGACGTAGGTAAGTATTATGGAGCTAATGTGAAATACCTATCGATAGTAAGCTAGTAGATAGAATATTGAGCCAGGCAGTTAAAGTTACTCGAAGATATAAATAATATGTGGTGTATAGTAATAGGTAACATATTAATGTGTTAAAAACTGATTACAGATTGAACTTGGCGTTATTCCCATTCCAAAGTCGTTAACGAAATCCAGAATAGAACAAAATATTGGCGTATTCGACTTTCAATTAACAGACGAAGAGAAAAACGTTTTGAAATCGTACGACCGAGACTATAGGACTATACCTCAACTTAAATGGCTGGACCATCCTTTCTATCCGTTTAAAAAGAATAATTAATGAAAATGTTTCGTTTAAATGAGAAATAAAGTTTCAAAAGAGTAAATATACGTGTTTATGTACTCATGCTAATTTGTAATAATCAAAGAACCATTAGGCTGTGATTAAGTAATTATTTATCAATTCCAACGCAAAGCCTAACAAATGCATTTGTAAGTCTCCTGATAGTGTTGCATATCGATAGTCTGCTATCGATAAACAATCGATTATCTATGGATAGTTAAGGTAAAAACAATAGTATTGGTAGTCTATATTTTGTTCTATCTAGAGTATTGTCACGTGTCAATACTATCGATACTGCCGATAGTATCGATGGCTCTCCAAGTGCCAATAGTATTGATAACAGCAATACTATCAATAGTTTTTTTTTTGCGAAAAGTTGCCAAACGAGCAGACGGTTCACCTGATGTTAAGTGAATACCGTCGCTCATAGACATTTGCTACACCCGAGGGTTACAGATGCGTTGACAACCTTTTGAAAATTGGGCTCCGGCTGCCTCACTCACCAGAAGAAACGCGAAATTATTTGTCATACTTCCACTTTACGCTGGTCTTCTGTGAGGTCGTGGTACTTACCCAGACGGGCCTGCCCATTCGTGCAACAGCCGAGGCTGCTGCGTGGCCCTACCACCGTAGAGTGGTAGAGAGTATCGATAGTAATGCGATAGTATCGATGGTATCGTTAGTATTGCAATTTCCATTAGTTTTTTACAAAAACTATCGATGATATCGATGATTTCGTACTATCAATAGCAGCTTACTGGCTATCGATAGTACAAACCTATCGAGGCTATCGATGGGGAAATTCGCCGAAGAACCAGAGTCACCAATATAGCTCTTCCGATTTGCAAGCTGAAATGATAATCGGCAGGCCACTCGGCAGGCCGCTCGAAGAACTGATGACCGATGGGGAATAAAAGTTCTCGAGGGGCGACTACGAACAAGAAGACTTAGCGTTGGAAGGCCTCCCTCTAGGTGGACTGACGACATCGCAAGATTCGCGGGCAACCAGTGGATGCAAATGGCAAAGTATCGTTTGTTGTGGCGTTTTATGGGAAAGGCCTATGTTTTACAGGGGACGTCTTGCGGCTGATGATGATGATGATCTAGTGGGAGTCATCCTACACTACTATAACTAATACGACTCATTAAGAATAAAATGACTCCGTGGCGCAGGTGCCAAGGTATCGGCGTCATGGGTTGAGGGTTCGATCCCCACACGGAGCAAATGTTTGTGGGTTACACAAACAGTTGTTTCGCATCTGGGTGTTTGTCCTCGTGTATGTTTGTAAAACGTCCTTACAACACAGGATCATTTTATCCTAAAGTAAGAGCAATGTCTTTTTTAATAAAAGAACAAATTAATAAATCTAAATTTTCTATCAGTTTTGATTTTTTAATCTTTACTTAGAAAAGAATAATACATTATAGAAAGTAATTTTGTGTTTTGGTTTAACAAAATTTTGGTGCAAAATTAGCAACACTTATTTTTAACAGACCACTGGCAAGAATTTTATTTTGACTGTTTAAGAAATTGACAATTGACATTTGACCACAGATTTGTGAGTCGTGCGCGTTTTGTCGTCGACATGTCTTCGAAAAAATTAGGATTATTAATATGCACGATATTCAGTGTTTTGGTTAATATAAGTACTCAAACTGTGCACAAGCGTTTTGAATACAAATATTCCTTCAAACCACCGTATTTAGCTCAAAAAGATGGAACGGTGCCGTTTTGGGAATACGGTGGCAGTAAGTAAAATTTTGTTCCTATGTCAATACTAATGTATAATTTTTTTTTAACTTGCGCATTATTTTATACTCATTTAATAATTTTCTTCAATTATAGCTGTATTTTTATGTTATAAAAAGAGCATTTTTTCCATAATATTCTCTTGTTGTTTCGATAGTATAAATTGACAGCGACACGTCAGTGAAATCTGTCACTATAGAACGAGATAGACATATGCTTCTTTAGATGCTTGCAAAAGAGACCGAACATAATTGTTAGATTCTTGTTTTTAGTTCCACGACAGCACTCGGCATGGTTTCAGTTCAATTAAATATAGGGAAATGAAATCTATTCCCCTACTAAAATCAAATCAAAACTGTAATATGTTTCACGTTTTGAAAAAAAATTAATATCCTAATTTTATTTCTTATGAGAAAGAATATACAATACAATTTTTCATTGCTACCCCATTTTTTTTTAAAATATAAAGTACAAAATATAAATATGGTCATATTTTTTGGTATTAACATTAATGCTGACTATCCTTAGTCAGAAACTGAAACTAAAAAAATGGAACACTATGTAGTGTGTGATTTATTAAACATGCTGAATAAGGATTGCAACACTACCAATTGCTTACTTTTGAAATTGCAGTGTTTGTTCCGCTCATGAAATGATTGCATTGCATGTTTCATTACATTGTATCAAATTTAGAACATTAACAATCAATTGCAAATAGTCACTGCAGTACACTTACTTGAAATAAAACTGTATTTTACATAATCCCCTAACATTTACATTGTACATCAAAAAAATATTATGTCATGTTAAGGAAATCCACCATTTAGTTGCATACAAAATTCAATTTAGGTATTAAGTGTTCATTTTAATATATAAAGGAGCTCCAAACAAATAAGCGAAGTAAGCTCTGTCACCAATAAAAAGATAATTTATTTTTCTCAAAAACCAAATGTTTTGTTTTCCATTCTAATTATTGTTTTGTTTATATTTCTCTATCAATTAAAAAAATTGGTATACTTAAAACATGTGGCACACCTATTGTAAACAATTACCCACACGCATTGCTGTACAATAGATCAACATTTCCTTTTGCAATTGAGATAACATAGGGTACTTTTATCCATAAAGGCATATTAGCAGTAGTAGTATAATGAGTAGTAATTGATGAATATCAAATTGAAATCCATGAAAATAAATTGCTGACAAAAGCTAGTCCTATATAATAATTCAACGGTTGAATCCACTGTGCCAACTTTAATATGTACACCCATTATCTATACATTCTGAATAATTTGATACAGGGTATTAGAGTAGTAAAACAGTAAGCCACTATTAATTGGTGGCTTCGTGAAAACAATATCAGCTGTAACTGGATAACCGTTGATAATCCCGTGTGTCATAAATAATTATAAATTTATCAATGTTTAAATGTACATTTTCAATTGTAAGAGATACTGAGCTAGCAAATGATTTCAATTGGAATAATTTTGAATCAAAATATATATTTTAACAGTATTATCGTTACGAACTTGCAGTAGTCTAGTGAAGCCCATATTCGTCACCTAAGCAATGTCTTCTAATTCATGTAACAGTGTTTTAATAGTTTAATCATGCCTTTCTATACTACTACAAAAATTATAAAGAGCTAAAATTTGTCTGATTACTAACTTTAATTGTCTTAATATCTAATTAGTAATCAAAAATTTATGTTCCTTCTAAAGTTCAACCAAAGAAGCTACATTGTCTCTGAGTAACAGGCTACATTCTACTTACATAAAAGAAAAGATGGATTTATTTAGTATAGCTTTGTTTATAGTGGGATATGAAAAAAGGATTAAATTCATGGTAATTGTTTAACAATGATCTGGTAGGGCTGTCATAAAGCTTCATGTGTTGCACAAACACGCAAGCGCATTAAAAAAAATCACTTTGATCTTTATTTACTACTATTCACTTATGGTATGCAGAGGTATTATTTATATTTATAATAATTTTTCCTTCATGTTTTCATGCTTTGAATCGATTAAAAACCAACTAATAGCAATGATTACTACCAGTAGTTAGTCTTGAATTATACAAGTATTTGTAAAATATTAGGTTTCTGAGTTGCTGCTTTATCAATGTTTAGAGCAGTGATTCTCAACCACTGTGCCGCGGCACTTTTGTGTGCCGCCAAATTTTGCAAATATGTAATAATGTTAATATTATTAAATTATATCATTTAAAAAGAAAAATATTTTTTGGCATTAGCGAATATTAAAACTAAAAAAAGATCAAGATTGTTTAATGTAGAAGACGATATGAGAGTAGCATTGTCATTTTTACGACCAAATATAAATGAAATTATCAAAAAACATCAAGCTCAAATTTCGCATTAAAAATATTTTTATTATTAGCTTGTAATTAATCCCTTAATAAACGTTTAGTTATTATTGTAGTATATATTAGTTTATTTCGTATATTTAAAATTTTTGTCATAAACTATTTGTGTGTTGTAGTAAGTAATAATTTTTATCTTTTTCTTTCTGTGCCGCCAAATTTTGAAATCTTTAAATATGTGCCGCAACAAAAAAACGGTTGAGAATCACTGGTTTAGAGTATGCTTAACATATCAATTTAAAACATTCCGCATAAGAATAAATATTGACATTGAATTTCATCTGTTTTTCATCACATGTAGTCTCTAACCGTGATGTGGACTATAATTTTGTTCAATACATTTTTAATTTCTTATATATTTTTACACCTCTTTCTACACTTAACATTTTTTGCAACCTCATTCATTCACTTGAACATATAAGATCCATTTGCATAAATTAGTTTTACAGGCATACAGCATACAAAATTATTTAAAGAGAGCTCTTGGTTACCTAAATATTAGCCATATTTTTTCATTTTGTTTTCTGACAAAAATTGATGCTGTCAAAAGATAAAACCATTCAATTAATGAAAGAAGAGATAGTAGTCCTTCATTAAGTGTTAATCCAGGAATATTAATTCCTTCTGTATCTAATTATTTCATTTTTTTTAATGTACACAAGAATTGAACATATGTAATTTTTATGCAATTAGTTTACTTAAATATTTATAAACTAATGTTTGTACACTTATATAAGTTAGCTCTAATAGTGTGCTCTAATTTCTTTGCCTTGCTGAAATTTACTTGCGAAAATACTAATTTTATATCAGTTAAGATGACTCACTTGCTCAAGTACCTATCTAAAGAGTAATACATGTGTTACTTTGAAATAAATCAGATATCAACGATTTTCTTATTATTCGTTCAGATGCCATAGCGTCGGGCGAGAGCGTACGGTTGGCGCCATCTTTGAGGAGTCAAAAGGGCGCGATATGGACCAAGCAGCCCATAAACTTCGACTGGTGGGATGTTGACGTGATGTTCAAGGTCACCGGACGAGGAAGGATAGGCGCTGACGGTTTGGTGAGCGACCGGTTTATTTTTTAACGACCGTTGCTTTACACGGATATTTTTACCTCCGTTCCAGACTATCCTGGATTTGAATTATCGACATTATTTGATGAATCGACAATGAGGACCTGAAGCTATCGACTCTGAATAAGCCCTAATTGTGTAACCATAGTTTTACTTTAATTTAGTAACTTATTCGAAACCAATACTATGCGTAATGTATCAACGCAAACACAACCTCTCCATCATTGTCTCCTCTATGTAGAAAAATGGCGACGAGAATTCATTCATGATCCGTCATCCTCATCATCATCTTTATTATCATTATTTCAGCCTGTTTGAATCCACTGCTGAACATAGGGCTCCCTCACAAATTTCCACGAAATACAAACCTAAGCCACTTGCATCTATCGTCTTCCCGCAAGCTTGCATTGCACAGGTGCATCCATCAAGTGATTCTAGTGATTACCATTACATAAATGCGTTGAATGCGCTCTCTTCAAAGATTACAATTTAAGTATAAAAAGACAATAAGAGCCGACTAAAGAAATAACAAAACTGAACAATCACATTGGTTGGCAGACAGTTCAGAAATTCTCGATCTTGTGGCACACGGGCCAACTGCACCGCACCTAATTCCTCAATCCCCAATCGTCAACAAAACACAATCACAGACCACGAGCACAGACTGTCAATTCTAGTTCTTAAAGAGGCCCTCTATAATTCTATTGGTCGGCCGTCGGCAATCGGTCGGAAAAAAAATCTCTGTGGCCCTTCCAGGCGTTCTGGTACACGACCCAGCGGGGCGACTACAACGGCGAGGTGTTCGGCTCCTCGGACAGGTGGAACGGGCTCGCCGTCATGTTCGACTCCTTCGACAACGACAACAAACACAACAACCCCTACATAATGGCGGTGCTCAACGACGGCACCAAGAACTTCGACCACAAGAGGTGAGCGACATCCCAGTAGAGTTCTGCACCTCGGTCCTTGAAGACAGAACAAAAAAAATAGATAAAATGTACGTTGAAGCTAATTTTAACGGTGTGTTCGTGGTGAAAAAATTAGTCTCTAAGTCAATGCGATAGACAGTCGTATCTGTCAAACATTTACAAGTTTGATACCACATATTTAGATATCCACAAACACTGAAACAAGCCTATAGTCCTGGTTCTTTCTCTTCGCGCAAAAGCGTAAAATTAAAGGCAAGAAATAGAGGTTCGCAGTACAAGTAAGGGAAAAATTAAAATATTTGTTTATTTGTTATCATGTTATAAGATAATAATTTATACGGAACACTATCGAGAGACCTACTAATCTAACTTTTTTTTTTATTTAAATATGCGTTGACTAATAGATTATCCGTCCTGGATTTCTATCTTTCGAAAATCATCACATGAAACTTGAAAATCAAACTTGCTTCATGCCCGATGTGTGAAGACAAGTTGAGCGCCTGTCGCTCTTCGGAGAAATGTGTATCCCATCTTGTAAAAGAGCCTCGTAGTCAATTTCAGCTGTATATATAATGTATTTGTGAATGCAATGAAATCTTTCAATTCATCCTTATTTTTCTCGTTGATTATATTGTGATCAATTCATAATGTAATAAAATTAAAGCATCGCCCTTGTATTAGAGAGTCAATGCATTGAAAATTCCACCATCGTTCGAAGTAAAACGATTGTTATTCGTTTTACGGAAAAGCATTATGCATCGACTTATCAGCACGCTGTCTGAAATTTATCTAATTTTTTTTATCATGAAATGTCACATGCTAATGAAACGAATAAATGAGCAATATCGCTATGTATCATTATTAATCAGATATGGGCTTTATGGTGTCTAGTTTTAGGCTAAGTTTTTTTGTTGAGCTAACATTTTGAAACGAGTCGGATAAAGGAACGTAGAATCGCTTCTTTTCTTACAACAAATTAAATAGCGCTTGCCTAAGTTTGAGCTAAATGTTTCTTTCGAATTTTTTTTATGTGAAAAAGTGGCAAGTGAGCAGCCGGTTCGCCTGATGTTAAGTGATTACCGCGCCGTCCATTGAAAATAAGAAATAAAAGTAAATTGTGTACAAGCCACAACCAACCAACAAATTGTTAACGTGGTAGGGCCACGCAACTCTGTTGCACGAATTGGCAGGTCCGTCCGGGTAGATACCACGACCTCACAGAAGACCGGCGTCAGAGTGTAACAACTTCTGCGTTTCGTCTGGTGAGTGAGGTAGCCGGGGCCCACTTTATTAAACGGTGATAACGCATCTGCAACCCTACGGGTGTTGCAAATGTCCATGGGCGGCGGTTATCACTTAACATCGGGTGAATCGCCAGCTCGCTTGCCACTTTGTCACATTAAAAAAGCCATTCATAGTTGTTATCGGCTCGACAAACGAATACGTTACACGAGTCGGCCTGCTGCTTCTCGAATGGGCAGGCTCGTCCAGGGAAGTTTTACAGCCTGACAGGCGTGAAGGAAGTATTATACTATCGCGTTTCGTCCGGTCAGTGAGGTAGCTGGGATACACTTTTTAAAAGATTTGGTGTCGTATCTGCAACTACGTAAGTTATCTAGCTACGTAAGGTAACTAAGTAAGGTATTGTAGGTGTCCATGGGTAGCGGTAATCAAATTAACATAAGGTGGGATGGCTGTCAAATGCTGGCCAGTTATAAATAAAAAAAAAATAAAAAACAAAAAAAAAGGTGTACCGCCCGTTTGTTTGCCGACTTTCAACATAAGAAAAGAACGTCTTTCTTTAATCGATCTCGGCTCAGAAGCTATACGATTATTGATTGACGGACGCACCAACATTAAATATATATTTATAACGAATTCCCTTCTAGTCCATATTAATATTGATAATTGTATTGGGCTACCTCGTAAAACTAAACCTGTTCAGGAATATCTTTCATTAATCAATAGCTTCATCAGCCTAAATATCACGGCAATATAGGCTAATTTAAACAAAAGTATTTTTTTATTACAAACATAAAAAATCTAAATATAGAGCGTTACAACCGCGATAATAAATGAACACGTCTAACGCTACTGTGATGACTCCGTGGCGCAGTTGCCAAGGTATTGCCTTCGGCGTCGGGGGTCGCGGGTTCGATTCCCACACGTGACAACTATTTGTGTGACCCACAGATAGTTGTTTCCCATCTGGGTGTTTGTCCGCGTTAAATTTATGTTTGTAAAACGTCCTTACAACACAGGATAATATTATACTAAAGTAAGGGTAATGTTTAAAAAAAAAGACAAAAATAGACAAAAGACTTTCCAATAATCATAAAAAACATAAAACGTTAAAAAAATGCATGATTAAAAAATACAATTTTCAAAAAACTAATTAAATAAAAAAGAAACAAAATTTGTAACATCCTATACAACTACAACTAAGTGATTGATACATTCAGAGACTTTTTCACACGTTGCCACAGCGTCGCATTACAAGCCTCTCCTTCTAACAGTATGTTTTGTCTCTTTTAAATTCATTCAACCCATTCATACGCTTTGCATTACAAATGAACTTTACGTTACAGTTTTATACGTAATGGTGTTCTAAAATTCTTTGTTTTGGTAAATTTAATAACTCTATAAATACACACTATAATACAGTTGTAGTTGTATAGGATGTTACAAATTTTGTTTCTTTTTTACTTAATTAGTTTGTTTGAAAAAATTTTTTTTTAATTATGGATTTTTTAACGTTAATATATTTTTATGATTATTGGCAAGTAGCGTTAGAAGTGTGTTCATTTATTGTCGCGGTGGTAAACACACGCTTTATGTATTATATACACGAACATACTAATATGCGTTTTCAACAGCGACGGGTCCACGCAGCTACTGTCCGGCTGCCTCCGCGACTTCCGCAACAAGCCGTTCCCGACGCGCGCCCGCATCGAGTACTACCTCAACACCCTGACGGTATACTTCCACAACGGTGAGTGCTGCACCATCGTCATCACTTCAACCTGTTAGAGTCCACTGTTGAACATATGCCTCCTCCATAGACTACCACGAAGCTCGAACATGAAACACCTGCTTCTATCGACTCTTTCGACCCGCGCATTTGCACAGGTCGTCACTCCATCTCGTGGAGCACGTCTTACATGATGGCCAGTACGTGGCTGCCATTCGAGAACCTTTCTTGCCCACCGGTTAACGCTTCTACTAGCTAATAGCTATATGGCCGGCCCATCGCCACTTTAGCTTACTATTCCTGAGCTTACTCGAGCAACCTGAGTTCGATCAGGACCCGGTGCCGGCACCAATGAAATTTTTAGTGCTGAATTTTCAGGTTGTCAGCCGTGAAGGAAAACATCGTGAGTAAAAATTAACTAACAAAAATATTTCGAAGATATGTGAAGTCCGCCAATATTCAGTGGGGCCTGTGGTGGACCATGCCCTGTTACGCTCTATACAGAGGAGGCCTTTGCCCAGCAGTGGGCATTTATAGGCTGATACTTTACTTTACTTTTTTTATTATGAATATAAATATCGTTATAACATCCGAAATTACCTAATTTTAGTATAACTTAGATAATAAGTGAAAATGGCGGTTATGAGACGGAACATTCAGCAAAAGTACATTTCGCTTTATAGTGAGAAGCTTTTGAAGACATCGTTTGTTCTAAACGCCTCTGATAGATTAAATTATTAATTCGAAATATCGAATAGTAGCTGTATTACATATTCACCGTCTCTATATTATTTTACTTATATCGTTTCAATTTAGATGTTTCGAAAAATCACCAGTCCAGAAATCGAATCATCAAAAATGCACGAGTGTAAATTAGGTCTTTAATATTATTCAAAATTTAAAACTGTTGCATAATATCTACGACATTAAGTATTTTTATTTATTTTCATAAGTTATTTCCATTTTCATTACATCATCCATGAACTGTTGGAACAGGTTTTTTTTTTGATATTTTTAATTGACTCTATGACTCACCGATAAACCTTGTTATTTTTAGGGTTCCGTACCCAAAGGATAAAACAGGACTCATTAAGACCGCTGCTTGTCTTTCCGTCTGTCACGAGGCTGTATCTCATGAACCGTTACATTTAGACAGTTGACAATTTCACAGATGATGTATTTCTGTTGCCGCTATAGAAACAAGTACAAAAAAAACACAATAAAATGTATTTAAGTGGGGCTCCCATATAACAGACATGATTTTTTTTCTGTTTTTATAGAATGGTACGGAACCCTTCGTACACGAGTCTGATTCGCACTTGGGCTAAAATTACCCAATTTTGTTTATGTTTTTGTATATTTTATTTAATATTTAATTTATGTTATGTTTAACAATACATCTTTAACTTTCTCGAACCGGTTTGATACAATAAATACGTGTTTCCTTTATTTTACCATAAGGCGATAAAATTTGTATGTTTTTAGAGGACACGCATGGCTTGTAGAGTAAAGTTTCAAAAGCGATTGTTACGCTCTAATCGACCGTAACTACCACGTACCGGTTATTAAATAACCCACCGAATGTATTCTTTAACATTAGCATATGTTTTAAAATTAAACACTTTACCACACTCCACGCTTTTAACCTGATATAAACACACATTAATACCATTAATACCACGTAAAAAAGTAAAAATAACAGAGATATGTTTGTGGCCAAGCGGTTTAGTCGATATTTTCGGAAGGTCGACCGCTTCTAAGCTGTTGCAAAGTTATTTTCATGCCAAATAGATTATTTCTGTTTGTCAATTATCTTAAGTTAGTTTAGTAGTTAGTTAAGAAATTTTGTTACTTTAGTGCATCGAATATAGTCTTCTATTTCTAGTGTTTATTATGCTGATTTGTCTAACTCTATATTTTCTAGAGTAATTAAGAGTTGCAATGTTTTAGTCTCCGTGTTTTATAATTTTATGAGCATATCAACCTTTGATTGTTTTAAAAAAAAAGCCAAATCAAACTTATAGAAATATGCCGCTATGATATCAAGAATTGTCACGTCTTATATACGTATAAGGACCGTAGATCTCGACATTTGTCCAAAAATAGACTTTTCCGCCATGGTATCAAGAATTATCACGTCTTATATACGTATAAGGATCGTAGATCTCGACATTTGTCCAAAAATAGACCTTAAGTAGAGAGATTAAGTTATATTACTCTCAGAGATTTGTTGAGTGACGACCAGCAAATTGTAGCAAAGCGCAAAGTCCATTTGCGTTTGAAAAGCGACTTTAAATCTATAGTCTTAAATCTTATTACTCCCAGAGGGTTGATGAGTGACGATCAACGAATCGTACTACTATAAAGCATCACAGGTCCTCTATTTGCGTTTGAAAAAACGGCCTTAGGTAGAGTGACTTAAGTCACATTTCTCTCTGAGTAGTGACTACAAGCGAATCGTACCACGAAAAAGCATCACAAGCCCATTTGCGTTCGAAAAGCGACCATAACTCGAGAGTCTTAAGTCTTATTACTCCCAGAGGGTTGATGAGTGACCTCCAACGGATCGTACTACGAAAAAGCATCACTAGCCCGTTGTTTGCGTTCGAAAAGCGACCGTAATTCAGACGGCCTAAGTCTTATTACTACCAGAGGGTTGATGAGCCACGACCAACTAATTGTACCACGATAAAGCATCACAAGCCCATTTGCGTTCGAAAAGCGGCCTTAACACGAGCGACTTAAGTCCCATTACTCTCAAAGGGGTTGACGACCAGCGTTGCGTTCGAAAAGCGACCTTAACCCGTCGCACTAACGCGCCAATTCCCGCAGGCATGACGACCAACGAGGCCGACTACGAGCTCTGCTTCCGCGCCGAGAACGTCGCACTGCCGCGTGGCGGATACTTCGGCATCTCCGCCGCCACTGGGGGATTGGCAGACGACCACGACGTAATACATCTGCTCACCACCTCGCTCCACAGCACACAGCAGCAAGGTTGGCATTTTGACTTGTTTATTCACACATTCATTCGATCGGTTGGTCATTCGTTCGTTCGTTCAGTCCGCTGCACCGACAAAGAGGTGGGAATATGGTAAGAACGTCATACATCTGGTCACCACCTCACTCCACAGCACACAGCAACAAGGTTGACCTTTTCTTGCTCATTCACACATTCATTCGATCGTTCGTTCGTTCAGTCCGCCGCACATAAAGCGGTGGGAGAAGTGCAAGCGACTTACATGGTAAGCGATCAGCACTAATCGAGATCATGTCGCTAGAGGTGGAGGGTAACCTCACTAACTCTATCTAACATTGGCAACCTTGTGTTTTATTTCGGATCTGGGTGTTTGTCCACGTGTAAAAAGTCCTTACAAAAAAGGATAATCTTATCCTACTATATCTTATCGTAAGGGTAATGTTTAAAAAAAACATGTTTAGTTTCAGTGCTCTAGTGTCTTCGACAGAGATAAAATAAAGACGTCTAGAATTTGGATCCCTTCTAAACGTGACACAACCAAAAAGATGTTAGGCTGTTAGGTGATCCTCTGTCTCGTTTCCATCTTAGGTTTCCGAATTTTTATACGTACTATAACTTGTTAAAACCATGAGTTGGTTCATGTCCAAAACTTGAGTTAACCGAAGACGTTTTTCAGTTGGGAATAAAACATAAACCTCTCTGAAACTATATACAGGATGGCTTTTATAAAAGTGCCCAAATTCACACAGGAGGTTCAAACTCGGTAGTATAATCATTTATTGAAGTAAAAACAAACTTTTTTTTTTTTCAAAAAAATTTCCATGCTATTCGCTAAAAAACAGAACTTGTTGACAATGCAGTAATGCTGAGATAAGTTCAAATGAATGTAAATAATTATTTACGAGTGATTTTAAATATTCATCATTTTTATATAACTTTATTTATGTCTAGAATTTAATAAAAAAAAAAATGGATACACTTAGAAAAGCCTCCTGTATATGCAGCGCACACTTGTTTTAAATGTGTTAGAATTACCTTTGAATTTTGGTATGTTATGAAATACAACCACTACAATGATGTCACATTTGGACTGCACTGCAGGTGGTCAGCAGATCAGCAATGACGAGCAGCAAAAGCTCTCCCAGGAATACCAGGAATACCAAAAGAAGTTGGAACAGCAGAAAGTTGATTACAGGAAGGAACATCCCGATGAGGTAAGGTTCATTTTTCTTAGCAATATTTATTTACATTTGTAATTTATGGTTGCAACAATTCCCATCTGTTTATAAATTTTAATTATTATTTAACTGAATTATGTTTGCTACTTTATGTTTATTCATATTACATATTGTACTTATTTGGAAATGTATTGAGTTCTTACTTCTACTACTATTCAGGGTTATTTGTGCCTGTTTTACCCAGATATGGATCGTATTTTAATAGAAATATCATATAAAATATATTTTACATTTTTTTTTAAATCGTAGGTACGTGACAAAGAGGGCGAGTTCGACGACTGGTTCGAATCCGACGGGCAGCGCGAGCTGAGGCAGATCTTCCAGGGCCAGGGGCAAATCCACGACATTCTGCGCGACCTCAACAAGAAAGTCGATGAGGTAATCCATCTTATTGCTAAGCCTGTGGCAACTGCAGTCTTTCTGCTCACTTTGAGTAAGATGAAGGTTGTCACAATCTGTAAGGAAACATAAACCAGTAAGAATAACCTATTTGCCGTGATCATCAAACAATCGCGTTAAGTGTTTGGTCTGATAATATAGTATTTTTAAATTTATTCCAGTAGAAAAAATCACATGATCACATTGTATTTTAGTGAGTACATCTAAGTAACCTTGTTTTTGTTAAAGAAAACCGTTAATGTTACCTAATTTCACTTGCAACAAAATATATACATATCCTATTAATGCCTACGTTAACTCGTCACCGTGGTAGGGCCACGCAACAATTTTCAGTGTTGCACAAATGGGCAGGTTAATCCGGTAGGTATCTCACAGTCTCACAGAAGACCAGAGTGTAGTGGAAGTGTTATACTTCCGCGTTTCGTCTGGTGCTCCCGCTTAGTTAAAAAGTGGCAACACATTTGTAACCCCACGGGTGTTGCAAATGTCAATGGGCTGGCTTTTTTTCAGGTGGTGCATTTATTTTACCGTATCTACATCCTATGTATTCAGAACGAAGAAAGGGATCGATCTACAGATTATTTATAATCTGGGCTTTTGGTCGGAGTGAGATTTGCTTTAAAGGCATAAGTGAATTAACACGCAGTCGCTTTCCGCAGGTTATCGGCAAGCAGATGAACTCACTGTCGATGTTGACCGCTGTGTACAGCCAGTCGCAGGCTCAACCCATCCAGCCGGGCCAACCAATTCAGCCGGGACAGCAGCCCCCTATGCAGGTATGGCATCTCTGTACAAAGGGTATTATTGCATAGTCCACCACGTGGCCCCATTGTATTGACGGACTCGACATATCTTCTAAATATTTCTTTTGTTACTATTTCGAAAATATACAGGTTTTTTTCTTCACCGCTGAGCACGAGATAGGTTAACACTTAAAATTTACAATACATTTACATAAACTATATTGTATTACTATAATAGGATGTTATTAGTCACTAGCAATTTATTATTCGGGTGAAAATTTCGGTGTGCATTAATATCATCGATCCAATTTCAAGTGCTAAATTACTATGTCCTGAGTGGAGCAGGAATTCGATATGTTGTTTCAAAACATCAATATAATAAAACATGTATATTTTGTTAATGTCTAAAAGCAAGTTTCATTAAACAATATTAATATTACACTTTATTTAATTGTATGTATTAAATCTCTTTCGAATCTTTAGAATCATAAGAAACATATGATAAAGAACGCGTGAAAAACATCAATGAAATATAATTCACCGTATTACTAACTGATCTATGACTAAAGTAATATATTCCAAAATGTTTCTTTTCATTTCTTCAGATGCCGACTTTACCCATCGGCCGACAGGATTGGGACTCTCTAGTCGCGAACAACCAAATTATGATCAACACTATTGCAGAGCTCAAGTAAGTTTGAATTAATAAATTATAACTGAAATGAAAACCCTGTTCGTCACGCAGTTTTAATATTTTTGTAGTTATACTTCTTTTGGCGCGTTTGGAAAATATTTTGAGAGTAAAATTTTTACGATGCACACGCACACCGACAGCTAAAATGTGACCTGATGAAACTGGTTGGGAAGCGGCCAACTTCGACCAATTTCTTCTGTGCGTACATGCGTACACACAAGTTTTTTTTTCCTATAATAATATATGTATTTTGTGTCACACCAAACGGAATGCAAAAGTGTGAGATTTAGACCCACCTAAGACAAAAATACAAAGCATTGTTTCTTAGAAAAAAATCCTCTAATGAAAGACAATTTTAAAAGATTTGTAATAAATCTTTTGTTTCAATTACTACTTATTTAAAAAATACCATTACCTGCTCTAAGACATTCCAATTCACAACTAGTTCTATGCCTCAAATAGACTTAACAACAAATTACAGGTATTTTAGGTTAACTATTATCAACACAAACTACCTAAAGGAATACTTCAAAACAGCTAATCATCATTTTTAATTGCATGTAAACATTGCAACTGCTTTTATTTGTATATTTCATACAAATAAATGAAATACACAACATTCTGTAGTCCCAAGCAACGCTTGTGCTATGGATACTAAAAAACTGATAATCATACATTTCTTTTGTAAATAATTACATAATTATTATACATATGACCCAGACACTGGAAAAACACTACGTTCATTACCCAATATCTCTCCAGTAGTGGGGATCGAGCCCACACTGATGCAAAAGGCACTACTCCCCACGCCAATCGGGTTGTCAGTCGGCATTCTAATGTTGATTTCTCGTGTTACCTGCAGAGGGTTCATCATCGAGGTGTCCCGAAAATCGGACTCGCTGCTGGCCGGTGCGGGCGCCCCTGCGGGGGCGGCGGGGGCGGCGGGGGCGGCGGTCAACCCTCAGTTCCTCAACGAGCTGAGGGACAGCGTGAACCAAGTCAAGCAGACGGTGGCCGGTGTCGCCCAGAGGTAATCACCACTCGCCACTTTATTATGTTAGATAGATATTAAGTGCAGCGATAGCTTTTAATTCCATATACTCGAGCAACCTGAGTTTAATCTCCGGTGCCGGCTCAAATTAAACTGTATGTGCTGTCTTATCGCGTGCCGGATAACATTGTGAAGAAATCGGCATGTTTTCGAAATAACAATCTGCCATTCGGCCTTGGGGTCGCGTGGAGTAGTATGCCGTAAGTCATCTAAATTTATATAATTAGAAATAGACCTGTAATGTCATATAATTAAATAATAAACAGAATGTATTGAAGAGAAACATGGATAAGTTTTCCGTCTCCACATTCGAATATTAAAGTGTGATTTAAACATTTTGAACCATAATTGTAAACATAAAATAAATAAAGAATGATTTATCTATCTTTATAACAAAAAATCTCTTTTAACTCACGGTCTAAAGACGAGTTTTAATTATTTTTACAATTATAAATAATACTTGCATGTATTTATGCATTGACTAAAGTTTATTAAGTACTAGTTTTTCGCCCGCGGCTCCGCCCGCATGTAGGTATTACATTTTATATCGTGCTTAAAAAGTAGTTACGGAACCCTTCGTGTGCTCGCGCTTGGTCGAGTTTTTAAACTTTATATAAACTTACAATTATCATAATTTTACAGACTATACTATAGTTTCATCCAATTCTACATAGCATTTTATCGCACAAATCTTTAAGTTGATATAACTTTTTTTATTTATGAACCGATTTAAATAAAATTAACATTGCATTAGTGAAAGTTGCACCGAAATCGGCTAAGCAATTTCTGAGATTAGCACAAACGCACAGACAAAAATTTTAAAAATCATTGTTTTGCGTTCCATTGCGTAGATTTATGCCAATAATGGTTTTTCTCAAACATCTTCCATGTCCGGACAACAATCAATTACATTTTTATTAACATATGTATTGAGAGTGTAATCACTCAATTTGTCTTCCCAGGTTAACATCGCAACCGCAAATAGCCGCCCAAACGGCCTGCCCGAACATATCATGTGTCAGCACTACGATGCTTCTTATGGTGGTCACCGCGCAACTCGGTGTCATGTTCCTCTACACGTTGTATAAGTATGTACATTTTAAACAACTTCTTATAAAACTTTTTCTACCAGCCAACCATAGAGGTTAAATTTTTTCAAGATTTATACTAAAGCAAGTAATATTTAACACCTATTAATGTAGAAAATTCGCAATTTTAATGTATGTATGATATAGGTAAATACATTAAAATTGTGAATTTTTGTAGATAAATGAACAAAAACTTTCAGCTTATTCGGATTCGAACCTGCGTTTATCGGTAGTTTATCTACAAACAATCATTATTGTTATCACAATTTAAATGTATGTTTAGTATAGGTAAAAACAACATTAAAATTGTGAATTTTTGTAGATAAATGAACAAAAACTTTCAGCTTATTCGGATTCGAACCTGCGTTTATCGGTAGTTTATCTACAAACAATCATTATTGTTATCACAATTTAAAGTTTCATCTACAGTGTTTAGTCCAGCACTTAAAAACAAAAATATATCATAAATACGTTTTTTTATAATTACCTGTTTTTATACATATGTATTCTACTGGCTGGCTTTTCTAAGTCCATTTTTTTTATTAAATTCTAGACATAAACAATGTTATATAAAAAATTATAATATTTATAAAAGCACCTCGTAAGTAATTGACTACATTCATTTGAACTTATCTCTCTCAAAAAGTGCGTGTTTTATACGCAACTCATTTATTTTACGCGCGATCATTCATACTAACACGCGCACAAGTTCGTTCACGAACAGTAAAATTTAGGTATTTATGAATGACTACCGCTTTGTAAACAAGTTCTGTTTTTTAGGGAATAGAATGGTAATTTTTTTTGAAAAAAAAAAAAGTTTGTTTTTATTTCAATAAACGATTATACTACCGAGTCTGAACCTCCTGTGTAGATTTGGGAATTTTTAAAAAGTCTCCCTGTATATTAACGTAAAACATATATTAGCGAGATGAAGAAATTTTCTAAATGTTTTTATTTTTATTTTTCAGAGAGAGAAAGGAAGCACAAGCGAAAAAGTTCTTCTAAGATATGTAAAGGCATTGTTGAATTCACAGTACTTGTTGCTTGCGTGTGCCAAACTCTACACACGTTTACTCGTAAAATACGTTCATAAGTAATTCTTATAATCGTCATCAGGTGTCACAAATTTTTATACACAACTAAATGACGTAATTCTCCCTCGAAACAAATAGGATAGTACTTAATTCAAACGTTAATTCAAAACATAATGCTTAAATGAAAGTATATTTAATGTAGTTAAAAGTGTTGGTAGTAATTAAAAATTAAATTATCCCAGAAAGGCAGCAGAATGTCGATTTACAGTCGTGAGATTAGACCATGTAGTGGTTGTAATAACTTTAAAAAAGACAGGTAATTCTCAATGGCGAAAGGATTTTCTTTTAATATATATTTTATGACCAAAGTCCACAGAGCTTAACAATCTTTGTTGATATAGAAAATAATTCTAAGCATGCACATAGAAGACTTGTTCTCAAAAACCTTTGTCCACTGAAATAAAAGAAATGTTTGTGTATGCTGAATTTTTTTAATACATCTTTATACCCTAGATACTATTATAATTTCTGCAAGTCAATTTAGACATTATTTTAAATGTCAGTAAAATAAAAACGTTTGTTTGCGTGTATTAAGTATTACATGTATTGTGATTAAATAGGTGGACTTAATATACGAGTAATGTGAATTTAACACGAACTTATTTTTTTACCAATGTGATGTATGTGCGTGAGTAAGTGAAGTGGTTATAATTTCTGTACATAATATTTATATTTTTTCTCTCTTTAGTAAATTTTACTATATGTCCGATCGTGGTTTTATTGCCAATCCAAATAAACAAATATAATGGTCAGACAATGTGCATTATAATATAATTTTGTAAAAAAAAATGTGCCGCTAAAGAACTTTTATAAATACATGTTTTTTTTTTTATTTTCTATACCGTACCTTTTATTATTACGTATTATTTCCTTTTCGTCATACCGATACAGCCATGGCCTTACTCATGAGTAACATTTAGAACTTCCTCCTTTGTTACATTTTAAAGTACTCTGAGAAATATAATACATTCAGGTTAATACAAATAAAAGCCTTAGACACTTAGGCCTTACAGTAAGCGATGTGGGGCAATAAAAGTACGACAGCTAGTCATTTACCGTTTATTATCTTTAAAGTATTAAATATGAAGTAACTTACCGCCATAAAATGATTCGTAAAACATATTATTTACAATAACATAAAATTGTTAAAATGCAAATATGATCTATTTTAAAACGAGGTGTACATTTGTCGGCGTAAAATACAAACAATCGATACAACAAATATACGACACAACATCAAATATACAACAGCTTTCACCATACAATGGCCCATTCGATCTAGTAAAACTATAACGTCTTAATTCATAAAGTTTGTTAAAATTATAAAGGTGTAGTAAGATTATATGGTAATGAAATTCGCCGCAGACTGAATACTTTGTCGAAACTGCTAAACAGACAAAATCATGTCTATTTGTAAATCGGAAATTATAAAAAATATCATTTTGATCAAAGTACCATTAAATATTTTTAGTTCTTAAATATTTAGGTACACTATTTTTATAATTACGTCAGAAAAATTCACAGCCTAAGGCAAAAGGCTAAGTACAATCCTTAACAGATCTTTTATTTATATTGTACTAATTTTATATAATTAAACATTAAATTGTTTTTGCAATATACCTACCTACATTTTGTCTGAATGACATTGTAAATAATTCAAACAAAACTTTAAACTTATTAAAAGTTTGCGTCATGGCTTGTCAAATATGCAAATATAATGTAAATGTAACAGAGGTAAAAACAATTCAGTGTTATATATTTCATGAGTTATAATTAGTTCAGTACAGAAGATAAAAAGGTAAATTATTGTATATGATCGAATTGGACTAGTTACTAGTCTAAACCACGTGCCCTTAAGGCCTTTTGTTAGTCTCAAGTGTTTTTATTTTGGCAAATATTTTATTGTTTCCGTAACATTGGGTCAAAATTTTCACTTACAGATTACACACAAAGTATACTTAAACAATTCAAAGTAAGATTGTACATTTTCCATGAAAGAATATATAATTAGTAAATATTACAGAAAAAAAACAATATAATCAACCAATTTAACTTACCAATGTTTTCAATCCTTGTTATAGAACATTCTTAAATTTAAATGTAAATATACCACATGACCCTAAACATTTATTTATGTAGCAAATAAAAGTAGAATATTTCTATATCGATCTACTTTCCTAACCTTATTCTTCTAATTGGTGTTCTTTTAAAACCGACTTGCAAATCGTTTGCCTATGATATTAGGCACTTTACCTATACAACAATATAACTACTCATGTAAGTTTTGGCTGTTTTATCCTCTATTATGTGACAAACCCAAATTTTACAGGAGAGGCAAAAATGCGCAAGTGAATCCTTGAACACATTACTGATTATGATGTCATATACGATTGGATGTTTTATTAATTAGGCTTTGTAGGACTTAATATTTTATACTATTGTGTATAGTTTGTTCTTCCGATTTTAATGGTGTGTGATAAATAATTTTCCAAAAATGTGAAGTTACCATTGTATGCCTCAGAGGTACAGATAATTATGTCATAAGTTGATTCAGATAAAGGATCAAGAATTACTAAGAGCCGTTTTTGTATTTCAACTGTTTTTTTATAATTATCTAATACCGTTAAAAATAATGAAAAGCTGGTTGAGGAGCATGAGAGTGAGGCGTATTTATCGTTACAGGTAATTATACCAGGTATCTTGAGATAACATACCTGTACCTGTTACGAACAAACTTAAATAACAGTTCCTGTCCCACACAAATTGTTCCTTAACACGCTGTCACAAGCTTTTCTTTATTCATGGATACAACTGTATACCTTATACATATACTGTATACATGGATACCTTATTTCGAAAGAGTTAAAAATTGTTACACCCTGTCACAGGTGCATGTGAATACTTCATCACATGAAGCTTTGTTAGAAAGAGAAGTACGGACATTACCGTAACAGCTGTTATGTTACTCTATGGTAACAATTACACAAATTGTCACAACATAGTAAGCGTAAGTAACGCAGCGGTGTCAATTTTCAAATCTATCACCATCCAGTCTTGACTTGGTAGAGAAATTAGGAAAACCATATCAAGTTAACTCTGATAATTCAGAGCTAGTTTGTCAAAGACAACACTACTTTTATCAACGCGGCTTAGTGAACAATTAGTGTTGAAATGAACTATTCGAAAGAACGGTTATTAGCAAGGGTTACGAATCCGTTGTCAAAATTTAAATTACGTAAAAGAATATTATGCAATTTATGAAATAATTTGTAAACGGAGATAAGTTAAACATAATACAAATTTATCATATTATCTTGTAATATATTAAGACTACTAATCGTTAAGGTTGAAACGGTCTAAGAAATACTTAATTTCGTTTTAAACTGAATTATTGGCAGCTAATTAGCTATTAATTCTATGTTAATTGGGAGAAGAAAATTATTTTGTCACGGTAGTAAACTTGATAGTTACAATAAATCCCGTAACAGAATTAGGACACACAAAGTGTAAAGATAACTGTACAATCTTTAATACCATTACACAGAAGATAGTCCCGATCAATGACTTTATTGTATATTCTAAATGACAATAATCATTTATCTCCGCTAAAGCACGTCTAAAATCTTACTCCTAACATCACATTCTAAAAGCGACATTATTTTTAACCTACGATATATATCGATGGCAGTGTCGTGGTTTGATTATTTGCAACTTAAACCGTTCATTTTGAAGTTTCAAGAAGTTTTTGTTGCAAGTAAGTTCATTTTGAAGTTGCTTTGTATTGAAAACAAAAATAAATGTTTAAAGTGGGTCCTATAATTATTACTTTACTGGCTTTGGTAAAATTTTTTATCATCTTTAGTTTATTCTGTTTAAGAACTAAGTTTCTCGTATTATCCCACTCTAATTTAAATGACCATTAGAGCAGTTGAAGATTTTCACAAGAATTGAAATTTTCAAATTATAATGCGTCTATTTTAATTTTAATGCGTCTGGACGTGTTAACATACATATAATAACAGTAACATACCAAGTATTCGTACACTAGAACAAAAACTGAACAACAGAAACGAAAACTGTTATCCACTTATTCATCGATAAGTTTTGAGCGATTGATGCACAGCGCTTTTCGTTACTTCGAAATATGACGGACAATACAGGGATTGTGCAAAATTTTGTCACTTTATTCCGAGAAAACAAATTATCACGTGACATATGAGAGGCGTTTCTAGAAACAAATTACAATGGGAATAAACCGATCATCAACAACGTACCACGTACGTAAATAACCCAAATGCGTGTAACAACGTCAAGCTTGTCATCAAAAAATGTCGCGGCGTACTCTTCTGTGAAATAATAAAGAAAAGCTATCGCCACACTCGACTGCCTTTCATCTTCGCGTTCCCAATTACTCCACGAGTTTTAAGCGTGTTCTGGCCGAACGCAGAGACGGCAGTTAGTACTCAAAAAACTTCAAATATAACGAATATTGTCCAATTTACGTCCAAAGTGGATTTAATGCCAAAGCCAAATATTTACGCCTTCAGCATGGCCTTTAGAAACCATCACGCAATGAGCTGGATGCTCACTATGAAAGCCAACAAAGCACTGACTTGTGCGAAGTGTACGCCGAGATGTTACGCCCCCATTTGGCACGTGTTCGCCCTCGGCCTTTCTAATCGAGGGGCTCGTAGTCCATGTCGCCGCAGTACTCCGCCAGGAAGTCCAGGAACAGCGTGAACTTGCCGGTGGACGAGCGCGCCCACCGCGACGACACCGACTTCATGCAGGTCGAGAGGCTTTCTAGAATGTTCTGTCGACGACAACGGGAAAGGTGTTGGTGTATGAACAGATTTCGATATATATCTAGTTTTACTACACCGAATAAAACTATATCTATTAAAAATTTTATTAATTGTCTATCAAAAATTTATTATAATATTCTTATTGTAATAATCTCTGCACGTAAGACGAAAAAATTGAAATTTGTAGAAAAAATGGACGGAAAGTTTTTTTGGAACCCCCGTCTTCCGAATGTGCCCAGACTCTAAGCTAAACCGCTGATTGCCACACCGACGAAAATATCAAATTATTTTTCCTATCCGTTGTTTTTTCGCATTTCTAAGCAACGTTTGGCGCATCTATTCTTATTTCCTTTACAGCATACAAACAATTTCAAACATAGTTTTACAAGATAGAATTGTCGTTGTAAAACTATGTTTGGGATTGTGTGGTGCACTATAACCTTATGCCCTCTGTACAGAGGTGGCCCTTGCCCAGCAGTGGGACATGTACAGGCTGTTACTTTACATATAACCTATACTTGTTACCTACTGTACTTCCTTTCATTTGTAATTCGCTTTTATATTTTTTTTAAGTGTACAATATAAATAAAACGTGGATGGGATCCACTCAGTACAGGGATGAATGGCGCAAGAGCGAGGAGGCCTATGTCCAGCCGTGGGTTAATACGGGCTGATGATGATGATGATAATCAAAGTATTTTTTTTAAAACATTGCCCTCACTTTAGGATAACATTATTCTGTGTAGTAGGGACGTCTTACAAACATAAATTGCACGTGGACAAACATCCAGATGCGAAACAACTATCTGTGGGTCACACAAATAGTTGTCCCGTGTGGGAATCGAACCCACGACCCCCGACGCCCAAGCCAATACCTTGGCAACTGCGCTACGGAGTAACCATAAATAAATAAATAAACAAACCTGGGGCCAGTCCTGCCTGTAGACGGCCAGGCACTGCTCCGTGAGGGAGTCCTCGGTGAGGTAGTCGTTCCTCAGCAGGAACACGAGGACCGTGGCGAGCGCCTCCCATACGACGCTCGCTCTGCACTTGGACTCGCTGAGCAGCACCACGTTCCTGGGGCAGAGAATCCTCTCGAAGAACTCCAGTAGCGGGCTCCTGTCGTCCTGCCCCTCGTTCTTCTGCTCCGTAGACACTAGGAGAGAGAGAGAGAAAAATTCGTTCGGAAACTGAACTGTGGTAGGGCCACGCATCAGTCTTCTCTGTCGCACTAATGGGCAGGTCCATGAATTAAGTACGACCTCACAGAAGACCGGCGTGAGGTGGCTCTATACTTCTGCGTTTCGTCTGGTGTGTGAGGTAGCCGGGGCACACTTTATTAAACGGTGACAACGCATCTGCAACCCTACGGTTCTTGCAAATTTCAATGGGCTGTGGTTATTACTTAGCACCGGGTGAACCGCCAGCTCCTTTGCCACCTTCTCACGTTAAAAAAAAAAGAAACAGCTCTGTTGAGACACACAGATTAAAGCACTTCTAAAGTTTCTCAGTAGACATTGCAGGGAATTGCCCTCTCGTTTACACCACAGTACAAATCGCTTTTGTCTCGCTCTCACAGTTCGGTTAAAAGTTGTGTACACGAGATGGTAAATGCCCATTTAGCAAAGTCACATAGGTAGAAAAATTAGGTGTGTATGTGTAATAGAATTTTAACAAGTCTCGTAAATCCGAACAACACACACCTGTTCGTAAACAGGTGTGTGTTGTTCGGTGCAGAGCTTGTAAAAAGACCATATTCGTACATTGTAGACAATGAGTGTGCTTCTTTCACTGTACGGTATAACTTAGACCATCTTATGATTCTGAATGCTTAGATGTAATGCTTAGATGAATTCTTAGATGTAATTGTTGCCTATGATCAGGCCTCTAACACAGATTATCACGAACTGATCCCGCATCCATCGACTTGCGATCGCCTCATTCACAGCATACAAATTACCACCCGGCCCGTGGATAGTAACACCACTCGGTAGCGGGACGAGTCGTACCGTTCGCGTCGAAGGCGGGCGCGCCGTCCACGACCACGACCACCGTAGTCGGGTCCACGGCCGCGAAGGCGCCGGGCGGCGAGCAGGGCTCCTCGTCGCTGGCCGGCGTCGGCGCGCGCTCGTCGTCGTAGGGGCGCGGCCGCGGCGACAGGCCCGCCCGCCGCTCGGGTAAGAGCACCTCGGCTGGGGCGCCGCGCCGCCGCTCCGGGCAGCACACGGCCCACACCGCGTGCAAGCGCCCCAGGAACGCGTCGTCCACCTGCTCCGGCATGCGGCTCACTGGGGAGCAGTTGGTTTTGTTTTTTTTTTAAATTATTTTTTCAAATACGACTGGCCAGTTAAAATCGAGAAGTTCGTTGTTGGAATAAACGTTTTTTTTTTAATATTACTGGCCTGTTCATCTTAACGCAACAAACATGACGTTTCATTTTTTCCTTAAGGCTTCGCCTCGCCTTCGGCCAGCACTATGCTTCGTTCGAAAGTTAAGTGAATGGGAGATTTTGTAGCACAGCTTATACTTATGTAGAAGGAGAAAACATTTTTTTTTGAAGTTATACTTTTATTGGCGTGTTTCGGAAAAACGAGGAGAGTGAATTTTTACGATAACATCTTTTTGACATTTACCTATAAATCTTAGTTACTTGATTAAAATTAAATAAAATTGTCATTTTTCTTTTGTTTTGGCTTATAAGGTGGGGTTGGGTGTAGGTTTCGTCATTTTACTCTCGCCCCACCGAAGACGATGCAGTAGTCCACGCTGAGCTGCAGTATGGCGCGCTGAGTGGGCGGCCGCCCGAACAGGTTTGAAGGGGAACAGGCCACCGCGCACCTGGCCAGCAGTTCCGACGCGTCGCCAACGGTCTCGCCCTCCAGCAGGAGGCAGATGTGCTCCTGGAGACGAGCATATTGATTTGACATTAACTGTGGCAAGTACCGCGGGAAATAACGCGACCTCACAGAAGACCGGCGTGAAGTTGACGCGTTATACTTCTGCGTTTCGTCTGGTGAGGTAGCCGGGGCGCACTTTACTAAAAGGTAGGAACGCGTGTGCGACCTTACGGGTGTTGCAAATATCCATGGGCGGCGGTTATTACTTAACATCGGGCGAAACGCCAGCACGCTTACCACCTTCTCACATAACAAAAAAAGTTTCAGTGCTACCGGTGGATATTTCGAAAGATGTGCAATTTGAATTATGGGATGATTTTGAATACTTTATTACTGTACCATATATGGACAAATATAGGCCTATCGGCTTGAACTGACAGTTATCAGAAAACGTTTTTTTTTTTAAATATAAACGTAAACAAATGAGATTAAGACATTTTTCTGGTAAAGAGTGTATGATAAAAAAGGTTCCCCGTAGCTAAAGTAGTTCGTTTGCATCAACTATTGAGAAAATTCAATTAATTTGCTGGCTATTTGATGGACAATTAAATTAATATAATTACGAAGGTTCAAATAATATATTTATAAATTGATCTATTGAGAGACCAGCGTTGCAAAGAACAGCACTGTGCGAGTTGAAGATTACGTAAGTGATGCCTTACGCCGCTCACCTTAAGGTTGATGACCGCAGCGGCCGCGCTCACGTGCACGGCTTCGAACTTGTCATCGGGCAGCATCATGGCGGCTAAGTCGACGGGGCTCTGGGGGTGCACCGTCGCTGCTTCCCCAAGTGCTATCAGAGTCTTCATTTCCTCTTCTATGTCTTTGCACAGTACGGCTGCAATTTTTTAAAAAAATTAATAGATATGTTAAAATTTAATTAGACATTATTGAGTCACTCGGTGGTGCGGTTGCTAAGCTATTGGCTTCAGCGTCGGACGTCGTGGGTTTAACTCTCACACGGGACAAGTATTGTTATTATATGTGACCCACAGATAACTTCCAGACATCAGGCAGGCAGCCCGTCACAGGTGCCTCACTCTTCGGGCGAAATGTAAAGGTCTAAATACTACTCATTCGCGGTCTTCCATAATGCCGTGGTATGGCCAGCAGCAGAAACATGTCTAACCCAGTAAAGGATCACTTTGTGATCAATATTAAGTTAAGTAAGTGTATAAATTGAGAAAGTATAGTTATTACTATAATAAAATTTTATAACTATCTAGTCTATCTGTAATATTTTAAGATTATAATGTAAATGTCTGTCATACTGGTCTGTTTTCTTTTAAAAACTTGTCGTTCTATAATGTAATATAATTTAACGTTGGCAGAGCCACGCAGCAGCCTCGGCTGTTGCACGAATGGACAGGCTCGTCTGGGTAAGTACCGCGACCTCACAGAAGACCAGCGTAAAGTGGAAGTATGAAAAATACTTTCGCGTTTCGTCTGGTGAGTGAGGTAGCCGGAGCTCAATTTCCAAAAAGGATGTCAACGCATTTGCAAACCCTCGGGTGTAGCAGATGTCCATGGGCGGCGGTATTCACTTAACATCAGGTGAACCGTCTGCTCGTTTGGCAACTATTCACATAAAAAAATATAATAAATAAATAGCCCTATTCATTTTCCTCGGTAGCCGTCTCTATAGCTTATCGTTATAAGATATAGATACAGTTATTTGTAAAAACTTTACAGAATCCATAGAAGCTTAACTACGTTATCTCTCTACCGTGTAAGTCGGTACTTGTATTAGGATAAGGCAAAGAAGGATATACAACGAAATGCTAGACGTGATCAAATACAATCTACAATAAAATATAGTTAAATATATTATAAACAGAACATTCTTATCAAATGACATACCATCCTCGCAACTCATTGTACAAATGTTTATATAATATATAGCAATAAATAATATTCACTTTTATTAATACATATCGACGTTATCGATAGCAACAAAGCGATAGCGATAAGTCAAACGAATGTATACAGAATCTATTAATACGCGAAGCAAAAACTTTGTATACTTTTTTTTACGAAAATAGCGTGGACGGAGGAGTTTCCCAAACTAGTTTATATTTAGTGTAGAATGCTTATATTTTTTTTAATTATGCATAAAAAATACATTGGATCAATAAAAAAAATTACTACACACACCGCCATATAGTATTTAAATTATGGTCGAATTTCGACCACTGGTCGACCACTAGTGATAATAAATACGGCAAGGTTCAGTAATTATTTTTTTAGTATCAAATTCCGTTTCGGTGAAACTCAAACTATAGGAGATTGAAAGATGAGACCGTGGCGCGGTTGCCACGGTGTGGCTTCGGCGCCGGGGCTCATTGTTTCGATTCCCACACAAGACAACTATTTATGTGACCCACAGATAGTTGTTTCCAATCTGGGTGTACTTCTAATTCTGGGTTTCATGAGACTCAACCCAAAGAAAGCGGTAGGAAACTCTAATTCCACTGAACAACTGAATTTTAATAAATCGCCCCTGCCACCCTAACTAGATACCGTGCAACAACGTCATTGTAAATAGTATATTAATACAGTCCCACCCAATGAGTTCTCGCTCGAAGCGACAAAGACCATCAACGAATTAGATTCAGACCACAGGCCAGTAATGTGTAATCTGGGCTAAAACGCCATTCAGGTCGTTCCGCCTAAAAACTTAGTGGACTAAACTAGCATCGTCTTGCGGTCTAACTCAAAGCCCACCACCAGTTTATAGAAAATCTACCCGAGGCGATAGTATCAATGCCGCAGATTCAAGTAATGCTCGTTCTGATACCGAGTAGAGAGCACTCTCTCTAGCAGGAGCTTCCTCACGGGGGTGTCCCTCAAGGTTTCCACCTCCCTCCCTAGCTCTTTTCACTCTAGAACCAATTCCCTAAAAAGTCCATCTCAAGTTTTTCACGAACGACACTTCTCTCTTCTAATTGGACAAAATACCTTGGCCAAATGTCTATTCGTCTCCAAAGCGTAGCCAATCACTTCGGTCACTGATTTCGCAAATGGAGAATACTGCCTGCTACCCTGCTGATGCAAATGGAGAATGCTGCTCGGACCTGCCCGGTCACCAACTCTAACCTCTCATTGAGCCGAACTCACCCAAGCACTAAGCTCGAGCAGATCCCATTATGCGGCTAACCAATCCCTCGGGAAAGTCGAGTACTTAGGAGTCACTTCAACTCCCAAATGACATTCGCCATTCATCATAAAAACATACGATACAGAGCCGCATTCATTTTCTTCCAGATCTATATCTTAACTATCTCCTAAAGGATAAGTAACCTAACAAGTAACTTAAAGCACAAACTATTGCTATACAAGGCTTGTGTACGACCTGTGATACACTTTATTTCTTTTGCTCACTTAAACCCACACACACCTGCATAAATTTCAGGTGAGTTCTAAAAACGCGTTCTAAAAACCCAAATGGGGACTTCCTAAATAGCTCATGAAGACCGTAATTTTCATAGTCCTTTCTATATTTATATTACTGTCCGAGGTCGTTTGTCGTTCGGCGTTACGTCCATCGAACGTGTTTTGAAACGCGACCAGTACCGAGGATCCAATACGACGCGTTCCAGTTGCGAATTAGATTGCGTTTACGAGTTCTGATCTTTTTAATTCCTTTAAACACTTGAACTACGCGTTTTTACTGCATTATACTATCTATACGTGCAGTGATCACTTAAAAAAAGAGAAATGAAGAATAGTTTCTGAATGTACAATGAATTTATGACGTATCGCTTATCTGCGAGGACATAATGTATTTTATTCGGTGTCGTGGCCTGTAATTATACCATCTCGCCCGTCAATCCACGCTTACGCTATATATAAAGATGGAGAGGACTATTGAGCCTCCTACGAGTCATGTAACCGATAAAAACCTGTGGTGTTCCAGTTGTCGTTGAGCCACTTGTTGAGGCGGTTGACGCAGCCCTTGACCGCCAGCGCGAGGAGGGGCGGAGGCGCCGCGGGCAGCAGGGCCGCCAGCGCAGCCCCCGCGCGCCGCCGGATCGACGCCGTGCCGGCCTCCAGGGCCTCCGTCCGCAGCCGCTGCAGCTGCTTGCTGTACAGGCCCTCCACCGCTTTCAGCAACGTGTCCTGATCGAAAAGTTAACCTTGCTAAACTATTTTTTAACGGTGGTAGGCCAACGCAACAGTGTTTGCTGTTGCACGGATGGGCAGGTCCGTTAGGGGATTACTCGGATAAAAGTAGGTTTTTAGTACGTATTTTCAAAATTTGGTGATAAACTAAATAAAAAATCAATACACAGAAGGATCCACTTTCGCATTGTGGCATTGGCGTCGGCGTCGGAGGTCATAGGTCCCACACGGGACGAATATTTGTGTGACCCACATATAACTGTCCCGGATCGGGTATTTGTTTCTCAAGAAGGGTTGGCGTCAGGCAGGCGGCAGGTCGTAAAAAAAATAGTCAAAACCGCTTACAACATGATTCACGTGTTGTGCCGACCCCATCTAGGTGGGAAAAGGGCACGGGGTCGCGGAAGATTGCGTCCACGTGTTCCCGTATCCCCGGCCGATGCGACAGAGACAGGTGCAACGTGGGTTTTTTAGTGGGTACCCGTTTCTCACCGGGACTCCCACATACCCCTGCCACTCCCCCGATCCAATGACAGGGGATCCATAAAGGATTTTTCCCACGGAAAAAAAAGGAGGGAAAAGGGCAGGAGTATGGCTTGATCGAAGGCGGAGCTCGTGCAACGCTTGGTGTTTGATAGTCCTTACATCAAAAATGCGCCGAGAGAGAATCGAAAAGCACTTATATCAAGGAGGCAGATTTCACGCACATTATCTTCGGCGTTTCTGGCGATGACCAGTTGGCTGGCCCCCTCGCGGGTCCTCTTGCGGAAGTCGCACAGCATCTGCGCAGCGAGCTCCTTGACGGCGCCGGAGGTCACCCGCTCCATCACCAGCTCGAGCACGCGGCGGGTCGAGGAGGGCTGCGTCTTCAGGAATTCCTCCTCCAGGCGCGCCTGAATACGAAAGAAACTTATAGGTCTTCGATGTTGCACGAATGGGCAGGTCCGTCTGGAAAATTCCACGACCTCGCGGAAGACGAACTGGAAGAGTTATGCTTCTGCGTTATGTCTGGTGAGTGAGTGAGTTTTTCTATAAATTTTAATCGGCCGAGCACACTTTATTAAAGCATTACGACGCATCTGGAACCCTATGGACGTTTCATGGTGGGTGGCGGTAATCACTTAATATATGGGGAACCGCCAGTTAGATTGCCATTTTACATAAATAAATAAGAAACAATCATCGGAAACCATGGCTAAGGCTAGAACATTCCAGGGTACGAAACATAGGATTTACTATCATCCCTTGATAGTCCGAGTGCCATAAAATAATTAGTTATAACTACAGATAATGGCACTGTTACACTGAATGCTGTCATAATAGCTTAAATTAAAGTTTAGTGTTAATTGTCGTGTAATAAAGTCGATTAATGCGGCCGTTTGTCACGACATAATTAGATAAATTTCAAATAGATCGACAGATAAATTGTCAACATATTTCTTTAATAATAAAAATAAATTAGATACATGATCGTCGAGATATTCGCGCACTGAGGATGTTTTAAGGCGAAGGAAGACGATGATCCAAATCCTAGCAGCACCGAAAATTTTACACCGAAAAAATCATCACCATACTCTTAGGTCATATCCAATTTACCTAACCAACTATGCCAAATCCACAAACAACTAAGTATAAACAATTTCAAACAATTTGTAAAAGCTACCTTAATGGCAAGGGCCTACTATAATGTCCAAGAATACATTGAGGACAAAGATGTGTGGAAATGACTCTTGCTCTACACTTGCAAGGCCCATGGCTGCTGCTGATTTTATACCTAAATAAGTTTGTATTATTGCATCAAAACAAAAAAAGAACAAGACCGCAGAGTTTCTTGCCGGTTCTTCTCTGTGCAGATCTAATTTGGTGAACCGGTGATAGATTTTTGTTGACGTTCAATAAGAGCTTAAGTTAAAGATACTTTAACTTTGACTTTGAAATAACTATAAAACAGCTTTAACAACTTGTTTTTCTTGTTTCTTGATTTTTTTTAAAAATTACCTTTACTTTAGGATAACATTACCCTGTGTTGTAAGGATGTTATACATACATAAATTTCACGTTAAAAAAACACCCAGATCCGCAAACAATCATCTGTGGATCACACAAATAGTTGTTTCAGGTAGGAATTGGACCCACGACCCGCGGCGTCGAGGTCAATACTTTGGCAACTGCGCAACGGAGTCGTCAACTGCTCACCTGTAACTCCCTCTCTTTATTTCGCACCCGCTCCTCGCTGCCGCCCAGGCTGACGGGCGTGATGTGCCTGAAGCTGCCCGCCTCCCTCCTCTCCTGGGGGGGGCGGCACGTCAGCAGAAGTGCGTTCACGTCCCTCAGGAACGGGCACAGCTCCAGCAGAGACGCCTCGTCCAGCAGCTCGTGGTAGTCTACGGTCGAGTCTCCGACGACGGGGCAAGATGGCGCCGCGTCGCGGAGGAATTCGCGCGGGAAATGCGGCAAATCGAACAGCCAGCCCAGGCTGGATTTCAGGTATATCACTGTGTTCCTCTTGAGCAGGCTCAGCGGGCTCAGCTTGAGCCGCGTCGAGTAAACGCCGAACAGCATCCGCAGGAGATGCTGGTAGTAGCGCAGCCTCAGGGTGGCGTAGTCGAGCATCGACAGGTAGTGGACGAGCCACGGCACGGTGATGCAGAGACGGCCGCACTCCTCGGAGCTCGCCAGTATACCGCGCAGGTCTATGCAGGGTTGGCTCTGGAAATGATCACGGCATTGGTTTATTTATCCGTTACAGATTCGTAGATTGATTAGCCCGGAACTATACATGGCCTGAGACTGAGACTTTTTAACCTAATCGTATTCGAAATTACTCTGGGATGAAGTAACTTTGCATTGGTGTTAATATTCTCAGAACAGTTTTTCAGATTTATTCAGTGGAACTGCATCTATAGTATGCTGTACATAATACAGTTGGACAATACATTTTGTGTAATACATTTTGGCAACTACTGAAATGTATTACATATAAATAATATATATTTGTAGGAATGTAAACTTTGTTATACAAAACTTATATTTAGAATTACTTGGGTTTTATTTAAAATTTATAATTATATTAAACTTATTAAATTGGTTGTATCATAAACCTTTACCTTTACCTTGTCATAATATAACACTTTTTCTCTCACTAACCTTCCGGTTGGCTGGTAGAAAATGCCTTATGGCATTATGCCCACCGTTGGTACCAGTTAGTACAATAAAGTGTTTAATAAATAAACAAATATAAGTATAGTGATAGATTTGCATTCAATCAACGCACATAATTCCTCAACGCGATGTTACTCTCCAGAACCTTCTCCTTTGGAACTGCGAAGGTCATCTCCTTCTGCACCCTAGTGCTTCCCAATGCTGCCGCCGCCTTAGAGACGAAGTCCGTCGGCACTTGCGAGTACGGCAAGGAGGTCAGATAGCCGAGGAACTTCGACAGGAGGCACAGTTTCTTCGACAGCTGTAGGAACTCTCTGGATATGTCAGACCCGTTCGCTGAAATGTGCAAAGGTAATGTAATGTTATATTAATGTTATGTAATCACCGTGATAGCTCAAAGTCCGATCGGTTGCCTCTTATTCATTATACTTGAGCAACCCGAGTTCGATCTCCGGTGCCATCACTAATAAAATTGTTAATTTTAAGTTCCGACTTATCGCGTGATCAACGGCGAAGGAAAACATCGCGAGGAAAATCTCATAAACAGATCCATTGCGTATTAGGAAATAGACTTACAACTCTCCGTGGCGATGGAGGCAGAGTCCAGAGCTACGATATCGGAGGCGAGAGCGTCCCTCAGATGCACTCTGAAGCACTCGTTCTCCGCATACGTAATGAACTCTCTGGAAAGTGGAGCGAGTCAAAGATATAATACTGTTAAAGAACAATATTTTATAAATGGATTGTCAGAATAACGTTATATGGCCTGCATTTCATATATTTATGATAATAGCATTTTCTATGTAATGCGGTTCACCTGATTGTTAAGTGATAACCGCCGGCCATTGACACTCGCTACACCCGTAGGGTTGCAGATGCGTTGCCACCTTTTAATTAAGTCGGCCCCGGCTACCTCACTCACCAGAGGAAACGCAGAAGTATAACTCTTGCACTTCACGCCGGTCCTCTGTGAGGTTGTGGTACTTCCCCGGACGGACCTGACCATTGTAACGCAACAAAATAGATTGGACAGTGGTTATTGTGTGCATATTTTAACAACGTGACACACAATAGCCTACATTTACATACTTGTAAAACATCTCCTTGTCGGTAAAGTGGGGCAGCCGATGCGACTCAGGCGCGTTGGGGCACGTCAATCGCCTATGCAGCTTGCTCAGCTTCGATTCCTGCGAACAATATACATATATAAACATAATACATCTACTACACGTGCAATAATTAAACTAAAAGGGAAGACGCATCACGCACTTCGCCCCACAATGGGGCGTAATCCGAAAACGCCCCTTACACATATTTACAAATAAATTTTCTATTACTCGTGCAACCATTCTGGAAAGGGAGACTCGTCACCGTGGGTGACGAGTATAATACCTTAGATAATTATAAACTAATTTCATAAAAACCTGGCCATTCGAGGATAAGCATTCGGCTAGCATGTGCGCAGTGAACAGCGCCGCCAAGTGGGCGTGGTTAGCTGCAGTAGGTCCCGATGAGATCAGAGTCTTGATGCGGGCTTTGAACGAGGTCCTAGAACCACCAGTCGTTTGGGTGTCCTGGTACCACCTGAGGAGAGAGTAACAGACAAATAAAACGTATTTTACGGTGTCTCACGTATTATATAACTAACGAGGTAGAAAGATAGATGACTGTCCACGCTGCGAAGAACAAACTTGTTTGCACAGCAAACAATTTTTTTATTGGTACACTCGAGACCTCAGAACACTAGTAGACATCCAGCCGTTACACCAGAGTTAGGTTGTCTCAAAAACACGTTCAAATTGCTGACGTGCTTGACGCAGTTGTTAATTTATTTGGATTAGGTACTGCGGGTTGTCTTTTCGATTCCCACACAATAAAAGTATTTGCGTGATCCCCAAAACAAAGAGATATCTATCTTGTGCACGAGAGGTTTACGTAAGTACAACGTCCGTACATAACGGAACAATATTATCCCACAGTAATGACTAAATAAGGGAAAGGTCAGTTAATTTGATTGAAGAACCGCGATAGCTCAGTTTCCGGGCGCTCGCCTTTAACACAATATACTCTAGCAACCTCAGTTCGATCCCCGGTGCCGGCACCAATGAAATTGTTGATTTTAAGTGCTGACTTATCACGCGCTCTGCGGTGAGAGAAAACACCGCGAGGAAACTTGCACATTTTCGAAATAACAATAAAAAAAGGAGGCCTTTGCCCAGCGGTGGGACATGTATAGGCTGTTACTTCACAGTCAGTTTTGGTTTCCACTTTTTGAGTTATTTTAATAAATACAAAACTCTTGTCGCTACATTCATGCGGTCAATAACGCGGCTATCTATTATAGATATCAAGATAATTGTGATGCAATTGAGTTGCACTTGAACTTGATAATGGTGTATCAGTAACATATGCAATTTTCTACATATTTTAACATATGCAATGTTACAGAACCAAGCAACCGCTTGTGCTGTTGTGTTGATGATCCTCAACAGGGATAAATTTCAGGACAGGACATATTATCACACAACGTTTTCTAGTCCCAAACTACAACACTTGTACTATGGGTACTAGACAACTGATAAACATACTTTTTTAGTAGATAAATACATATTATAAATATATGGACACCCAGACACTGGAGAAACACTATGTTCATCACACAATATTTTTCCAGTAGTTGGGTTCGAACGCACACCCTGTGGCGCTGGCGACAGGTCTACTATCCACTACGCCATTGGTATCTTTAACACTTACATAGATAGATATACTCAGCATTTAGCAGTTTCTCACCTTAAAATTTCGTAAAACATGTCCCTTTGCTTTTTGAAATTCTGAAAACTGAGCACGGACGGAAAGTTGTCTGCGTTGTCAGTCTCCAGATTGAAACAGATCACGCCGTTGGATCCCGTAGCCTCGGGTGCCAACTTGGACTTGTCATGGTTGATCTCCGCTTCGACCTTGAGCCCGTAAGCGTTCAGGAGGAATTTGGCCAGGTCCGGATAAAAGCTTCTGACTCTCTTGTTCTCACCTAAAATCTTGAGCGAATTCTTGTCCAAAATGACCTCCAATATTGTCCGTTCGCACCACAGGGATTTCACAGCGAAATATGTACTGTTATGTATAGATTTCAGAAGGCCATCACTTATTTTGTTCTCGTCCACCCGCGAATCGACCTTAGAATCGTCTTCGTATTGCTCCGAAAGCAAAATCGATATGAGAAAGTACAGTTCCGTGTTTAAGCTGAGTATCAAGTTGTTTTTGAGCATTGCGTCGTATATTTCAACTAGGACTTCTATCTGTTCTTTGAAAGTGACTCTATTGATGTCCGCCGCTATGTAAGTTTGTTTCAATTCTGTTGTCTTTTGGCGCGTCACTTTTATCTGGGGCGTCGAGTCGAGTTTCGGCGAGGTGGACGTGTTTAAGATGTTGAATTTCTCCATCAGCTTATGCCTCTCCTGCTTCAGAATGTTCCGTTCCGTTTCGTAGCTGTTGGACAACTCTTTGGGTTGTATTCTCTGATGTTTGAAAGCGACGTTCTCTTCTAGGGCCAGCGGCGACTGTTGCTGGAAGCTTTCGGTGTGGAAGCTGCTCAATGAGAAACTCTTTTGATTCGCGCTCTTGTCCAGATTGGTCGGTTTGATCCTTCTTCTTTCCGAGCGCAAAGAGCTCGATTTCCTCGCACCAATTTCGGGGAACATCTCCGAGTTGCTGAGGTCCAGGTCTACTTTTGTTTCTACATCGTTGTCTTCGGATGTGTTTCTCCCGCGTTTCTTCTTGCTGCTCTTCGGTTGAGCGTTTACCAAGAAATCGCCAAGGCTCAGGTTTTTCTCTTGGGAGCGGGAATGCCTGTGGGAGATTCGTGGCGTGTCGCATCTCTCGTAGCTGTCTTTAAGACTGCGAAACGTTGGGGTGACAGGACTGGCGTGCAGACTGGGATACTCGTTTCTGTAGCCGTTCTTAACTGGTGTGCTGGATATCACTAGTCTGTTAACTCCGGTGCTGAGTTTACTATCATCGGGCGAGATGGGTGGATCCTTGCTTCTGTCGTCCTGAAACAATTTGGTTTTCACTTTGCGCCCAGTTTTCTTCCGATCCCTGTTCGGTGATTCGTGGCTGCTGTGCTCTGCTTTAGCACTAAGGGTGTCCACTGTGCGATCGGTGTCACTTGTAGGGTCACTGACAGACCTATGGTGCTTCCTCCGAGAGGGAATCTTCTCTGGAGTTGCCTGTTTTTGGAGTAAATGTATTGCATTGCTGTTGCTCTGGAGAATACTGAAACAAAATTATTGGTATTACAACAAGGCAATGTTAGTTTCAAAAATGCATACATTTCTAAAAAACGTATTTGCGCATTCTGACAATTAATTTTTCAGGAAGGTTATGGAAGTTTAATATAAGTTTATAATTTAAGCCAAAAGCCATAAACCCAAAAGAATTTGTAATAATAATATTATTTTAATTATGTATAAAGTGCGTCCATTTTATTATTTAAATTTTGTACCTGTATAAACACAAAAGATACTTTAAAAATAAAATTTCAAAAATAAAAATATGAAATGAAAATTAAGTGATGTCTTGGTCAAAAACTTATATATATATAATTAAGGAAAAATTAAAATATAGCATACTAATATAAAACACTTAGGACAGTAATTTTTAATTTTTCAAATGTTTGTGTTTGTGTTCGTGTTTTTAGTATGAGAAGTTTCTAATTTCTTTTGGCTATTGCAGAGAGGCAATTCAAATCTTTCTTCACACCACAATTGTAAAATGTAATACATAATCAAACTCTAGATTATAGTGTAAGGTCTATTTTAATATTAATTGGTAATTGCAATTCATATTGTAAATACTACTAAATATATATAAAACATTAACATTTAGATTAATATACATTACTTAATATTTATGACAGCTTTTACAAAAATAAAAATCAGATATTATTATAGCTTATATATAAAGTATCCCAAATTTTAAATATTAATTTATTTTTAAGTTAATGTTTACCTGTCAGTCTGGTTCCGTATATAGGACAAAAAATGGGCGACAAACTCATTCTTATTACAGCAAAATAAAATACAGTCATCTGGAGCTTCCTGAAAGAGAAAAAAACACTTGAAACTGAAAAAAATTCAAAACAAACATTTTTACTTTAGGTTAGGTATTCACCTCTATCGATTCGTTGTTTAACCATTTTAATAATAGTACAGTGTCTAAGTTTTGTGTTAGAACGCTTTCTATTATTGTATCCGGCATTTTAAGTGTACGCTACATAATCTGGGTATTTATTTTAATTCTCGATCGATTAATGACAGCTACGCGCTAAATAATAGGTGACGTTAACTGTCAGTTGTCACACACATCAATTTCCAACAATAGTACAGTATAAACAAAAACAGTACAGCTTAAGTTCAGTGTATGTACTTACATAGGCGTAAAGAAACCATGACAATTATAGGTGTATGAAAAACTTTCAAATTTGCATATACATATCATCAGAAAACTTGGAGCTGAAAATTCCTACGCACAAAAAAAGTTTATGAGTAGGTCATTTATGGTGCAAGGGGCGACTCTGGAATGACTTACCACTAGAAGTAAGGCGTGCTCAGTCATTAAATATTTTCAAGAATCTTGTAAATAATCATTACTTATCTCTATAATGTTATTCCCTATCAATGATATATGTATTCGTATATATGGCATGTATATATTGATATGTATGTATTGATGTGTATATGTATGTATATGTGTATTTGTATGTATATATTTTGTTAGCCTTTTGTATATACATTTATTTATTTACTTACATGTTTATAAATATCTTATTATTATGAGTTATGATTGTAGATAAGTATTTTTCTTTTTCATTCATTTAGTTAACCCACACCTTTATTCCTAAATTATTTCTTTTTCAATCCATCCAAAGGTTGCCTGGAAGAAATTACTCTTAGTAATAAGGCCGCCCATTGTACCCATTACTTCTACATTAAGTTTTAATTTTTGTTTGTTTTATTTATGGTGTGCAATAAAGTATATTCATTCATTCATTCATTCATTCATTCATACATAATAGAAACATAACCGTTCTTCCGCTTCAATAAAATGATGCTTGAAGAACTTGTTAACGACAACAGTATGCTGTTGTCGTTAACATGTTGTGTGTTGTTAAATAGTTGTGGATTAATGTTGTCTGTAAGCGCCTGGACTCAGTGCAACTCACTGTCCATACGGCATGGTGCCAAAAACGCTACGTGCCTTTCTTGGCTGAATAGTTTTGCTTAATCCAGTAGTTTCAGTATAGTATTACTTTACTCTATGGCTTAATCTTTGAGCATGAAATGTACTAGCCCTCTTGTCACCAGCCACGGTGATAAGTCTAGGACGTAGAAGTTTAAAAAAATTAATTCTTGTTTAAAAATAACATGGAATTATAAGTAAATGTCAAAAAGTTATTGGTTGCCATGGTAATATCGTGAAGTTTGTCGCTTAACGCTTTGCAACCAACTTCATCATGTCGCTGTCGGTGTGTGCATGCATCTTAAAAGGTTAACTGTCATATTATTATATAAATGACACTTTACGCACACCTCAAATCCACCTCTCAATAACAGACAGATTCCAGGTTCCTTCCATGATCATCTTCCTTCTAACATCCCTCGTCCATCTAACATCAATAACCTTTTAACATATGTAAATTCTTCGTTTGTTTATATCTTATGTAATTTTATTGATAGTTGTAATATTAAGTTGTGAACTAAGCATAATAATTACAATCTTATTTTCTTTGTTCTAGGTAATTGCTATAATTATGTAAATTTGTTTAGATATTCTATATATAAAAATATACATATTTAACATTCATAAAATCATCCTCTTCATCATTTCATTATAAAAGTTAGGCTAAAATAAACAACCAGAAGTGTTCATTGTCGTATTTATTGAAAACCGCCAAAAAAGAAAAGAAGAAGAAGAATAACAGACAGTAGTTTACAATAACAGTTATTATAAAACAACAATAGTTTATTTCATTATAGAAATATAGTGAGTCTGTGTAAATGTGAATTGAACATGAAAATTGAAGATTGTTGATTTGTTGAAGTTGGTTATGGTCTCTGGTTGAAGTTCTGACTTCTGTATCTGAACTTTCAGAACTTTGTTGATTGTATAGATAAGACTTCGGGTCTGGCTTATTTAAATTGAAAAGATATGATAAAATAATGTCTGGTTGGATAAATATGGAAAATCTCTGCCGATGTTGTCATTCTCCATACGGTCTTAAAAGTCTAGGTTCATTTCAAGCGTATGAAGGTGTCGGAGAAACATATTCCGCGATATTAAAAGATACCTTTAACATTGTTGTAAGTTTTTTTTTTTTTTTTTTTTTTGTTTACTTAAAATGTTTAATGATTTACGTAAATGGTATTTACTGAAATCTAGTGATGTCTAGTTTGGTAGTCCTTAGATACATTTTTTTTCAAAACCAACCATTACAACATGTTCACGTTTCAAAATTAAGTATGAAATCTAGAACATGATTCTTTATAAGGTCAGAAATGTGGCTCTTCTTCTTTATCGTGTGTTCGCCCACCGTTGGGCATACAACTCTAAAATTTTCGTCCATTCAGCACTAAATTGAATATACTAATAAGAGAAATATGATTAACTGGTTAAAAAAAAAGTAGAAGACTTGAAACTGTATTTGGTATTTGTTTATAATTCATCATTCATTGAAAATAATCATTTCATATTTATATTATAAATATATATTATAGATAGTTAGAGAATATTATGTGTTTTGTTATATCTTTTCTATGATGATTATTTTATCAGATACAACCATTTGTTGGGGCATCAAGTGCTGTTTCTTATTCTATATGTGATGTATGTGTTGCACACTTGAGAGATGCATCAACATTCAAGCAGCAAGTTGTGACATGTGAACAAATCTTATCTTCATATTGTGATAAACAGGATTTAAAAGGTAAAATATACTTGTTTTACTTTTCTGGTCAGCTGGCCTTTTTGGGTAGCAAGAGCTTTTATGTAAACTGTTTTGTTCTCTCACTGTAATGAATAATTAATTTAAAGTCCTCATAAACACATACATCACATGAGGTGTGTGGGTGAAAATTTCAATCATAACACATTTCTTTTTATTCTAGGTCCAGCGTCCATGGGAAATGTTGTTAAAGAAGAGATGACAGAATTAGTAACTGGTACTAATTGTATAATTTTTATCACTTTTAGTGTTAGTTGAATTACATAACAAAATTCCTAATAGCAAAAGCAGGAACATTTCATTTCAGGCTTTTTAATCCATCATTTCATTTAAGGGTTAAGGGAGGAATCCTGTAAGGAGAATGATGAAAGTGATGGAACAAAATGTTTTGGTTAGTTTTTTTTTTAATTTCCTTATATTCCTTTTTAATTTTATTACTTCTAATGTATTTTGAGCAAAGCATGGATAGGATTTCACTTACTTGAAAAAGACTGACAAATCCTGTATTTCGATCTTCATCATGATTTTATAACTACAGGATTCAAATATTCATTATAATAATTATTATCAGGGATATCTCAAATTATAAATTAAATTTATATAAAAGAGTGTATTATAATGATCTTTTTATTGCAGATAATAAGACCTCTTTGAATATATTCAGAAACACCACAGAAGACAATATTGATGATCAAACATTGTCAACTTTTAAGAGCAATATTTGCAAGCAAGCTATTATTAGAGCAGGAGTCTGAAACAGATTGGGATGCAGCTAACCTTAGTGAAGGTATTTTACTCAAATAAAATACTCAATAAAGTATTAGTTCAAGATACCCACTTAAAAAATGGCTATGTACTAGAACTCTTAGGTTTTTTCAAACCTAAGCTTTGGGCAGTTCATTATGATCCGAGCGAAAGAAGTAGCAATGATGTTGTGAGTACCATTCTTTCGGAATGGTGGTACTGAAAATAGGTACAGATTTGTAAAAGGTGTAAGTCTGGTCATATTTGGAGAACTAGAGGAATCAAGTTGGCCGGCCTTGTGCAGAGGCACAAGCTTTCAATATCAGTATTTAATAGGACACTTTTGGAGTGTGTGTGCAGGAAATGCATGACTGACAGTAATATGCCAGGCTCTATTAAAAGAAAAATTAAGAAAATTTGATCTCTCATAAATTTAATGTTGTGATTCATCTTTCATATTTTAAATTTTAGATGGTATAAACTTGTTCTTGTTGAGACAGAAATACATTACAGGATAGCTTTTGATGTGATAAATAACTTGTTAATGTTTACTTGTTCTTAAGACTAAATAACTTACAGAATAGCATTTGACATGGTAAATAACTTATTAAATATTTATATGAATTTTATTTATGTTTTTTAGATGAAATCCCAAAATCCAATAGCCAAGTACAAACGAAGAAATACACCTGCAACGTCTGCTGCAAACAGTTCGCATATCATGGCTCATTAGAGGTCCATTTACTCACGCACAGCGGCGAGCGAAGCTATCAGTGTCTGATATGTAATTGCAAGTTTCCCCTGAGCAAGGACTTAACAAAGCACATTTCCCTCAAACATTCTAACGGCGGGGTGTACCCCTGTAACAAGTGCACGAAGACATTCGACAAGGCTCGACTCCTGAAGAGCCATCTATCGAGTCACTCCAACAGTGACAAGTTCAAGTGCCACCACTGCGACAAGTTGTTTCAAAGGAAGAAGGGCCTCAAGGAGCACATGAAAACTCACACTAAGGAGAAGAACTTCACGTGCCAAATATGCCACAAGTCATTCGGGCACAACCAGACACTGAAGTCCCATATATTGACTCACACGGGAGAGAAGCCGTACGTCTGTGACGTGTGCGGTCGCCGTTTCGCCCAGCGGACTCATCTCAAGCGGCACATCTTCATCATCCATACAGGCGTCAAGCCGTACTCGTGCTTGGAATGCAACAAGCAGTTCTCGAGCAAGAGCTACCTGGCGATACACGCGCGCCAGCACACAGGCGAGCGACCGCACACGTGCGAAGTTTGCAAGAAGGACTTCACCGCGTACACGACCCTGAAGGTCCACATGCGGGTGCATACTGGGCGAAAGCCGTACGCGTGCAGCTTCTGCGACCGGCAGTTCGCTCAAATGGCCAGTTTCAAGCTGCACGAGCGCACGCACACCGGCGAGCGGCCGTACACGTGCGCGGTGTGCAAAAAGCCGTTCTCCGACAACGGCTACTTGGAAGATCCACATGCGCGTCCACACGGGCGAGAAGCCATACAGCTGCGAGGTGTGCAAGCGCTCCTTCAGGGAGACCGGGCAGCTGAAACGCCACATGAGGGTCCACACCGGCGTCAAGCCGTACACCTGCAAGATATGCAACAAGCAGATCGGCAACTTGTCGAAGCACATGCGCGTACACTCCGACGTGAGGCCCTACAACTGTAGCATATGCAATAAACAGTTCTCCATCAGCGGCAACCTGAAACTTCACATGCGAATTCACACTGGTGAACGTCCTTTCACCTGCGACCTCTGCAACAGCCAGTTCACGCAAAGCAGCGGACTCAAAAGACACAGATGTACCCATGTGGACAAGGTTAATTGATGCAGGCAGTACAATAGAACAGCAGGGAACAGTGTGTAATAATGCAAATCGTGTTTGCAACTTCATAAAAGAAGGCAATTTCGCGAATTGTAGAAGGCAAAATGACATAATTAAAAAAATAGACTAAATGACCAGCAGTATTATTTATTGTGTATGCATTAAACCATTATTAATGAGGTTGATGAGTCTCGTATTTTATTTAAACTTGTAGGCTAATACATGTTTGTCTAAAAAACTGTGTGTGTTAAAATGAAGGAAGATTATCGCGGAATAAGGGCCAATGTTAATAAACCATCTAAAGTGTACAAAGAACATAACTTATTTAATATATTACTTTTATCTGGGGAAGCGTTGGACTCAACTGTATTCCTTGGCATAACTATTGATGCCAAACTGCAATTGGGCCCCCATATTAATAGACTGGCGAGTAGACTTAGCTCAGCAGCTTTCGCGGTCAAAAAAATAAGACAGTTAACTGATGTAAATACGGCTCGCTTGGTATATTTTAGTTATTTTCACAGTATAATGTTTTATGGCATTCTGCTTTGGGGTAACGCGGCCGACATTAATACAATCTTTATCTTACAAAAGAGAGCTATTCGTGCAGTTTACAATCTGGGCCACAAAGAATCGTTAAGAAACTTGTTTAAAGAGATAAAGGTATTGACTGTTGCTGCTCAATACATTTTTGAAAATGTTTTGTATGTCCATAAAAATAAGGATAAATTTTTAAGACATAATAATGTCCATGATATAAATACTAGGAACAAAACTAAATTGATCCTCCCATCCCACAAGTACTGCGTAAAATAAGTAAATCTTTTATGGGACACTGTATACGTTACTACAACAAAATTCCAGAAAAAGTTCAAAATGCATCAATAGCTAAATTTAAAAAAATAGTAAAAGAACGTTTGTGTGTTAAAGGCTACTATAATATTAATGATTATTTAAATGATAACACACTCTGGTAATGAACTGATCGCTCCAGGCTCTTTCAATCGGAGTTCTTTTATTGTATTTTTAATGAATTTACGTCGCCGGTTCCTCTCAGTACAGTGGCTTTCTTTTCCGAACCGGTGGTAGTGTTTTGACTATCAATAAGTGAGTGTAATGCTCCTATGTTGAATAAAGACATTTGATTTTGATTTTATTGAACGCCATACATGGCTGTACACAGCTAAAATAAACATTTTTTATGACACTATTTTTCAAAAGTAAATTAATATTTACAAGTAACTCAATCTATCATTTTATTTCATAAGAATGTTCGAGGTGTGTAGTAATCCGGCTTGAAGGACCAAGTACAGCATTTCAAGAACACTAATTAAATTGTATTACACGTCAAATTGGCTTATCGGGTAGATGGTATGTGAATTAAAAAGACAACGCTGAAAGAATTGCTTTAAGTTTCGTGTGGACAAAAAGCCTTAAGAGTGCTGATCACTGTAAGGATTGGAAATGTTACGTGGATAATACTTTAAACCTATAAGTTAAAGATGTATTACCAATACATCTTTAACTATTTATAAGTAACATACACTGGGGATTTTACGAGACAGGTTAGCAAATCACTAATACAATATACGGTCAATACTTAGAATCTTACTTTTTAGCATTAAGTACTTGCATAACGTATAATTAAAGTCAGAATTTATTTATTAAATATAGGCTTGTTTTAAGCACTTATTAAAGGTCAAAAGTGGCCAACTGCGAGCCGGACTCGCGCACGGAGGGTTCCGTACCATCACTGCATAGTATAAAACAAAGTCGTCCCGCTTTCTGGCTGTCCATTTGTATGCTTAGATACCCGTGCGAAGCCGAGGCGGATCGCTAGTTCTCTATAAAAACGGCAAAAACATCATTTCTGTTATATTGGAGCCCCACTTAAATACTGGCAAGAAACTGCGGCCTTGTTCTCTTTACTTTAAAAAAATATATACTTTGTAAAGTACAAAGTCAGCACCACCCAGGGGTCTTGCAAGAGTCAATTCCACACATCCTCGTCCTCAATGTTTTCTTCGATATTATTTCTTTACCATCAGAACAGCTTTTACAAAATTGTCTATTGTTTGTGGACGTCACTAGTTTAGTTTGTAATAATGTTGCCAATTCATTATAACGGTTGACACTACGCAAGCTTTTTACTGTGGTAGGGCCACGCAACAGTTCGCTGTCGCACGAAAGGCCAGGTCCGTCCGTGTAAGTACCACAAACTCACAGAAGACTGGCGTAAAGTGGAAATGTTGTATACTTCTGCGTTTCGTCGTAGGTGAGTGAGGTAGATGGGATCCACTTTATTAAAAGATGGCAACGCATCTGCAACCCTAACGTGTATTAATAATAAGTGTTGCAAATGTCCGTGCGCAACGGTTATCACTTAAAATCAGGTGAACCGCCAGCTCGCTTGCCATCTTACATAAAAAAGCAAAACACAAAATTATGAATTTTTTTTACGTAAACCGTGTGATGCCTGGTTTGGGTATCTAAGTAATTTAAAGAACTTGGGCCAACTATAAGGTCCGTTATACAGGTACGTTGATTTAAAACTTTAAGGAAGACTAGATAGTGCATGGTATCTTTAGGAAATGATACAATCACTTATATACGCGTCAAAACTATCTGTATCGTTATAACGAAATGTTATAAAGATATTATTTAAAATTATTATTTTTAAAATATTGAATCTCATTTTACTTTACCCAGTGGACATAATTTTTCTGAGTAAATCCTTATATCCAATAATATTTATATTCATAATAACCACCACCAGCGATTTGCTGGGATTCGAAAATATAGTTCAAACATAATAATAATATTAAGTTAAGATTTTTAATATCAGAATTTGAGTTCTATATGTAGTGACCTTTTTATCTTTTTTTTTCACAAATTTTAATTGTAGGATTAATTAAGTTTATATTGTAAGATACATATTTTCGATAACATCATTGAAACTTGTGTATACTTATGTATGTTATGTATATGCAAACATACACAATGTTTTGTTGGATGAATTCATCTATATTTATATAGATGTGTGTTACTGTTGAAGCGGCTTTCTAATAAGGAAAGTAATAATAACAAACATGAAAACTCGCAGATTATCAGAACTGCTATATCCTTTAATTCTTGTCACACGAGTATATATTCAGGTATAAAGTCAAAGGAGGCTAGGTTGAAAAGTTTGCAGCTTCACTATCGATTGTACAAATACTTACATAAATATCGCTCGTTCATTCGAAATATGGGCAACTACATAAATCTTATTCGCGCTTACAGGTACCTACACAAAGTGCACACAGAACAGTTTTCAGTACAAAATAATAATATGAATAATATATAAGTATCACAATCATAATAATGATAATGAGATTTGAAATGTTATATAATCTACGTATCAATACAAGTCTGGATTTAAACAGTTTTTACACACTTATTACTAAGAATTCCGACATGATAAGATTTTCATATAAATATCGCAAGCAGAACTGCCCCACCCTAAGTTGAACAAGATAACGATGACACTGTACTTACAATTAGTGTAATATTTTTAGATGCAAGTTGCTAACTAATCTAAAATATTGATTGTAGTACAACGACAAACTACAATTTAATGTTTTATCGTATAAACGTAATAAAAGGACATCGTATAAAGAAGTACGTACCTACTTACATACCAATGGCGCCTTACGAGAAGACAAGATTCGTATGAAAATGAGCAACAAACGGCCAAAGTTGTAAATTTCGAGATTCGATACTACCACAATTACAATCGTTTATTAATTTCATACAAAAATAATTTACAAAATTAAACGTAATCTTTTATGCATTTTTTTTAATGTTTCATATTGGTTGTTTAATTATTAGGATACGACCACGATCCATTGAAAATCTTAGCTTCCACTCAAATTAATTTATCAAATGTGGGCACAAAGCTACTAGCCGGGGCCCACTTTATTAAAAACTAGCGATCCTCTCCGGCGTCGCACGGGTGCAATGTATTTATTATACATATGAACCTCCTCTTGAAAAATAGTACCTCTATCTAGTAAATAAACCGCATCGAGATCCGTTGTGTAGTTTTAAAGATCTAAGCATACATAGGGACAGACAGACAGCGGGAAGACTTTGTTTTATACTATGTAGTGATGCACAACAAAGAGACGTTTACATTTCAAGTGACATTTTACCACAGTCACTTGTTTTGCCTTCCCATTAACACTTAAACTTTATAGTATGGTATTAAAGTTCAAATTGACTTTTAAATATAATTACGAATCTTTTGTACGGGAATATAGAAGCTTTGTTTTTAGACTTTTTCAGGCAATTTTTTAATTTTTTTTTTCATAGGAACCTTCTCCTGATAATAACAAACAACAAAAAAAGTGAAATCGGCCCAGCCGTTCACGCGTGATGACATGACCAAGAGAAATAGGGATTCATTTTTATATATATAGATGTGGCAACGCATCTGCAACCCTAAGGGTGTTGAAAATGACCATGAGCGGCGGCCTTCACTTAACTTTTTCATTTAAGAAAACAAAAGTTTTTACGACCATCTCAACCCGCTGCTAAGAGTTGAATTCATACTTGTACTTTGTGGTAAACACACCAGTAAAAGTTATTCTCACATTGGAGTTTGGAGATATATCTTTTCCATATATAGTTGGTGCTTATATCGATTATAGATCATCTTTTTCTCGTCACGGCACATTTTTATGGAGCAAACGCAATGATAAAGCAGCTTTCTAATTCGAAGTTCTACAAATAACCTCGCCTAAATCTACGATGTTCTTTCCCTCATACTCTCAATTACTCGCATTCGACATTTATAAGAATAAATGACGATAGGTGTCATTTGATCGTTTCTTCACGATAAGATATCGAGGAACTATATCCACTTACGATGTATTAATAAAGGTGATGTTAACATTGTATTATTTTTAAACACAAATATTGAACATTACTGAAAGATCGCCGATGTTTACTATAAAATGACTCATAACCGCCGTCCGCTTTACGCTTGAGGCACACTCTTAGCGCGATTGTGATAATAAAGATAAAAATTTTGATATCACCTCGAACTTAGCACCAAACTCTATTAGATTCTTGTGTAGTGGAGCGGTGTCTATCACTGTGCGGAAATAAATAACGGACGCTTTGACCGTTAGAGTGTTGTGTGAAAAGCGTAAAAATGTCGGAAATAGTTCATGTGCAAGCCGGTCAGTGTGGAAACCAAATAGGATCAAAGGTTATTTCTTTAAATTCTTGTTTTTAAGGCGGTGCTCTGAAAATGACGTCTACTTTGTCATTGAAAAATGAGATATGTATTTCGTGAACAAAACAACTGTTCAAACATGGAAAAAGCATCTTGTGTTCATAAATTTTACGCGGGATAACCTCGTTAGATACGTAAAAGATATTTATGGAAAGTTAGAAAATTAGGCAATAGGTATAAATAGATTTGAATGATTTTATTAAGATCCTTAATCTTTGCCCAGAAACGAATATATTCTTTGAAAGTTGTTCTTATCTTTATATGTTTGAGAAGTGAATAAAGCCATTCTTAATATTAAATCTTCTCATTGGAGCCAATTCGAAATAGGTCTTTATCAATTTCAGTTCGCCGGTCTATGAAGATAGTATTAAATGTATTGATTATAGATAATTTTAAAAGATAACAATATAGGTAATCGGTATAACTGAAATTCATTACATCAGTAATTAAATAAATAATCATTGGTTAAAAAATCTACACGGGCTGAATCGACCTTAATTGGTGACAGATTTAATACAAAGAGGGGAGAAGTTGATTGATAACTTTAATTATAACGACTCACGAATGAAGTAGACGTGGTTTCTAAGTTTCTGAATATTCCTTTTTGTAGTATAGGGTCTCGTGGTGATCTGGGTTCATTCCCAGTCCCAAATCTTTAGCTGACTAGCTGCTACTCGTGATTTGACCCACGTAAATGTTACTTAAATGTTTGTTTAGAATATACACATATATTTTAGTATACATATATACACGTATATTCCATTTAAGTTGTGTGACAAATGACAAATAAGCGATTTAGTATGAAACAAATGATTTAAATGAATGACTGATAACACTATTAAGAAGAAAAAATAACCTCCTTTTTTGGTGCAAGTTGCACATCATTAACATCTGCCTGTGAATGTTCTATTAAAATCGGTTCAGACGAGGTGCTTAGAATAGTATCCATCGCCACTTCTTCTACCATGAGCCAATTGTCCGGGTTTTGTACAAGTTTGCTTATTCTTCCTTATGAATAGGAAAATTTACCATGTGGTGTTTGTGGCACTTTTTATTGGATATATTCCAGGTCCAGGGTCTTATGGTGAAAAAATATTGTAGTTATATTTGAAAATTCTGAGTCTGTAAAAAAAATAAAGCTTGTTTTGGAAAGTAAGCAGTATTGTATACTTAATGATGGAGTGTACGCAGACCAATAAATAGGTATATTTTTATTGGTCTGAGGACGATATAGCGTATTATTTGAAATTATTGTTGACATAATAAATCTCCTGGGAATTCTTCTATCGAGACTATACTATGATATATACTTTTAATATTTAAGTGAAACTATTAAAATTGTGCAAACAAATGTGAGTGAAGAGTCATTGATGACTTAAAAAGATCTTACGGTGATAGATGTGAACTAATGAATTTTCTACGGATTCTTTATTCGCGTAGAATAAACTTTATTCATTACTAGCATTTAGTGTATCTTATGGCACATGGCAATTTTTGAACTGAAAAATGTCTGGAAAATGTCTGTAAAATGAGTTTGATGAAACGTCGATAGCATTAGAAAAACTATTTAACATTATTCATATGTTACATATAGGCAAACCTTTTATTTAAGTAGGTATACCATATGCTTAGGTTGAATAAAAATAGCAAAATAGTTTCAATTAACAAGATTTATTTGTTGTTTTGTTGCAATTGCATATGCTTGATAACACTGTAAAATGCGGTATCATTCTGATAGAATTAGAAAAAAAAATACAAAAGGTAGTTAGGTTTTAAATACATGAACTGACCTCGCATTCACTATACAATAACACAATTGCAATTATTGTTCTATTTCCACTGGCCGCGACCCTAGAATGATGTGTAAAGCATAATTTCAGTTCTGGGAGATCATTTCCGACGAGCATGGCGTGGACCCTACTGGGGTGTCCACAGGTGACAACCCACTACAGCGGGAGCGCATAAATGTTTACTACAATGAAGCGTCTGCGGGTAAATATCAAAATGAATGGATATAGAAGTTCTCTTCAATTCAAAAATATTTACTTCTATAATCAGTTTTGCCCATTTTGACAATTTCCTTAAATCATCTGGGTCGATAACTTCCAACCAAAGTTCTAACAATCGGTCATATTTCGTAATATGAAAAGGATAATTATAAAAAGACACGGTGGCGCATATCGGTTCCCGGTCCATAGGCTAGTCTATTCCCACACGGTGCAAGTATTTGTGATATCCACGAATTTATTTATTAATTTTCCTGGATCTGGGTATTCTGGTTCATATTAACAATATGTTGCACCGACCGATAATGATATTGACATGATATTAAGAAGGCTAAGCTTCTAAAGCGTGTGAAGTTCTCGTTTATGCCTTTATGTGAAGTTTTTATTTCTCTGCTGTTAGTTAATTGTTGTGTACCAGGTAAATATGTGCCTCGGGCGGTCCTCGTTGACCTGGAACCGGGGACCATGGATGCAGTGCGCTCAGGGCCTTACGGCCAACTGTTCCGGCCGGACAACTTCGTTTTCGGCCAGAGCGGCGCCGGTAAGTTTTAATGAATTGCTATATGTAGCTATAGTATTCGAACTGAAGTTTTTCAATAAATGTATTTTCAGTTAATCGCATTAAGTCTATTATATTTCCGTTTCTACTACGAGAGCAATACTCTATAGTTCTTACTTATTATATGGGAATATGATGAGAAGAGATCACTACTACGCCGGATTAATTACTCTTTTTTCCTAGGATTTTCCATTTATGTCACTAGCTTTGTATTAACCTAATTGCAATATTTTTATTAATTTGAAGAACGAAGATATGGTAAACTTATAAACTTATATATTTTCCCAAGCAAAAAATAAGGTGCGGTACTAATCCGCTCAATGGTTAGACCACCTTACATTTTATCCCATCTGTTTAGCTTTTGAGCATAGATTTCCGTACCATCAGATAAACTGTTAGTTCATTTCCATCACTTTCTTTTTATTTTTTCTCTCTATCTCTTTTCTCAGATAAAATATACGAAAATTTCGTCGGTTTGGCAGTAATGCAGCATGTATAAATTTTAGACTTATAATAATGTTTCTTTGTAGGCAACAACTGGGCTAAAGGCCATTACACAGAGGGCGCTGAGCTGGTCGACTCAGTGCTTGACGTAGTAAGGAAAGAAGCAGAAGGATGTGATTGCTTACAAGGTAGCCATTTAATTGTATTTTGAAATGCAATACCCATTTTTAAATACTGAATTAACTGATGTAAATCAGTAACAGTGAAAAGGGTCATAGCGAAAAGGAATCTACAAAAAGTCCTAACAGATAGTTGTCAAGAAAAGAAAAAAATATAGGCTTTGCTGCTTCAACTTACGTACAAAGAGACACAGGATATCATAAAAATCGTCAAATGAATAAAACTTATGAAACAACAACATATATTAAGTAAATAAGCATATATATTTTTCATCCAATCCTATAACAGAAATCATGTATCGGATATAATTTTATTTCATATATTAGCGTTCCGTTTTGGGAATTATTTAGGTTTGAAAATTCAAGATATCGGCCACGCCTAATGTGATGTTCACAATAAATTATTGACACCTTGACGAAACATTTTTATTGTACTCATAATATATATTCATTTTTTGTCATCTTCACTGAAAATGTTACAAAGCTCTAAACGGAAGTTCCTTCAATTTAATTCATGGAATTTCAGGAAACTGTGGCGGTAAAAACGGCCAGAAGAACTTTTTGACATGAAAGTCCTTAGAGAATATGTGTTTATCTACATTCATCTTGTATTTGGTGATCTCAGTCAGAAAGTGTACCGTTCCATACATTTTGCCGATACTTAATTGTGTGCTATGTACCATATAGACACATATGCATCTGAATATTTGCGAAGTCTTTTAAAGTTTTGCTCCGTTTCCTCTAGCCATCGCATCGGCGTGAATATGCTGCTATGACGGTCGTATTACATATAGAAACTCTTCCTAGGCTTCCAGCTGGCACACTCGCTTGGAGGTGGTACCGGATCAGGACTTGGCACGCTGCTAATCAGCAAAATTAGGGAGGAATTCCCCGACAGGATTATGAACACTTTCAGCGTTGTACCGTCACCAAAGGTACACTTCATAGCTTTATACTATAATGTTTTTGTGTCTTTGTAAATTAATACACTGGATATTTATTACGGATACACTGTTGTTGAAATACCGGTCACTTCCATCAAGTGTTATTTCACATTTATATTTAGGCGCTTTGTTTGGAGAGGTCAACTCTGTCATATACACGTATCTGTATATCATAATCACTGTGATAGAGCCACGTAACAGCTTCAACTGTTGCAAGAATGTGTGACCTTGTCCGGGGAAGCACCAAGACATGAAATGGAAGTATTGTCAATGTAAATCTACAATCTACTTGTTGCTTGTCAAAATAAAGTTTATGTCTATGTCTACAATCCTACAGATGTGACAAACTAATATTCAGACCACCGGCTCACTAGTTACCAAGTCACGTAAAACACGATGGGTATTGTGGATAGCAATTATAGATATAATATGTGGATGTAATCACAAGCCAGTAAGTGCCCAACAACTGGTTTTGTAGTGAAAAATAGGTTAAAGAACTGTCGTCATTTCCGAAGGCAAGTGATGTATGAAGAATAGATTTAATTGCATAACTCCCACAAGATATTGCTTTCAAAATTATATTGAAATGATATACTTCTCTTGATAAATGATGTACGTCTTCTGAAGTTAATTCAACAATGTAAGTTGACCTAATGATTTTATTGTTTCGTTTAGGTGAGCGAAGTTGTCCTGGAACCGTACAACGCGACGCTGTCGGTTCACCAGCTTGTGGAGAACACTGACATGTCGTTCTGCATAGACAATGAGGCACTATACAACATATGTTTCCGGACGCTCCGACTCGCCAGCCCGACCTACGGCGACCTCAACCACTTGATATCGGTGAGTGTTACTACTACCACTTGTTGACGGTGTTCGATATTTGACTTGTTTCGTATAGCTTTTTCTCTTGTTAGGACCTAAATTTATGAAATGCCGGTAGTTTGACGTTTATGGCTTGAAATAAGCAGAATTTGTTTTTACAGACTGTTAGATTCCAGCGAGCGGAAAGAGAAAACAAAATCAAGTTTTATTATGTGCCTTGTCGTCTACATCTTTAAATGATTTACATTACTGAGTTTGTATTATTACATATCAGCACATAGTAAAATGTTCAACATTTAGTCTGACATATCCATGTCGACAGTCTTCGCCTTTGCACGAATGGGCAGGCCCGTCCGGGGAAGTACCAAGACCTAACAGATGACCGGCGAGAAATAGAAGTGAAGTGCGATTCATCTGGTGAGTAACTGCGGTAAGGTACCGGCTGTTGCAAATGTCCATGAGCGGCGTTTATCACTTATCATCAGGTGAACCACAAACTCGCTTGTCACGTCACAGTTGTAATAAGTAAATATTCAAAAAGTACAATGACAGATTGTTTCTAATCTTACCTACATGCTTATTCGATCAGTCCAGACCAACCTTTTGGTATGCTCTACAGTCTAAACCTTTTGATGTATTTAATCATATCAGTATTTTTTTTGATTTTGGGAATGGCATACTTCATTATTTCAATATGGCGTGCGCGAAAAAAAGGAAGAGGTGGTACTTTTAATTCAGTTGGGTTTAATGTTTCATTCAATCATTTATGTTTCATATCACCCTTAATAATTTATGTTTCATATTCCATTATGAATCTTCCTCTTCTCCAGCTAACAATGTCCGGTGTGACCACGTGTCTTCGGTTTCCTGGACAACTGAACGCGGGGCTGAGAAAGCTGGCTGTCAACATGGTGCCTTTCCCACGCCTACACTTCTTTATGCCTGGTCGGTATTTGATCTTAGAAGGTTTCTCATATCATATAATAATTAGACCATACATTACTTTAAACTATTTTAGCATCCGACAACATAGTGATAAGTAGATCTACCCTATAAGGTCTAAAGTATAATCAAACCGTATAAATCAAAATTTATGGAAAAATGGACAAAACATGTTTCAAAGCGGGATCGAACCTACGTCATTCGGATCCGGACCCAGATGCTTTAATCACTACTTAGTGGACTTATTGCCACACCGACGAAAATCTCAACGTATTTTACGTCGATATATTTACGAAAATCGTAATTTTGTGCGTGTATTGGGAATTTTAGAACTATGTAAATGTAGTGGTGAATTTTAATTGTGAAGAGTTAATAACATTTTCTTCTTGACTAAGTGATATAAACATGATGAAATTTAATATTTCTTTTACAGGTTTCGCTCCATTAACGGCCAGAAATTCATTTGATTACCGTCCACAGACAGTACCTGAGTTAATGAGTCAGGTATGAAATTATTTAATTTATGCTAAACCGTTATGAACATGTTTCTTATTTGATTAACAATAATATTTATAAAGCTAAATTAAAAATAGCCGTGAAAAATATTAAAAGACCATTTTTTGTTGTTGTCGGATAACTATCCGAAGTAAAACACTTACGCCCGGTTTCTGAAACCATGATCAGAATGACCAATTCAAAGATTCTGATCATATATAGGTACAGATAGACAGCGGGACGACTTTGTTTTACACTATGTAGTGAAGTATATAAAAAGTCCTGCAAACACGTAAAAAAAGAATTCTTTACATGTGATATTATTCGAAATACACTTCTCCATCAGATGTTCAACCCTAGCAACATGATGACGGCGTGTGACCCTCGACACGGGCGGTACCTGACCGCCGCCACCATGTTCCGAGGCAGAATGTCCATGCGCGAAGTAGACGAGCAAATCCTTGCTGTGCAGAACAAGAACTCGAGGTGGGTACTAATTTTAATCAGCAGACGAGCATATTCTCTTTCCGATAGATGGAGTTAGATCTCAATTAAAATTACGATCACAATCGGTCGACTCGTTTAAAAGTTACACGATTTAGATGCATCTGATACACATATAAAAATATTATGGATAATGTCACCGAAATAATATTATTTTTATTAAAATATCACATTCCTATGGAGGATTAAATGGATACGGAAATTAGAAATAGAGGCTCTGTACGTTTTCCGTACGGACCTTTATCTCTAACTTCTTGCCCTTCGGAAACAAAGTGGAAGCAGAATAAAGCGGCTTAATTAATATCAATACGTTCGTTTTACAGCTACTTCGTAGAATGGATCCCTCATAACCTCAAAGTGTCGGTTTGTGACGTTCCGCCACGCGGTCTCAAAATGTCCGCGACCTTCATAGGCAATACGACAGCAATACAGGAAGTTTTCAAACGTATCTCCGAGCAATTCACAGCTATGTTCAGGCGGAAGGTAATGACACCATCGAGTGAATGGACAAACAATTAATACATAATAACAAATTAAAAAAAATTGCGTCTAAGTTTGAAAATTAAATCACAATAAAAACAATCAATAATATGTACCCAAGCAACAAGTAACACAAGCGCCAATATTAGAAATTGTAGTTAACTTTCTCATTATCAATTGATACAGCTTTCTATCAGTTGAGGTCGACAAACACCTGATGTTTTAGATATTTTTATATGTTATAGGCTATCCTCGATTTTGATTCAAATCACAGACTGGTACTGTATAAATAAGTTCAGGCCTCCGCTGAAATAAGTCGGTCCTTCCGATAAAACCGTAGTAGACCGCCAGTCTATCCGATCCGAGTCCCGGTCTAGGGAATTATCTGAAACCATAAATGTTGTGTCAGAGAAATCCTCCGTTCTGAAACTTCATCGATCTTTAAAGACTCCGAAAAGACAGTTCTTGGTTCGGAATTATTACCTGAGTTCGGGCTACGCAACCATCTGTTGCTGCTGTTGGAAGGGTCATCCGGGGAAGTACCATGAGACCATCATGGAAGTCCAGGGTAGAGTGATGTATTTTTTTTTGCTTTCGATTTCGTCTGGGGAATGGAGAACAATAACTGGACCGCATATCCTACTTCAACGACCCGTAGGCAAACTCATCACATAACCAGCGCATGCATATTATACACATGCGTAAATCTATTATCTTCAGCCAACCATCAAGATGAAACAAGCTTTTCCACAGGTCCGGAATTAGATGAAGCTTTATACATGTCATCTGTGGACTAATAGTGTAACTTCCGTTAATACAATATACAAGAAGTTACAGCTTTTATTTCATTACTTACAAGGTATATTGTGCTCATATTATATAAGTTAAATATAATAAAGAATTACTATACAGCGTGTCGTTACCATCGCGACAATAGATGTCAACACACGTCTAACGCTACTTGCCAATAATCACAAAAAAATATTAACGTTAAACAAAATCCATAATGAAAAAATTTTTTTTCAAACAAACTAATTAAGTAAAAAAGAAACAAAAAATTGTAACATCCTATACAACTCGCACCACTTAATAATATAATACAGTGCCCACTCAAGGCCTAAGATTTGACGTCCTCTAACAAACCTTTCCGTTTCATCATTCCAGGCTTTCCTACATTGGTACACGGGTGAAGGAATGGACGAAATGGAGTTTACGGAGGCTGATAGCAACATGAGCGACCTCATTTCGGAGTACCAACAGTACCAGGTAATGTAGAAGCATCATCTTACAATTTAATTAAAGAGAATAAGTACAGAGATATAGCTTACACAAGATATTGTATGCGTGAATGAAAGTAAAGTACTAAAACAACAAACAAGTACAACCAATGTCTCACTGCTGAGCAAAGGCCTCCTCAATAAAAGGGTATCAAGGCATAGTACACAAGACACTTGCGTATTGGCGGCGGACTTCACATATTTTTGAAATATTTTATTTCTTATCAATTAGAAAATATGCAGGTTTCCTCACGATGTCCTTGATAAGTCGGCACTTAAAATTAACAAGTTTCAGTAACAAGAACTCAGGTTGCTCGAGTAAATTGAAATTCATTTGAGACAAACATTAAATAATAAATTATACATAAATTATTTCTGAAAAATATAAATATTTTTAGTAGTATTCATTATCAATATAGGGGTATCAATATGAATGACCTCGTTAAAATGTATTAACGACATATTATGTGTTGTTAGATTTAAGTGGCACTAGATGTTTTCTTTTCCAACAGGAAGCTGGTGTTGATGACGATGAAGTAGAATTTGATGAGAGAGAAGAGGAACAAGAGATTCAAGAAGCCGAGTCAGAAGTTCAACAAATTTAAACCACTAACTACAACTTAGAAGTTATACATTGACTCATCTATGCTTTTAATATACAAAGCTAGACTAGAGTTTATACATACATGTTAAATTGAATATACTATTGTTATTTTATTTATGTTATTATGTACTTGGCCTATTTATCATTTTACATGATTGAATTTTTTTTGTTAATTAACTAATAAGAATTATCTGGGATATTAATAGAATTTAAAAATAAATATCAACCCTAAAAAGATTTTCTTATGGTGAAGTGAAAATATACGTCAGCTCTGTCTGCCATAGGATTAGCAAACATTACTTAAAATCTATCACTGCCTTTCCATTTTAGTCAAATTGTGAAATCTAAGTAGTTTCAAGTATTTATAACGAATGTGTATCTTTGTTATTTCGTTTTCATTCTACGTATGTTTCGGGTGTAAATTGTGAAAAAACTTTACAAAACAATTGTTTTTATATTTTTAATTTAATTTGAAATAAATAAGATTTTTTGTTGGATATTTTGTTTTAATGAATTGTATCTAGAATAGTAATATCTCAACGCCGGATTTGACCTTGTGACTTCGCTCTTATATGATATTGAATTTTTAAATAATAAAATCTAAAAATTACCTACAATAGGATTTTATACAAAACCTGCTCTATAGGGATGAAGTAATAATAACAAGCTCAGAAATAGCCCGGGTGATCGGTAGTGAAGGAAAAACATGATCAAAAAACTTTCATATTTTCGAAATAATAAAAAAATAATATATTTCGAGGACATGGGAAATCTGCCAATCTACAGTGAGGTCGCGTCGTGGATTATGCTCTCATTCCGTCTTTACACAAGCCAGGTTTACTTCCTGCGAGGTGCAACTGTGTCGATACTAATATATTCTAAATAACTTTTTCACCCTCGGCCCCGCCCGCATATACTACATTTTATATCGTGCTTAAACTTAGCCTAAAGCCTTCCTTAATAAATGGGCTGTCTAGCAGTGCAAGATTTTTTCAAATCGGACCAGTAGTCCTTGGGGTTAGAGTTTTCCATAAATTTCCATTTTGGGATTAGAGTAGACCATAATCTATAGAGCAGTAAGCCGTAAGAGTTCACTGCTCTACAAATTATGGTGTAAAGGTAAGAAAAACAATCCTTTAGTTATCCAGGGGTAGGTAACCAATAACAGTTAAGTTTCCACTTTGGTAGGTTTCACGGTGGTAGGGCCACGCTACAACCTCGGTTGTTGAACGAATGGGCAAGCTCGTCCGGGTAAGTAAATTGGAAGTATAATACTTTCGAGTTACGGTGGTGAGTGAGGTGGCCGGAACCCAATTTTCAAAAGGTTGTCAACGCATCTGGAACCCTCGGAAGTAGCAGATATCCATGGGCGGCGATATTCACTTAACATCAGGTGAACCGTCTGCTCACTTGGCAACTTTTCACATAAAAAAAGCCAATCCTATAATTATCCAGGTGTAAGTAACCAATAAGAGTTCAGTTTCCACCTTGTACAACTGAATTTCTTTCCCCCCTCTTGCAACTGCAACGGCAATTTCACACATTTTGAAGTAAAAACTTCTTCCGGCGCGTTGAGCATCTTATTTTGTGCGTATTAAGAAATAAGACAGATTGACCTGTAGCGCTCGGCTATGTAATAATGAGAGATATAGTCGACGCATCATCTATTGCCGTTAAAGCATTGTCGGTCACGTGTGTACAGGCTCTTGCATGAGAGAGGTTGACGCATCAGCCGCATTCTGTGTCGACATAAATACGGTTTATGTCATGCCATACGTTTTATTTGATTGTTTGTCTAATATTATACAGTGTTTACATCTGAAAAGTGACGATATTCTTTGTGTTTTGGACACTGTCTGTGTATTACTAATAGGATCCTTTTTTCCTCCTTTTTTGGATGCATGTTATGCAGTGGTTCTGTAGAGCAGCCTCTGACTTTGTTGGATATTCTGAGTGTCTTTATAAACACAGCGGAGCATTAATACCTTACCAGGTGACTTTCAAAATATCTTAATGTTGACAATTCATCAATTTACGAAAATATTTGTGCCACACACGATCATCGATTACGAAATCACTGGCAATGACAATGTTACTTGTGGACGTCGACCAATGGAATTTCTAAAATCTCTAAAGACCGGCAACGTTAATGAAACTCCTGTACTGTTATAAATGCGGGATATATTTTATTCTACTTTAGTAATGTTATTATTTTGTTTGTTGCATTAATTTTGTACCTTTCTTTAATTCCAATGCATTTTATATTTGTTTGCATAGCTAGTTTACATATAGATTGGCAACAACATATTTACACTAAAGTAACACTGACTTGTTATTTATGGTTTATATTGCTAGCAACATTGTTTATTATATCTATCCTTCTTTTCGCTTCTGTCATTTCGCGATCGTGTGGTCTAATTTAGGTTAGATACTTTTAAATCTTTATTTTGTAGTTATTCCAATATACTTTTACCAAAATAGTGTATGATTTAAAATTTTCAGAGACAAAATGCAGAACGACGCTGGTGAATTCGTTGACTTATACTGCCCGAGAAAATGGTAAGCAGTTCCACGCCTCTGCATACGAGGCGTGTTTTAAACTTTAAAATACCTAATCGACCGTTCTATTATATCTTTCATAAAGCATCCCTAAGGCATTGAGTGTATTATAATATAATGTGCGTAAAGAACAGACAAAAAAAAAACAATTATATTTTTTGTTGTTCGTCATAACCTGATCATGTTCTATTAAATATTTACAAATATTTACTAGAATGTCGAATGCAACTAGAAATTACGGCAAATGTACATAACTTTGGTGTAATTCTATTGATTTTCATACAAGCGATATAAATTATATACAACTAGTATCCACTTTTATATTGTAATTAAATATATTTATTTAAATTTCAGCTCGGCCAGTAACCGCCTCATCCACGCCAAGGACCATGCTTCTGTTCAACTGGTCATCGCCGATGTTGATCCCGCCACGGGCCGCGCTGCTGAAACCTCCAAAATGTATGTTGTCTGCGGTGCTATCAGAAGAATGGGAGAATCCGATGACTGCATAGTCAGACTAACTAAGAAGGATGGAATTTTAGCAAAGTAAGTTTTACTTCCTTTAACCTTAACAGTAAATTTGCAAAACATATAATTTCGCTAGCAGATGTGCTAGCGAAAATAGTTTTTTTTTTTTCTCGAAATCTATTGCTTTCCACAGATGTATTTTATTAATTAGGGGAAATCTATGCGTCTCATAGATTAAAAATATTTCTAAGGGCAATCTAAGTAGTCATCTAAAGTAAGCTGCTTGATATTTTCCTTTTGATATAACAGATCAAATTAATCTTTCTCATTATTAGTTTGAATGAAAATATCTTTATTCTAATAAAACTGTTCCATGTTTATCTATTTACCTTTTAATGTTACACAATGCCATTGTTTATTCTATAAGAGAATTCAATTAAAGATTTATATATGTTTACATTTATACACAGCTTTTAAAAGTACATTCTTTCATATCTAGTACTACAAAACCTAAATAATTCCAAAGCGTATTGACATTTCAATTGCACTTTATGAATAATCTGTTAATAACAGCATTCATTACATCTGTCTTATTCTGAGCGCTGCACCCCAACCACATATTCATTTCTTAGTTAGTTATAGCGATTAAAAATAATATTTTTTTGTTACAGGAACTACTGACGATGTAGTTATCTAAGAAGCATTATTTTGTAAGGCAAAATATAACATTTGAAAAATCAAATAAACTTTTATTTTATTATACAATAAACTGTTGGCTAGAGAATAGAGGTAAAAACTATAAAGGCAGTTTGTAAATATTGTATTGAGTTGTTGACAAAATGTCCAACAAAATGTGATAAATTTTTTTTTAAATCAAACAACTATTAATTGCTTGTTTTTCAATCAAACATTCTATTCTGTACTATTTTTTGCACAACATTTGTAACACAACTGGTATTAAGTGAAAATAATGAAAATAAAATTTAACATCAACATTGATTTCAAACAACAATATTTATTTTATATCTTCAACATTTTGCAGTTTGCCACGACTGTTAAGTCCTGTAAAAGAAAAATCACATCAATATTTAAAATAATATTTGCATCTTTTACTTATGATAAACTATCTCTCTCTTTGGATTACAAACATTTTCTTGGTGTAGTACTGAATGTACAAAACCTAAACGAGTTATTGTTGCAATCCCGCGTTCTACAACCTTGTAACTCGAGTTTCAAGTTTCACCATCATTTTTTTTAACTTTCCATTTAAAAAATAAAATTCCAGTTTCAATTCATCATCATCATCATGTCATTTTAACCTCTTTGATTCCACTGCTGAACATAGGCCTCTACCATAGACTGCCATGAAGCACGATTCTTAACTACCTGCATCCATAGACTTCTTGCACACTTGCACAGGTCGTCACTACATCCTCGTCCACGCCCTATTAAGGAGTGGTCGCTCCACACTATGGTGGCTAATATGAGGCTGCCACTTGAGAACCTTTCTTCCCGATTGGTTAATGGATCTTCAAACTATATTCCTACATCCGCAGTGAATGTGTTCATTACAAACTATCGCACATAGAAATAACATGGTCATGGCCAGCAGTGAAGAAATATTAATTATAAATTTTTATTTGAGTATTCAGAATATGGTTTCAGTTGAACATGTTCAACATCAGCTACTTATCGCGAAAAATATTCACCAATTTTTCTACCAATTATTGACGCGCAAACTGGCTCCAATGTTAGGCGGTTTTATGTAACGCAAGAAATAATTGCAATTAATAAGTGCACACTACGGATCCAACTCATTTTAGTTTTTAGCAGATTCAGTTAAAAAATCACAGAAACGCATCGTAACAGCTATAATTAATAAAATTTACAGACCTAACTTATAGTCGTCTCCGAAGATTTCACCGTCTCTTAGACTGGATTGAAATGAAACGTTTTTCAGAAACTGGAAAAAATAAAATTAATAAATAATGATCCAAGCGCTTAACAACCTTAAATATAGGTTAAATTATGTCGTAAAAAGAGACATCATTCTTATTTAATGATCAATGTGAATTGCTTACAAAATTAAAATAAAAACAATTTTGTCAAAACGATAGCAATGCTCATACAAAACACTACCTATTGAATTGACTTCCGATTACATAAAGCAAATTAAGTTTTTTGCCCTATGGTCCAGATATACGCAAAACTATAAATAAATATCCTAACTAATATTATAAAGGCGAAAGTTTGTATGGATGGATGTTTGTTACTCTTTCACGCAAATATTACTGAATGGATTTTAATGAAACTACAATAATATTGCCTATACATAAGAAGACAGGCTATAATTTATATACATATTTTATGTATATCTATTTCTGTCTGAATGTTACGTCTTCAGCCTATTCTACGCAGACGTAGTCGCGGGCAGCAGCTAGTATAATATAGATAAAAATGTATAAAGATAGAATCAAGTTCTATTGTAGGAGCTTAAGTTTTAAAAAGGGTCAAGCCTGCTTTTATCATAAACGAAACGTAGCCTCATCTCTTAAATGGTGTTTTTAAAGTGAAAAGTTAAGTTGCCAAGGACGGATCTTCCGATGATAGGTGATTATCACAGCAGAGGGGGTCACAGTTGCGTTGCCAACCTTAAGAAAGTTGTCTCGGTGCTTCACTCGTCAGACATTACGCGAAAATTCTAATACCGCACTTCCACTTCACGCCAGTTTACGAGCTCGTGATATTTCCCCGAATGAGCAATGCCCATTTATGCAACAGCAGAAGCTGCTGCGTAGGCTGTACCACAGTTAAGTATTTAAAAGAAGCTTACAAACGAAAATAAATCTAGCCAAATGTTAAACATAGTTCAATAGGTACCATTAAAAACAGGATTAACAATTTGTGCCGACCCCACCTAACGCCCGGTTTCTGAAACACTCATCACCGTAGAAGTTAACTAATTAGCTGTATTTGACAGCTGATTCTGACAGCTTTTCAAATGTTATTTAAATTTTAGCCAAAAGGATGGTTAAACTGTCTAAATAGATCAGAATAATGTTGTTGTTTTGGCAAATCAAATAACATTTGAAAAGCTGACAGCTGATAAGTTAACTTCTACTATGATTAGTGCCCGAAACCTGGCGTAAGTGGGATAAGAGCAGGAGAAAGAAGAGATATACATAATAGTCATATATTTTTTATATGACTATGTTATTAAAGGTCTAGTTTTGAATGAATCATAACTGACCAGGTTCGCCCGCAGCCGGGTCTGCCACCAGGTGGCGGTCTACAGATCGTTTTCTTCTTACAGCCCCCCACTGCCGCTATGAGAGACAACATGCACCACCACAGCGACCACAGCAGAGATCTCTGTTGTTGATTTTGACATATCAAGTTTTGTTTAATCAAAAGCATTCCTAATGATTTTTTTTTTACATTTGAGAAATTAAATTTCATAAGTTATTTTATTCAAATCGCGAGGTACAGATATCCGCAAAATGGAGGCGAATGGATGTTTTTGCTGCTATAGACGGCACTTAAATATTGCATTTCAGTTCTATGACGTCATTTGTTACGATAAAGATATAGGAATAATAAAAAAAACATAACATCTCGTGGCAAATATGTCCGAGTAAAAATCTCATTAGATGCAGACGTTTATGTACAGCATGTAATGGCTTTACCATAATTTTCTAGTGTCTATTTAAACAAGGCCGAGTCTATTAAAGCACAACTTGATCAGAATGATCTTAATGATCAATTCAAATAGTTTAACAATCGTTTTGGTAACTCAAAGAACATTTTGAAAGCCATTTGATAGCTGATTAGTTAACTTCTGCGACGTATGTTTCAGAAACCGGGCGTTTGTAATAGGGTCCCGCTTAACCCTTTGGCGAGTAAGGGAACCAGTACTCACTGGTTAGCAAGAAATAACGCAGCTGCGTCAATTACTTTACAATTCTAATTCAATCATACAGCTTATAATTCCTATTTCATATTAATTGTAGCATATGTTCATTTATAAACTACACACACCATGTTATATTTACTTGAAGTGGCGAAAAAAGCGTCATAGGTTTTCTGTTGTATGTGACGCAGCGATAAAGTAGAGTATGGATGTAACTCTGATTTCACCAGTATTTAGGTTTGCAGCCACCGGGACAACGCGGTGGACGGCAGGAAGATTTTTTCTTACAGGCAAGAGCGCCTACCACCTGTTTAAAAGTAATTAATGTCAAAGTATAACTTTAAACTAAAAATTCTAATGAATACATATAAAGTTTGTAATCGGCATTTATTTCATTATTCTGTTTCAAAGTGGAACTTATTTAACTAATTTTCCTGCGGAGTTAATTCTTACTAAGATTCATGGTATAGCCCAGAGTCCATGTTACTGTACTATATACCTAATCTTACTGTAGTTACTGACTCTGAATGGAATTGCATGATTCTTACTGTAAATTCTTGATGTCATTTTTTCGACAAAATTCTTACTATTATATCACGTATGATATAAAACATTTAACGTGAGCAATTTTTTGTGGTTGACAGCTAATATTTAATGAGGAAGGGCTTACCAAAAGTAGCCTCTTAACGTAAAGGAAGCCCAGCTACTCGCTATAAAACTTTTTTTTATAATAAAATACAGAAACAAAACTCAATATAATGTCTGAGAATAAGCCAATCTTTGATTACAATTATTAATTCAATAAGTATTCCACAGACGCTCGCTGTCAATTACAACTTAAGGAACTTAAGAATTCTTTGATTCAGCTTGATAAAAAAGACAGGAAGAATGTGAGACGACTAATTTAATATCAATTTGATGGCGTTTACGTGCTTATGGCATGGAAGTGCGAAATTACTTCGCATTTAAAAAAGAGGGTCATATAAATGTCTCACGAAAATGTTGGATTTGAGTGCAAGTTATATGGAAAGTGAGACAGTGATGCCAAGATTTACCTGTATTAAAAGACACACTAGCCACCAGATACCAGCTCTTGAATACTTCATATTGCCAATTTGTCAATTGTTTATCCGGGTCAGGTCACTACATGGTGTTAACTATTTTTACTGATTAATTTTTGCTGTTAATTTTGCATGTGACATATGTAAAATTTTGTTTTGTTCTGATTGTGTCAAGAAGAATATTACAGCATTTATTGGTATATGGCCAGTGTCAGTATCGACAATGACATGTAGACACTGAAAGCACACATATTTAAAAAAAATGTTTAAATAAAGTGTAAGTAGTTATCTGAAAACCGTCAGCATTAACCAGTGAGCCGTCGATTTAGTTTTACGAATATTTTTGATGAGGCCGCTAGCTGATTTAATGGTTTTAATGGTGCGGTCTGTTTTGACCTTTTAAAGGTGACGAAGACGCCAAAACACAGACTCCGGCGCACTACTGACAATAAAATTCCAAATCGCAGGATACTGCAGGTACGCGCCCATCTTAGGGCAATCGAATTTGCGCCTCAGCCAAGAAAAGTATTCCCGGCTTGTCAGTCACTAAATAGTGGACTGGAAAGAGATTGGAGTGCCTTAGGGTACTTGATCTGGAGACAACGGGGGAACCACCCCAGACATTGGGTCGTCTAACCCGGTCACTAACAGGGACGATGGGTCCACCCTGGGATGATAGACAGTTAGGCGGGATAGCCTTTCGTGTGAGTGACTGGCACACTATTTGACCCTCAACTAACTGCAAGGGGCTTTGTAGAGCTCAGTTCTTGGTATCCCACTACTCTCCATGACCAGTAACCCAACTCTACATTAATCTGACGGATCATATTCAGCAGTAATGGCAAAGCAACTTTTAAAGCCCATCCTCGACCTCAAATAGAGAGTTTCTTACAATAGCCACGACACAATATATTTATTATTCTGTATTTACGAAAACGAAAAAAACGATTTTTTTTTTCATTCGCCTTTGGATTCCTAGCCGACTCACATTTGGCTGGTCTGTATTATGAAAATGGCATTTTGAAAGTGGTATGGCCACGCAAGTCTTTGCTGATGCACGAACGGGCATTTCCGTCCAGGGAAATACCACGACCTCACAGAAGACTGGCGTGAAGTGGAAGTATAATACTATCGCGTTTCGTCTGTTGAGTGAGGTAGTCGGTGCCAACTTTTTAAAAGGTTGTCAACGCATCTACAAAACCTTTGGGTGTATTAACATAAGATGAACCGCCCGCTCGCTTGGCAACTTTTCACATAAAAAGGCGCATCAAAACATCGATGCACGGGCATATGTCCATTTCAAAAGTCATTTTTAAAACTTAGTTCTTAGAGAAACTTCTTAAATAACATGGCAATGTCCTCACATGGAAGCTTCAATTTTTTTTAAATATTATGCATAAGATGTACATACGTTTTCTTTCCTTTTCACTGTTGAAATAGTCGCATTTTTTTAAAGAATGTTAAAATATGCAAAATAAATATGAGAAAGTCAAATCTAGACAATAACGACTACTAAGACACAATCAGTGCGTCCTGCCAGTCATGACATACGGGGCCGAGACGTGGAACATGACGATGAGGCTGGCCCACCGATTACATGTCGCTCAGCGAGCTATGGAAAGATCTATGCTCGGTATTTCGCTAAGGGATAAAATCCGAAACGAAATTATTCGGCAAAGTTGTCGATATAGTCCGTAAGTGTAGCAAGCTGAAGTGGCAGTGGGCTAGCCACATCTGTCGTAGAAGCGATGAGCGCTGGAGCAGACGGGTTCTCGAATGGAGACCACGTCTCGGAAAACGTAGTGTCGGACGTCCCCCTGCCAGGCGGACCGATGACCTGAGAAAGGTCGCTAGTAGTGGCTGGATGAGGAAAGCGGAAGATCGTACTCTGTGGCGTACTCTTGGGGAGGCCTATGTCCAGCAGTGGACTAGAAAAGGCTGATTGGATTGGATTGGAAGACACAAGAGAACAAGTTCTAAGTTCAGGTATGTATAGATACCTTTACTTGAGTTTTTTGAATCGAACTAAACAGTTCAAATTTTTATACTTTGTAATAATTAAAGAAGATAAAACTATCTTTTTAGTAATTTGCTTCCCTAAGACTTACTTTACTAGACTAGACTAAATTTATGACAGATTTACGATTTGGACGAAATATCGATTTGCTCCCATTCTCACTTCACCGGTTATAGTTGCAAGTGGAGAAAGAAGTTTTCTAAATAAAAAAAAATATAAATTATAGACGATAATTGACACCACCAAGATTATGAGGATTGGTTGTGTTTGCAGCATTTAGATTTTTCAGAACAAAAAGTCAAGGAAATTATTTTACGGCCACGCAACAGTTTTCGCTGTTGCACGAATGGGTAAGTGTTGCATATCTGCCTTTCGTTTGGTGAGTGAGGTAGCCGGGGCCCACATTATTAAGAGGTGGCAACGCATCTGCAACCCTACGGGTGTTGCAAATGTCCATGGGCAGGTGGTTATGACGTAACATCAGGTGAACCACCAGCTCGTTTGCCATTTCCTCACATAAAAAAAAATTGTCAGAAAACGTTTCATTATTTCATACATAAAGTATGATACAGTACATTATTTCTAACATAATGTATGGCTGTGAAATCCACGTAAAACACGAGGTTGAGTTGTGGGTCTCTTGGGATCGTTTTCGTTCGTGTGGAGCGCACATAGCGAAGATACATATTCATTGCAGGCGATCATTACGCGTACAAGTTGAAGAAACTTACAAACGTTGAGGTAACAGTTATTTTATTTTCACAATATACATATACATAACTATAATGCCGATGGAAATCGATTCGAAAATTTCAACAAAACTATCAACATGGTGACTTCCTCTACTGCGAGACTAACTTAGTTAATACTGGCCTTATCGTCAATATAACAGTAAACCGTGCATAATGAAGGAATCAAAGCGCGAAACGCAATATTTTTTTTCTACAAAGTGTCCAATTAGCAAGCGCATGCGCGTCCCGGTCTGCAGAAACACTGGCGGAACGCCCTCCAGTAATTTCGGCAGCGTACGCATAAAGAGTCCTCTTCTGAACACTCGCCTCTGACCCTGGCTGCGCTAGCACCCCTCGTGCCCCCTCCACCCCCCATTACCGCCACCCTGTCGCTGTGCAGCGTTCGATCTTCGCTGCGAGTACGCCTAGTCTTCATATGGAGAGCTTGCAGACGCTTCGCTTGCGCATACAGCTGTGGCAATAGAGCATAGTGTGGGCAGGGCGATAATGATATAAAATATTATAATGTAAAATATTATAATCCTTACTATAATATTATAAACGCGAAAGTTTGTATATATGGATGGATGTTTGTTATTCTATCACGCAAATACTACTGAATGGATTTTATATCAGAATAACACATAGGCTATAATTTATATACATATTTTAATGTATATCTGTCTTTCTGTCTGAATGTTACACCTTCAGCCTATTCTACGCAGACGTAGTCGTGGGCAGCAGCTAGTGAAATAATGAACTCACACGGAACGGATCCTCCAAGTCGTAGGTAGTAAGCCGTTCATTCATCGGCTCGGCGCTTGAAATAAAATCTCGCTGTACGACACTAAAAGGAAACGAAATAAAATATTATTTGTCTGTGCTAATATTACGGTATGAAGTTTGAACAGAATTGGCCTTTATATTGAAATATTTGGAGTTGGTTATAAGATTACCATAAATTATAACGTAAAGAAAAAAAAAAGCCTACAACACGAATGGTGAAAAACATTTCTGCCTCATATGTCCCGTTGCTTTATTGGAGGATCTTGCAGAGGGCGTTTCGTACGTTTACCTTTCCGTGGTGATATTGGGCCGTGGTGATCTTGGCAGCCTGTCGGGCAGCGGTGCTATTTCGAAAAAGTGCGCCCTTGTCACCGCCAGACGCCGGCTGACACCCATCTGCCTGTCTGCCCGCTTCCCTTCCGTGCGGGCCGAGTCGTAATCCCGAACATTCTCCTCCCCCCCGGATATGGGAGCTGTCCCTGTAGTTTTCGTTTGAATTTGCAAACCCACCGCTCCCTCCGTGGGACGGGGCGTCAGCAAGATCTGTTGACGGTATTCATAACTATTATAGTATAGAACGAATTATGGTAGAATAAAAAAATATTGATCGACGTATAGAATAGTTACTGACAAAAGTTTAGAACTTTTCCTCATTAAATTGAGCGAAGGACTAACATTCCTTTCTTAAAATTATTTCGCAACTGCGTCTTGGGATACATGAAATACGTAGTTAAAACCGACCATAAATACCTTTAACACTTATTTCTATTTAATTTTAGATTACCCGATTCACATTATGAATACTTAAATATCATGCTCCCTTTTGATACTGAGGCTTGTAATATGTAATAATCTAAAAGCCCAGCTTTATTATACTTTGCTAATCATCAGGATAACTAATGTTTAAATTAACTAATTACCTTATTTTGTACAACAACTAATTACATTATTACTTCTAGTCCGTCAGTACAGTGGCATTAACTCGAGTAAAGTGTATTACTACGAAATTTTCGGGGCTAACGTCAATTCTCCATTTCCGAAACCAGTTATCAAGGGGATTAGCGGCGTTTTGAAGGCGAGTAGTCATAAGGCCAAGCTATACTAATAGAATAGGGTGGTGTCATTAGCGAAAAGCGCAAGTTCAACACGTGGGTCCTTAATGATATCGCTAATCTAAATAATAAAATGCAAGGGGGAGAGGTAGGAACCTTGAGGAACGCTTGCAGTGAGAGGAAGGTGAGAGAGCCTTTTTATATTATTGCTTCTCCATTACGCCGGTCTTCTGTGAGGTTTCTATATTTCTTTGGCTGAACCATACCGTAATATTCAGTATTCATATTTTTACCTGAACGGTGGGCGATATGTGTCTCGAGGTTATACACGCTTGGAGGTCTGGATCTGTGGCCACAATCTTGTCAGAGACCGAAACAGACCCTGAGGAAACACCCCGAGGCGCTGAGAAGGGTTTCCTTGGGCCCAGAGCGACCGGCGGCACCGGTCGCCTAGCGGCGAAGAGCAAGCTCAGCTCGTCCAATTTATTCATAATTATCTTGTACGTCTTGCATTCATCCGACTGCAATTATGATACAAGTAAAGTAGACAACCATAGATAAGACTGTAGACAACCGACAAATGTCCCATTAATGACCAACGGCCTGTATATAGGGAATTAGGACATAATCCGCCACGCGGCTCATTAAGCATTGGCAGACTTCACATATCTTCGAGTGCCTCTCTATCAGTTTACATTTGTGTTTAAAAAATCGCCTTAGCCAGAGATTTTCAATTATTTTATGAATTTTTGTAATAAATTTAATGAACTTTTTCGGGGGTGTCTTCAAAGCAAGAGTGGCTTTAATCAAGATCTACAGCTGCATAAGGAGGGTTAGCAGTCAAGTATAAGGCTCACCTTTCCAAAAAAAGCTTTCAATCTTCTTCTTCTAAGGAAGAAAATTGTAATGATTCTGACTTCAAAACACTAGCACATACCCGATGCTTGTCTTTTCGACGCTCCCTCGCGCTGCGGCTGCTCGACGTGATGTCGCTCGACTCGACGCTCGACGTAGAGCATTCGGGCTTCGGTCGCTTCGGCTTCGCTCGCTCAGTCTTCGTGCGCTCGGCTTTAGCTCGCTCGGGCTTCGTTCGTTCCGGCTTCGTTCGAGCGGGTTTCACTCGTTCGGTGCGCCTTTCACTGCGTCTGTATTTTCATAAAAATGACTATAATCACAATAATTTATTGTTATATGAGATGTTGGATGCATGCCGCTACCGACCGGTCGAAGTGAAAATCAATGGGGGGAGGCCTATGTTCAGCAGTGGACGTCCTACAGCTGATATGATGATGATGATGAGAAGGTGGTAAGCGAGCTGGCCGTTCATATGATAACCGCCGCCCATGGATATTAGCAACACCCGTAGGGTTGAGATGCGTTACCACCTTATAATAAAGTAAAACCCGGCTACCTCACTGACCAGACGAAAGGCAGAAGTTATGACATTTCCACTTCACGCCAGTCTCCTGTGAGGTGTGTGTTTTTCCACGCTTAAACGCTTCCCTACGGAAAGAACAGATGACTTACTCATTCACTACATTACACATAGATGAGTATTTTCTTGGGCAAGAAATCTTTAAGCGACATCCAGTTGCGGGCAGGGTTGCGTGCTATTCTTACCCACTAAGACAGTCTTCCATGGCGAGCCTACTGTTTGGATGGGGCTCCGGGTTCGAAACCCCTTACTTACGCAGCGTTACATTCTTATTCCTTACTAATATTATAAACGCGAAAGTTTGTATGTATGGATGGATGTTTGTTACTCTTTCACGCAAACACTACTGAATGGATTTTAACGATACTTTACAATAATATAGCTTATACGTCAGAATAACACATAGGCTATAATTTATATTCATATTGTGTGTGTTTATATTCATAATGTTACGCCTTCAGCCTGTTCTAAACGACGTAGTCGCGGGCAGCGGCTAGTGATTTAACAATTGCCTGTCGACTCGCCGCTCGTTGCGCCGCTCGCCCAAACGCTCGCAGAGCTGAGCTACGCGCGCTATCTGCTCCTGTTGTTCGCGCAACGCTCGCTCGCAGGCGGTGCGGAACGCGAGTAGAGACGCAGTGGAGCCACGCGCGCGCGCCGTATCCCTGCATCGATGTGTGGCCGCCTCCCCGCTCACTCGTCTATAACGTTTTCGAACTTATTTTCGGTTTTATGGTGTTGAAGCAACTCAAGGGTTCTATGGCTCGGTATATCTATGGTGGATATACGGAGCCCCTATAGGATTACTTTATTGGACCGACTATTATAAATCCTTTTGCTCGGAAACGAATAATTTAAACCTTAAATGATAAAGTATGTAAAGTTAATTATCTTATACTTATATATAGCTTATACTTGTCCCACTGCTAGGCAAAGGCCTAAAATACATTAAAATTAAAAAATTATATCAAAAATATGATGAAACGCATTCAAAAGATATGACCATATTAAAATGAAAGGAGATCGACATTTTGAGGCAAGTTTATAGTCATCAATTTTTGCGAGCAAAACCTCCTCATACTTTTAACATAATCGGTACACGTGCATTAAGTTATTTCGAAAATTAGAATAAACGAGTTTTCTGGTGTAAGCATATAATTCCAAAACCACGTTAATTCAAGCAGTGAGATAATTTGGCAAGCAAACGACGACCGACGTAGTAGGTAATAACGGAAAAGGTAAACCTGTTCGATCGTTGTCTATGGCGCGCGTTGCTGCCATCCGAGAGGCCCGAGTCGTGGGAGAAACGCTTGACGTGGGGCAGCGTGGCGTTGCCACTGGCGGTGGCCGTCCTACTGCTGCTGTCGCTGCTAGCTTGGCAGTGGGCCGTCTTGCGGCACCGGCCACCAGCGTCTACCACCAGACGCTCTCTGGAAAGTGCACGTACAAAGGGGCCTAAAGGCCATTCGATAGCGCTAGGGCATAGCAGCGGAAGGGCATGGAAGGGCAGACACGTCCGGGGTGGCACCATGGCCTCACAGAAGACCGGCGTGAAGTGGACACAGACATATAGTTAGTTACTTATATAGATCATATCACCATATGAAAAGCTTTACTTGTTTTCATGTAGACAACGCTGAGTAAATGCATCTGCTGAAATATTTATTATTTTCTAAAATTATGGATTACATATTTATAGTTATTTTATTTTATTTGCACTTAAGATGCAACATTAATATTTGTATAAGTAATGACGAAAAGTTTGCTGCGGTCCGAACCCAGGTCTTTCGGATTCACGCCCAGATGCTTAAACCACCAAGTTTAACGGCTGATTATCACAGCTACGAAAATCTCAACGTAATTTGATTTATTGTATTTATTTATTATAACCTTAAATAAAATTACACTAAAATTAAATTGGGCGGCCTTAATGCCTTTACGCATTCTCAACACGGGATGAATAAAATCCACGGTATAAAACAGATGTACGTGATGTAAAAATTTTATCAGATTTCTCTTATATTTATTTGTTAGTGTTAATTTTATTTTATTAAAATCACAAAACGAATGCCAACTTAGGAATTTTTCTTCCCAAATTTAGGGAGAAAAAATTTACAATGGATGTTTCTTAGGAGGTAAATTCCAACCAAAACATCCTAAATGAGAAACATTTCGGAACTTTTGGTTAGTGACTTTCAGTAGTTTTTTTATTTGCTTTAGGTTAGGAGTCAGTGTACCCAAAACATGGAAGCATTATTGTCGCTCCAAAATTTCATAACAACTACTAATACCGTGACGGCGCAGCTTACCTATAAATCGTACCGCGAGACTGTTTTAGGGATGTAGACTTAGTTGAACTAAGAAATAAGTTCATAGTTGTTTGACAGCGCGTGATAACTGTCAGTGACAATTAGGGTACCTACTATTTATTAACAATCACTTGTATGAACGTGCGGCTTTCATGTTTTATTAGCGTTCACTGTTAGGAGTATTTTTTGAACAGTTGGTAACACTGCGTGACAAGCGTTACCGTCTCTCGTGTCTCGGCGAAACTCCGGGGCGGACGGCCGCGCGCATGTAGCGATCCAAGTCGATGATGTCGGCAGCACCCGGTAGTCCTCCGGACCCCGAGGACATTGATGAACGCGCTGACATCGCCCCTCTGGTCTTTGCAAAATAGAGTTTACATCATAATCAATTATGTATTTTTGAATAAATAAATCTTAAAACAATAACGATAATAATTTTTTCACAGTTCACAAGTCAAACTTCGACATGCCTGTGTTTCAGTCTGTCCAATATGTATCTTATTGGGATAACACGACGACAGACATTACCTAATAGAATAAAATTGTTAAGTTTATAATATTGTAATGTAAATTTTTTGCAGCTAAATTATTTGAGCCTGATACGAAACCTCCAAGTTGTTAACGCTTTCAGCGCAGCGCTAAACGTTTTCCTTTCATTTTGCTGAGTGAAGCACTAGCTCCAAAAATAAAAATCAATTTAAAATAAATATATATAATATTTTTGAAAAACATTTTCAAAATTCATAGATCCTTGGGCATATATACTTTATTTTTGTAACATCTATGGCATATTATACAAGGATGTGTTCATCGAAAAACAATGTTTTTCCCAAAAGTTAGCAAAAAACTACATAAAAATTGTTGAGATATAATAAGACGAAGAAACAAAATGAAAAAGATGAAGAAAGTGGTAAGTGGCGCCTTAGGATTCACCTACGTCATCTGTCTTTACAGTATTTTTTTTCGATATTACTATTATATCAATGGCGAATACATCACCCACCTTCGATTTGCCGACGATATAGTCATCATGGCAGAATCGCTGGAGGACCTGGGTGCTATGCTCAATGACCTCAACAGTGTCTCCCAATGGGTGGGCCTTAAGATGAACATGAACAAGACGAAGATCATGTCTAATGTCCATGTCACGCCTATACCGGTTGTTGTTTGGAGCATCAGTGCTCCCAACAACGAGTTGCTCGAAGTTGTTGACGAGTACGTTTACCTAGGACAGTTAGTCCGGCTAGGTAAGTCCAACTTCGACGCAGAGGTCAATCGGCGAATCCAACTCGGATGGGCAGCGTTCGGGAAACTTCGGCAAATCTTCTCGTCGAATATACCTCAATGTTTAAAGACTAAAGTCTTTAATCAATGTGTGTTGCCAGTGATGACCTACGGAACCGAGACGTGGTCCTTCACTGCTGGCCGTATGAGGAAGCTCATAGTCGCTCAGCGAGCTATGGAGCGGGCTATGCTGGGTATTTCTCTGCGTGATAGAGTTCGTAACGAAGACATCCGCAGTAGAACCAAGGTAACCGACATAGCTCAGAGGATTAGCAAGCTGAAGTGGCGATGGGCCGGCCATATAGCTCGTAGAACCGATAACCGTTGGGGAAGAAAGGTTCTCGAGTGGCAGCCTCGTACTGGCCATCGCAGTGTAGGACGACCCCCCACTAGATGGAGTGACGACCTGTGCAAATGTGCGGGAAGTCGATGGATGCAGGTGGCTCAGGATCGTGCTTCATGGCAGTCTGTGGGGGAGGCCTATGTTCAGCAGTGGACTCAAACAGGCTGAAATGATGATGATGATGATTCCTATTAGTAATTAATGTTAACTTTAATAAATAAAAGAGTACGGTTTCATAGCTAACAAATGGTTCAGTTACTACGTTGAGTATTGTTTACAACACTTAATCATGAGGTCACCTCTATAAGGAGAGTTTGCGTGCCGTGATTTTCCAATATTTGTTTTGATAGCGTGGAGTGACGTGACGGCGAGTGTCTCCTCAACAAGGAGCCCTGCCCAGCCGCGGCGTGGAAAGCCATCGCCGCCGCTCCTGTAAATTCCTCATACCGTCAGCTGTCACCCGTCATTTTGATGGTTCATAGATGACGTTTGATTTTAAAACACAAGTTCTCGGCGGTAGCCGAAAGAGTATTTTCTGTGAGTGAAAGTGACACTTCATTATGACATTTTGTATTTGTGTTCTGTTTGATGCTTACCACGGGCAGATAAGTCACCTCGATTATCTATAGATTAAAAAGTATAGTAAAGACCTACAGATACCTATATCTCCTACTGATGGGCACAGGGGCACAGGGTAACACAAGGTTAATACCCTGTATTATATACATTTGTATGTTATATATACCTGGCCTGGGCGGGTGATCCCACCGCGAGTAGGCGAATTTCATATAACATCAAAATATATTTTTTTAATCTCATTTCGAAAATGTGAAGATATCATGGCAATGTTTTCCATCACTGATGAGCATGTCAGAACTTCAAAGTGCAATCAACATTTTTTTTTGACTATGACCCGGAATTAGAATTTGAACTCTACTTGAGTTCAAAAACTGCTAGCGCCCAGATACTATAAGACGCATTGACTAACGGCCTGTTTATAGGGTTCCGTACCCAAAGGATAAACGGGAACCTATTACTAAGACTTCTTTGTCTGTCCGTCTGTCACCAGGCTGTATCTTATGAACCGTGATAGTTAAGGAGTTGAAATTTTCACAGATGCTGTATTTCTGTTGTCGCTATATATAGCAGCAACAGAAATACATACAGGCATATATCACCTCGCTCTGTTGCGACGTGCACGAAGGAAAAACAAACAGACTTTCGCATTTATAACATTGTACACTCCGTCACAACTCTATTCTTAATTCTAATAATCTATAATCGTGTTTACGATTTCTTGTTTATGGTATGGGAAGGCTGCAACGATTGTGATCATTTTATTTGTGCACGTTGCGAGTATATTTTTTATATGTGAAGGTGCCAAACGAGCTGTGCGCTTAACCAGATAATGTGATAACCGTTGCCCAGACATGTGCAACACACAGGTTGTAGATGCGTTGCCACCTTTTTAATAAAGTAGTCCCCGGTTACCACTCACCAGACGAAACGTAGAAGTATAATACTTCAGCCGGTCTTCTGTGAGGTCGTGGTCATTACCCGGATGGACCTGCCCATTCGTGCAACAGCGAAGACGGTTACGTTTCCTACCACAGTTGAGAGTTCTGCCACTTATAGGCATTTCCAACACGTATTTCAGATTGGTCTTCTTGCCAAATTTGGGCGAGCCGATAAGTATGATTGATATAATAATGATGAGGGGTAAAATAAAGCCAAATTCAATGTAAACCAAAATTCATTGCTATTCGAGTTTTTTACAAACCAAAAATACATAACATCTCATGTCACGATCAATGTTTTATTTGACATTGACTTAAATTTATCATATTTATATATCACCAGGTATTTCAGATACGTGAAATCTATGAACACTGATTTCATATATCTGTACAGCGCTAATGGGTATGTATTTATCAACTATATTCGATACAGGAACATTTGTGAATGCGTCCAGACGGAGATTACATGCAAGCCTAGCTTAAACATTATATGGCAAAATTTACATCATGAACATACGAAAAAAGTAGAGGTGCGTCCAATGTTCAGCCGAATATTCATATTCGGTATATTCAGCGTAGTTTTTTTATCTTCGGCCGAATATTAGTATTCGGTTGAACTGATATTAGGCGCAACTCTAAACAAAAGGTACATTGTTTACTAAGCCTCTGAGTATAACTATTGTAGGTACCACTTATGATGGATAATAGGGTAAATAAACCCAAACAAACATAAAAAAAATCTTTCAACTATCAGGTAAAAAAGTATTATTATTACAATAGCCCTTCTATATAACATTGTTACAATTTCAATATACAATACAGCTAGGCTGTTGATGTAATATTGCATAATGACTCAACATCAATATTTGTCATCCGAAACAAACTATGCAACAGTTCATCCAACTATAGAGCATTCCTTATCGATTTCTGCTAATTCCACATTATTTTATATCATTCTTCTATTAATATACAACATAACATATTACATTACAAAAAATACTATAAAAATTTGTTCGTTCATTGTTTACACGGAACTTTAACTAGGTATAAGGAATCATGAATCTAAACATGCCAAATAAATTGAATTCATAACAGTGATTGAAAAAAATACTAAATAATAACAACCGTTGTAATAAATATATTCATTGTTAATATAAAATATATCGCATACATACACAATAGTGAATAAGCAAATAACAATGATATGATAGTAAATTAATATGTAGAGTTTCTAAGATACGCGAAATACGTAATTTTGAGGCATTATAGTGTTTTCGAGTCGTTCGAGTACAGTCCCAAATTTGGGTAATTTATACATATAAGGCACCACAAAACTTAAACACGCCTCCGAATACCTTTGTTTACATGTAGTCGGGTTTTTACAACTCGAGTATAGGTCGCGCCAAGCTTAATGGCATCTGAGAAGTAGGATACATGTTTGTGCATCTAGCGCAGTTACATTATGGTATGGGCATGTGCCATAGACATGTGCAACACACGGGTTGTAGATGCGTTGCCACCTTTTTTATAAAGTAGGCCCCGGTTACCTCACTCACCAAACGAAACGCAGAAGTATAATACTTCAGCCGGTCGTCTGTGAGGTCGTGGTTCTTACCCGGATGGACCTGCCCATCCGTGCCAACAGCGAAGACGTTTACGTGGTCCTACCACAGTTGAGAGTTCTGCCACTTATAGGCATTAGACACTTATAGACTCGACAATTGCAGAGCGTGTCACGTGGAAATAATATTAAAATCCATTGTGCTTTCTATTAAACGTAAATTTTAATAAAAAAAATCTAGATTAGATATCGGGCCTACATTTATTTTAAAAAAATAATACTAGGCTAAGACAATATTTTTTTAGTGTAATATTACTAATATTCTTTATTACAATCCTTGCCTTATTACTCTCGTTCACCCCGCAGTTCAAAACGTCTACTGTCTTGCTTGCACTTCATTTTGACGCTGTTATTCGATTATGTAAACTAAATATTTTCAGATATTTATTGTGATGACTGATGCTTTCGCACTCCAAGGTAATTAAAAACTGCATTCAGCAGGGCAGGATTTAGAGGTCTGGAGGCCTCGGGGCAACAAAGGAGTGGAGGCCCCTTGGCCCCAAATTATTTTCCATTGATTTCTGTTAATATTTAATATAATCATGTTTGTACAAAGTACTGTGGGTAAAAGTAAAACGCGAAAAAAATATGAAAGGTAAAGTTGTGCACTAGTGTTTACTAGTCTGTTTACTAGTTCTCTTGAGGAGGCCACAGGGCAGTAGCCCCGGTTGCCCTCCCCTAAATCCGGCCCTGGCATTCAGGTTTTTTTTTCATACAAGTTTTGCGCTGCCGATATATTTCAACATCATCCCTTTAAGTTACTTTGAGTTAACTGGGTGCGCCTTCAATGTGTTACATAGAAATAAAAAATGCATTTAGAATCGTTATAATAATAAAAATATACAATGTATGTATGTACATAAAGCTACGTACATGCGTTTTACATGAGGCGGCGTTGTAGCAATTTTTTGCCTCTGCAATTAGTTTGCAAAGGACCGCTCCTTTATAAACCAGATATCGATATCACTGGAGAACTGTTCTCACCACTTTCCAAACACTAAACGAGCTCTTACCACGATTTAAAAATTACATTATTAATGATAAAATTAATATCATCAATATTCCGAAAATCACAATTTTTGAAAGCCATTCTTTTTAATGATGTAAGATTAACATATGAACTACATATAAATTACCAATCAAGTATATGTTACAATTATGAAACGTGCCTACTGCACAATCCGATTATATCACTAATAATTGATTTCATTGCCCACGTCGACATGTTTGCACAAACAAACGCTCGCCGTTTATTTCTAATGATAGTTAATGATAATAGCATTAATAATAAATTGGCTTACATCGCCATACGTGATTAATTAAAGGACCCTACATCAAGTGTTAATCTTCTACATTCGGAAGTGTCGATTCAGTTAAGCGACTAATCGACTCAACAGCCAAATGTTTGATCGAATCGCGCCACATACAGCCAAATGTTTGATCAAATCGTACCACTAATTGGACACAAACAATTGTCCCCAACGCATTCCCATCGCTACGCGCGACAGAACGAACAGTCCAACATACGCCTGTGCTATCACGCGGTGGGTGCACGCAAAAACGCCCTTTGCGAACCACCCCTAAGGTCGCAATTCGCGTGCCCATGTTAGCATTCGGCGTCGGCCCTGGGTCACTGGCTGTTCGCTAGCTCGTCCATGCGACACCTACATTGCAAACAAAAATTGTTAATAAAAGAGTTATTATTATATTATTAGTATTATTATTAATTATTAATCGTTGGCAAGTTGTAAGCCATTCATACAAATCCTCTCCTCTTGCACCCAAGGAGGTAGGCAGATACAGACTGCGACATACTTCTGCGTTTCATTTTGTAGGTAGTTGAGGTAGTTTGTAGGTAGTTGAGGCCCGCCTTTATTAAAAGGTGGCAACGTATTTGCAAATAATTTACAAATTTCCATGTCCGTTGCATTGCAACCGACTCGCATCACTCAACCCTTCCGAATCCTTCTCGCATAAACACTCAGAATTTATGTGTATTTATGTATGAACGTCACATTTCAGAACGGTTTAGTTCTTCGTGCATCCATACAATACTACGCAGTATTGTTCATACGCACCTAACTGCCATTTCGGCGACCTCGAGGCTCGGGTAGTCTAGCTCCTTCACAAGGCACAATACGGCGGACAACAGGTTCGAGTTCTGCGAGCAAAGAAATGTATTTGTTATAGTAAACTAGCTTTTCGCCCGCGGCTTCGCTCGCGTTGAAGCTTTTAACAACACTTTTTTTCCAATTAAAAATAGCCTATGTACTTTCTCAGGCTCTAGACTATCTGTGTACCAAATTTCATTTAAATCGGTTCAGTAGTTTTGGAGTGAAAGCGAGACAGAGTTATTTTCGCATTTTCGCCTACACAAGTCCCACAGCTGGGCAAAGGGTTTTCTGTACAGAGGGTTTTAGGGCTCCCAATCGAAAGACGAAAATTCCGTGTTTCGATTGGGAATCAAATTCTCGCCTTCCAAAGTGGAGTTTTTAATTTTGACTCACATGACAGGTCTGACCATGGAGTATTTTTTATTACAACAATACGTGCATATTGTTATTTGTCATTTAGATCATTTTAGAGAAATTAGAAGATGGTGCTAAGCGCTTCCGACTCGTCTAATATAAAATACACAGCAAAATACACTTTTTTTCGATGAATACTACACAGTAAAACTTTTTAACTTTTATGTGTCCGGGAGCTCGCATTTGTACGGTTTCGAAAAAAAAAGTAAGGTAACCTATAAATGTCCCATTGCTAGGCAAAGCCCTCCTCTGTAAAGAGGGTATCAGGGCATAGTCCACCACGCGACTCCATTGCGGATTGGCGATAGAAATAATAATAAAAAAAATATTTTAGCAGCACACCATTTTAATATGGCCAATTTAAATTTAATCGCAATTGGTGTATTGAGTATAAATTACTTACTCTAGTGACGGGTCGTCTTGTGAAGCCGCGGTGCTCAGCCATTACCGCCGAGGGGTACTCCCTGTCTCTTCTCTCTCTTTCCGTCTCCCTTTCTCGCTCCCACTCGCGCGGCTGGTACACTTCCGATCTAAAAACAAATTATTTGTACAAGATAAGATTAGATATTCCAATCGTTTAGGTTTTCACTTATGATTTCATTCATGTCTATCCTTAAACTCGCCCAGCATTTATCGAGACACCGATGATGTACGTGGTGTTCTAAGGGGAAGTGTTCAACAGTGGAGTTCTTACGGCTGATGATGATGATGATGATGATGTCAGTAAGCTTCATCATATACCATGAATACCAATAAGAAAAAAAGAAACCATTAAAAAAATTAAAAGGGCGTATCCCATGTGTCTGCGCTACAGACAGCTTAAATTTCGCATTCGAATACAAACCTAATTATTTCTAGTTAAAATTGTATTAATATAACACCTTCAGAAGCGTTATTTCTTCTTCTTTTTAGGCAGATGTTTTATTTTTTGTCTTAGAAGGTTCTGGGAGCTATTCTAGAGGGTTCTAGACACTCACCTGTCCGCGGTCGACACCGCGCCACCGCAATGCCTCCAGTCGCCGTTTGAAGCGTACGAATACTCCTGAACAATTCACAGAGATGTTACACATAATTTACAATAAGCGGAGAACACAATTATTATTACAAGTCTAACTTACTTAACAGACTTCAAAAGCAGGAGGTTACCAATTAGAGTTGTACCAATTCTTTTTTTAGAGTTGTAGTTTTTTTATGTTTGTTACCTCATAACTTTTGACGGCGTGAATCGATTTCGATGATTCTTTTTTTATTTGAATGCTGGTGCTTCCCATGTGGTTCCATATTAATTTCATTGGTATCGGATCTTTGGCTCCGGAGATACATAGGGAACTCCCGAAAATGAATTGTAAAATGTATACAGAGCGAGATATTTGAAGTCGGTATTGTTTTTCGTTACTAAAAAAAAATGGTTGTTATTTTAAAAAAATACAGTCGAATTGAGAACCATTTCCTTTTAAAGTCGGTTAAAAAGCAATTAAATTATTATAAACGTACCTATTAATACACTTATCGAGTTATACATACGTCAGGAATTTTTTTGACCAGGTTCTCCGCAGTCTTAAACTTAAGTACCTTTTCTAATTTGCTAAACCATTGGCTTTGGCATGGGGGGGGGGGGGGGGTCATGGGTTCGATTCCCACACATTGTGTGACCAAAAGATAATTGCTCCGGATCTGGGTTTTTTTTTCCCAAGGAGGGTTGTCATCATGCCAGTCGTAAAAAATATCATGTTGTGCCGACCCCAAGTTGGTGGGATAACGGCATGAAGATGATGATGTTGTACGTGAATCAACGTCAAAGTTAATGACAAATTGTTTAACGATACCAAACTACGCAAATTCTACACTGCAATTACTCGAGGTGATCGTATATATCATCTGTGCGTGTCCGCGCGTTTGTTTGAGTGTGTGTGCGTATGTAAGTGTTATTTACCTTTACATTATGCGCGGACACGGAATGCCTCAAGGAGGCAGCGTCCGGTGATCGCGGGCCTGTGCGCGTCTGGAAGAAAAAGCCTATAATGACGTATCAAGCTCAAGCAAATACTTACTCAAAGCGCTTCCTACAAATGATTAAGGTGTATGGCAAAATGAGCCTTATTAGCTAATATTACGTTCAACGCAAGGAAAGAAATGAAATGTGATTAGCTACCAAATTAAGTAGTAAATATGTTACCGAATGGTGTTGAATCTATTTATTATAATGTAATTACGATTTGAATGAGTGATGACGCAATCCAAAGAAGCATATATCACATTGTGGCACTAACTTTTCTATTAATTAAACACGGTTAATTGCAAATATTGCCGGTAACTTACATTATTATAGATATTTTAATTATCTCTAAACCGCTAATTATATTGTTAGCACATAGTTGTTCAGGTTGATTTACAGAACATGAAAGAGCGTTGCACGAGAGCTCTCGAGACGGACCGAAGACCTAATAAATTGCTGGAAGTGGCTGGATGCTGAAAGCGGATGACCGCACGTGGTAGAAGACATTAGGAAAGACCTATATCCGGCTGTGGGTTGACGCTGATGATGATTATGGCAACTGTCACAGTAACGGACTGATAACATACAACATACGGCCTTTACGATTTAATTCTTTAAATAATCAGATTCCAAGTCAAATTTCATAACAATGGACTAATAAACATAATTCTAATATAGTTCCAGACGCGCCAGTTTGAGAAAGTACGGACAAACAGGGAACACGAGATTAGATATTACAATATAGAGATATTATAATTTAGAAGTATTTATAATTCTTCTGCAGCTAGGAAACCTCTCGAAGACTCAGCTCAGCTCTCGTTAGAAAACTCAGCTTGCTCGTTTGCCGTCGCTCCCTACCGTGAAATCCAAACAGTCAATAAATACCTCGTAGTGTGAACTGGTCATTGCTGGGTGTTCATATCTCTCGTCCGGTTCCGGCGAGGCGGCACGCCGCGTCGGTGACAGTGGACACGGCTATATGACAGAATACCGTACTTATATTCACGTTAATTAAATTATTTCATTGATATACAGCGTGTCTTTACAATCGCGATAATAAATGAACACACATATAGAGGATACATTTTTAAAATTGTATTAAACATTTACATTCTTTATACATCAATATTTACAGAGTTATTAAATTTTCCATAAAAAAGAACGTTAGAACAGTCTTACGTATAAAACTATAACGTAAAGTTCATTTGTAAAGATCACAAAGCTTAGGAATGGGTCGTATGAATTGGAAAGAGACAAAACATACTGTTAGAAGGAGAGAGCCTAGAGGCCTGTAATGCAACGCTGTGGCAACGAATGAAAAAGTGTCTGAATGTATGAATCGGTCAGTTGTAGTTGTATAGAAAATGTTACAAATTTTGTTTCTTTTTTACTTAATTAGTTTGTTTCAAAAATATTTTTTTAATTATGGATTTTTTTAATGTAACATTTTTTTATGATTATTGGCAAGTAGCGTTAGACGTGTGTTCATTTATTGTCGCGATTGTAAAGACACGCTGTATATGTATAAAAAGAATGTTCCGTTGACAAACGACGAATGGTTGGTACTTTCTTAGTAAATTAAAAAACACACGGTTTAAAAAAAAGTCACTGCAACGCATGCCGGGAGTTATAAAAAAAATTATATGAGGAACAGATGATTTTATAGCAGCAGTGACGGAAATGACTCCATCACGTACCATCTTGTTCATCTCGCATCGTAGAGCATAAATCCTAAGTGCTTAATTCGTCCAAAAATCTAAAACATTCAGATCAAGTGACGTACATCAGAGAATGAATGAAAACTTTTCAAACCCTACAACCGAAAGTAATTCTTTGATTTATGTTATTGCAAATTGTTATTAGATGTTTATAGAGGCTGTTTTAGATGATTTATCATTCGCTAACATTTACAATAACAGCGACACTATATACAATTTGCATAAGCTATACAATAATATGTTATATTTAGATAATATTTACTATTTAACATATACCTGTCAAAAAGCTTTGTTGATTTACTATAATTTTAAACTAAGCAATAAGATTTATACAATCGATATATAATAAATTTACGCGAAGCAAATATTAAAGCATAATTTTTTTTTTCGTTCTAATAAATAAATAGAATATCTTGTATTTAACCCTACGTTATTATCAACTAGTACACATATTATTTTATGTCAAAATTGTCTCTTTATCTTCCCGTCTTACATAATGCAAAAAGGTACCTACTGGAAATCGGTCGCATTACTATTACCTACAATTTTTCCGCCAAATCAAGCATTATATTATTTACATGACTTATTAACACATAGCAATATTAGTATATAATCATCATATATGAATTATTATATAGAATAGTACATTATATAGGGAGTGTTCGCAGCATGAATACTAATCTAGGGCCACTGTAATATATAACCGCTTCAAAATCACAACCCAGTAATAACAGATGTCGCCGTATCATCAAGAAGAAAATTGCAACACGGCAAACTTTGAAAGCTATTTAGTTAATAATTATTTATGTATATATAGGGTTGATATACGCTGTTAAAATTTACCTTACGACTGTACTAGATACCGTGCTACGGCAATATCCTTATCACACGTATGGGTAAAGGCAAAATGGGACAAAACCGCGACTGCATCCCCATCAGCTGCACGATGCGCTGTGGGGCGATAGTCCCTTGCACCAACCTGATGGTTTTCGGAGCGCTGTGGCTCCGTTGGTGGCTCGGTGGCGCCGTCCGCCGAGCTGTCGCTTCCCTGCGCCCCATGTTAGTTGTTAATCGGCGTTTAGCGACGCGTTGTACGGTTATTTGGAGATGATAGATTAAATCCACTATTAGAGGACGCGTTATACGGCGTTAGAGAACGTCCATTGATTGCGTGAGCTTGAAATGAGGGTGTTTCTCGACAATTCACAACGAGCCTAATTTAAAGGGCAGGCGAGGGCTGAATGCATAACTAACGTCATAGTGTTGACTTAGAGAATTTACATTGTTTAATGTGTTATAAACAATTTTTATTAAATAAACAATTACGGGATCAATATACAGGGAGTCGATTTCAAAGTGTAGATTGAGAGGGGAAGGGGGGATGTGCAGGTATAGATGTAGTAGAAATAGGGTAATAGAAAAAGCTCAGAGGATTGTTTAGCTGAAGTGGAAATGTGCGGGCTAAATTGAGCTTGGAGCCGATCCTAGGTGATGTAGGATATATCTCATTTGAGCGAGGGAGAGGGATGTACCATAATACACCTTTCCAAACCTCACCAAGCGAGGTTAATACAATCCAAATGTTATTAATGGGGCGGCCATATTCGAACTTGTACTTCTTTCGAACTCGTGGAAGTTTTGATTTTTTTTTCACTCAGGATTGTGTTTGATATTTCAGACAAAAAGAAGTTATTTAATTGAAACATTATTTACAACAAAAAAAAAAACTACTGTATCGGGCCATGGATGATTCTTTAAGATTTCGACTAAATACAATAATTTTCATATGATGGTTAGATAAGATCACTCAGATGATGAAAATCTCCATTTTTTTAAATATTTCCTTATAATTTTTTGACGTAATGTGATTCCATACGCTACGCTGATTCTTTTGTGAGATAGTTATTTACTAAAATTTAAGAAAACCATTCCAATAGAAAAATTCTCTCAATTCGAGCTCACAACAATTATCAATGGGTCAAACGCATCGAGAAAGCAGTCTGTGAAACCCATGGAATTGATGGAAATAAATAATAAAAACACAAGGTTACCACCACTGCATTTAGTTATAGAAACAAAAGAAATAAGGTAATTTAATGGTACGCCATATAACAATAAATAAACATATCAATATTTTACTGTAATACTCAAATTAATAAATAAATTTAAACTTATATATAAGTGAATGCATAACAATCGTAGTATTGTTATTATATTTAAATATAAAATAATAAACACAAATATCATTTTCATGCAACATATGGCAGATACATTAAATAATGACAGCAGACATTCATTTACATTACACATATCATGCGACACGAAACAATCAAAACAATACTTAAAAATGAAAATAAACCTTTTGCTTAACGCAACTGATTCCATTTCTGCTTTTCTCTATTTTGCACACCGTTTTCTTAAACACGAAAATAAAACATTGTATTGGCGAAAACAAGGGATTCGAATAATTATGAAACACAAGCAAAACACAAGGCAGACAAAGTAAATAATAAAAACAATCATATCTGCAATCACAATCAATAATGTTAAGGGATTTTGAAAGCTCCTAGACATTTGGTCAGCCAAGTAGCAATATAACTAAGAAAAATTGATGTCAACACGACGTCTATGCAAAAAATATAACTTAGGAAAGAACCTTTACAAGGTTATTCCTCATTCGTTCTTACATTCAAATCGTACTACAAAAATCATTCAGACATTCTTTCAATCCTGGAATTAATGAATTAATTAATGTCTTCAATTCCCAATTCTTCAAGCTTAAAATTGTACGATGCAAAGGACGATGTCAACATATTACTTTTTTGCTTTCATTGAAATTTAAAAAAAAATGTTATCATTTTTGTAATATTATTTTCCATTGTTTCTCTATCTTGCTTCTTAACAGTTTCTTGACATATATTCTGATGACTCGATGGCGTAATTACAATTATATACTTATGGGACGATGTATTTGTATGAACCACATAATTGTTCCCGGTGTTTATTTCCGAGGAGGGTTGACGTCGGACAGGCGGCCAGTTTTAAAAAAAAACCCAGCCTGACCCACAAAGGTGGGATAGAGAGAGCAGAAACGAACAGAAGGACAGTTTGAATTTTATTATGCATCAGTGTAAATCACCTGTTCGAGCCTTTGCGCGGGTCTTCCGTAGTTATATGGTTCCGGCTCGCGTTCTGGACTAGACTCACACGACCTCTGCCTACGATACTGGCCGTATGTCTCCTGCTGACGTATAAACTCGAATGTAATTAAGAGTAAAAAAAAATCTATTTGGCTTTGTTGTTTTTAAAAATATATAATTGTAGTTTGGTGCGAAACCAGAGTTTTCTTTTAAATATCACTTTCTCGTTGTTTGATTACAATCGACCATCTAAATAGAAGTCAGATGGTACTTGGATAGTAAAGATTAAGCTTAAAACACTTGTTAAATGTAAGCATCGTAATTGTATGTATGTGATTCATAGTATCGAAACCAGAAACTTGGGCTACGCTCGAGCTAATGAAAGTACAACGGCCAATTTACTGATATATCTGAAAATATTTGTATTACGGCCAAATCTTTGTGTAAATTAAACATTGGAACAAAAATTCATTCGTTTATCGACAACATATTTGTTTATAAGTGAGAAGGTGGCGAGCGAGCTAGCGGTAATCCTAGTGTTAAGTAATAACCCATTGGCATTTTCAATACCCGTAGGTTTGCAGATGCGTTGCCACCTTTTAATAAAGTGGGCCCCGGCTACCTCACTCGCCAGACGAAACGCAGGAGTGCGACACTTGCACTTCGCGCCCGTGATCTGTGAGGTCGTGGCGCTTGCCCGGCCGGAACCGCCCATATGCAAATATTACAGAAAAGTAATTAAGTTTCACGCACCTGTTGTGGGTACCCTTCGTCGTCTGAGTCGGGTATGTGGGCGCCTCGTCGCATCGCTTCTTGCACCTGGAAGCAAGCGATTCACAATATTTTAGCGCTATTAATCTATTTATAACGTATATAGGCCTAACACTACTTTCATATGTATATCTTTGTTGATATATAATTCCTCTGTACGTGTGTATGCCATTGAACTCCCCCTAAACGGCTGGACCGATTTTAATGAAATTTTTTGTGTGTCTTCAGGTCGTTTCTAGAATGGTTTAGATCCACAATCCGATTTTTTTTATTTTTTTTTTTATTTATAAGTTGTCGGATTTTTAGAAGTTGTCGGACAGGACAACGTCAGTCGGGTCTGCTAGTTAATGTATATATGTATACCGGAGGTGCACAATAGGGTACCTCTTCTATACATAATTTTCTATATATATAGTAGAGTTTTCAACGGATAATTGACTCATCACGATATCTCAGGAACCACAAGGCAGGAAATTTGGCAGGAATGTTCCTTTCTCTGAGTAGAGGTCAGCTAAGAACGGGTTTTACGAAATTCCACAAAACAATGTTTGCCGGATCAGGTAGTAAATAAGTAGTAGTTGTAGTAGTAGTACTAGTAACAAAACATAAAGACATCGTGTCATGCACGGGGCGAAAGTATTGACAACTTTTATGCACCGCAATAAATAGTGCATTACTAAAGCCACATAAGTTTAGTGTCAGTGACAGTTTTAAGGCGTATAATCTTCATATATAGCGTTATCGCAATATAGTAATGAGCTCACTAGAGTTGAGTGAGTGTTATGCATCGTAGGCTAGCCAAAGTAGCGATATTCATATTTGAGGAGGCTGAAAAGACAGCGATAGGAGAGAGATTTTGTACAAATTCGTTATGGGCAACAAATATTTATAAGGCTGTACAATCGCCTTCTACTTTTGTATTGCAATAATAGCAGGATATTTGTACTATAAGTACAGTATATAGTAACAGTAATGATTAGAAGTTACTGTAACAAGCCCGACATTCAAATGACGTTGCTATTAGCAGACACGTTGAAATAAATATAATGAAACTAGATAAGTGAAGATTTAAGTAAAAAGGAATTTTGATATCAAATATTTACTCCCAGTTTTATGATAGTGCATCAACGGGGTACCTAAACTATTTACAAGGTAGATAAAGTTTCCCTATCGAAATGCGGAACTGTCTTTTCGAAAGTAGGTACGCTTACAGCTTTATTTCTCAAACGCAGAAATGCTTAATGATGGGGTCGATATACTCGGTATACTCTAAAATAAGAGATATACACATATATGAAGGTTCTTAATGTTAATAAAAAGGCAAAGGAACAACAATGTTGTACAACTGTCCCCGATATAAGAACAAAATAGTTGCGTACTCTGCGAAGCATCAACTACATAGCATGAAACAAAGTCGTCCCGCTGTCTATCTGTTTCTATGTATGCTTAGATCTTTAAAACTACGCAAAGAATCTTGATGCGGTTTTTTTACTAGATAGAGTGATTCAAAAGGAAGGTTTATATGTATAATACATTACACCCATGCGAAGACTTTGCTCGTAGAACCACGAAGTAGACGTTTCAAATGTAGTCGAACCACGCAACAACTTCCGCTGTTGCATAAATGAGCAGGTTTGTCCGGCGAAGAGCCATGGCCTCACGGTAGACCAGCGTAAAGAGCAAGTATTATACTTTCGCGTTTCACCTGTTGAGTAACCGAGGCCCATTTTTTTAACGATTGGCAACGCATCTACAAACTAATATTTTAGACGACCATTGGCGGCGGTAATCACTACACATAAGGTGAGCAGCCTGCTCCCTTGCCATCTTGTCACATAAGAAAAAAGTAAGAACGGTCTAATTTGAGTGCCTTTCCATCGTCTTCAGACAACATCAAAATTAACCAGGTGGTAAAGTTGTCAAGCTCTAAGCACTTGATACTATAACTGTTAAAAATGATGTGATAGGAAAAAATCTGTTATACCTCCTCGGGCTGAACGAGCACATTGTCCAGTTTCTCTAGATTTGGCAAATTCCTGAGCACCGTCATTCTGTATCTGAAATACAAAGTCATAATTATGAGGCGCGCTTTAAACTGTATAACTCATACAACAATTGCTAATTATTTTTAATTTGCTTATTGTGTCCCAACAAATGGTCACAACATTCACTAAAGATGACGGACTAGTTTTTCTTCCAATATTTCAGCAATTATTTATATATCATATATTATTTATATATATATATATATATATTATTATTTATATATAATATACCTGAAAAAATTTGTAATATAACATTTGAGTTTAACAACATTTAAGTTGAGAAACTTAATTGCGATCGTTATCATTCACAGAAATCTTTATTCCACTAGTAGGTTTAACCTTAACTTATTTATACTGAAATGTAAAATATCATTACCCTGTATCGTAAGGACGTTTTATACGCATACATTTAACGTTTCATCGTGACACTTACTCTGGATGCTGCGTGCAGGGGTTCTCATCGAGCCACAGGCTCGTGAGGTCCGGCAGGTGTCGAAGATGGCGGATCTCCGCCAGGTCGCGGATCTCGTTCTTTCGCACGTACAATTCGCGCAGCCGCCGACATCCCGCGAAGTCGCCTAGTGTGCGGATTTTGTTGATGCTGAAGAATGAAAAGAGCAGTTTGGCTAAATGACAAAATGTATTATAATAGGCTAATTAATATTTGGAATGTAACACATATTACGTCATGGAGCGAGACAGACCATCAGTAGAACGGCTCGTTCGTTTGGAACCTTCTCTTATACAAAAAGTTTAAAGCCTTTGCAGATTGCAGGGCCATGCAACAGTATTCACTAGTGCTATGGCAGGTCCGGCGTGATATGGAATTGTTATGCTTCTACGTTTCATTTGGTAACTGTAGTAGCCGGGGTCCACTTTATTTAAAGGTGACACCAAGGTGACTCGCATTTGCAAGCCTACAGCTAATGTAAATATCCATCTTTTACATTAGGTGATCCGCCAGCTCACTTGCCATCTTTTACATAAAAAAAATCCTCTGGATAAGTGTGTCGGAAAGCTTAAATTATTTAAATATAAGTACCCGGAGGTTTGTTTTTTTTTTGGTAAATCGTGTATTTTGGAAATTACATTTAGATACAAATTAGTGAGTATTAAAATATGCATAATATTTTTCGATCTTATCGACGTAATAATAAGAAAATATGAACTGATGTTTTTCACAAAAGAGGGAACTTTAAAAAAAAGGGAAAAAATAACAAAATAACAAATCGACAAAAAAATTAAAAATAAAGAAAGCAATGATCTCGAATCGAAAAAAAAGTAAAAAATTAAATGTGTAAATGATCGCGACGCGAACCACGGCCGTCTGTTTTGGGGCCGCCCGATTACCGACCGAGCTATTATGACATTTTCTCTTGCGGCGAAATTTACCGTCATATTCGAATTATATTTTTCATTCCCTGAAAACAGGGATAAAAGGACATTTTCTAAAAATGAAACCTAGCTAGATCGATTTTTCACCCCCGAATCTACGCACATACTAAATTTCATGAAAATCGCTGTAGCCGTTTCCGAGATTCCGATTATATATATATATATATATATATATATATATATATATATATATATATATATATATATATATATATATATATATATATATATATATATATATATATACAAGAATTGCTCGTTTAAAGGATAAGAAACGCAATGTCTTTTCGTCATCAACTATAAGAATGATTGAATGTTACATTCGCTCATGCTAGTTGACTGGGTATGAACTATGAACTCAATAAGCTGTTTAAGATTAATGGGGTAATTAACAGGTTAATGTTCCGTAGAACAGTGACAATAAACCCTCGTAGACAGGATACGAACTAAGCGATCGATAACTACGACCTGAGTAGTGGAATCCGTGCCGTTGGCATTAGGCAAGTGCAACGCGGCTGACTGCCGTCTAGACACATTCGAGGGGAGTTTTCTTACCTTCCTTAAAAGGTTGTCTCTTATAAAATTCAGTCTAAAAAGATTTAATAGAGAATGCAAGCCGCAATATCTGGCTCTGAGAGAGAGCACTGAAATAGAAAGCAATCGATAGATAATCACCTCGCACTGTATCAGATTCAGAAAGTGAGTAACCACTGCTTACATTCTAGACTCGTGGAGATCGTATATATTTAACACAAAGTTGTAAAGAAATAAAACTCAACTGAAATTAAGACTTATTAAATTAATTCGTTTAGTTATTAAACGTGTTATTTGTATTGACGAAAACTTCGAGAGAAATTTATTGCACAATAAATTTTATTGCCTTTGTTTGTTGAGTTTAATATTAATACTTTCTTTAATTAAAAAAGACTATCAAATTCATACTGGCTATAATGCTGTACTATGGAGGCACGAAAACATAATGATTTGCGAAATGTGCGCAGCTTTTCGTGAACCCATCTACCGTCTAGACTGGCTTAATTTCAGCGCGAGAAAAGGCTTTTGAACTCTTCTCGACGTCTACGTATCGTAAACCCACCGAGAATTTACGAGTTCGGCTTTCGCCAAAAATAGCCGAGGGTAAATAGCAAATGATACTTTATTTGCACAGTATTATTCCTTCACAATTTTCTTTCTTAGCATCCTTGCCAATTGAAGGAAAATAGCTAGCGTCATCCCTTATATTCAACAAAAAGCTCTAAAGGATATGACTAATATCGGGGTGGGTAGAAAAATAAATAAATAAATATTTCAGAAAATATTTTAAATATCGTTATGTAGTCCCAAACTAAACAAAGCTCGTTCTGTAGACAAAAGATAACTGATCAACAAACTTTAATTTTGTAAATAAATACATATAACATATATAAACACCCAGACACTAGGAAACACTATGTTCATAACACAATATTCTTCCAGTAACGGGATCGAACCCACAACCTCTGGCGCAACAGACAGGTCCACTATCCACTACGCCTATGGGCTCGTCTGGACGCGAGAGTTAATATTCTCCTAGTTTCCTCAAACTTATTTTATTTGAAAAGTGGTGAGCCATTTTCTACTGGAGAAAAGGGGCAAACGAGCAGGAGGCTCACCTGATTTCTGCTGTCGCATTAAAATGCAGGCTCTTAGAGAGAAATACGATGCATCCAAAGCCCATAGGTATTGTAGAAGCCCATGGGTGGCGATAATCAATTAATATCAAGTGAGTCGAGATCTCACTTGGTACTTACGTTTATAAAAGTAAACTAGAAACAAACGTTCAGAAGGAGATTAAGAAATCGGAAAGGTCGACTTTAAGATCGCAAGTTCACCGTTTAATAATAATTACGTAGCAAGACGAAAAAGAAATTATCAGGCACAGCTGACTTTCAACCGACTTCAAAAAAGGAGGAGGTTCTCAATTCGACTGTATTTTTTTATGTTTTTTCTGTACCTCAGAAATTTCGACTGAGTGAACGGATTTTGAGGATTCTTTTTTTTTATTTGAAAGCTGGTGCTTCCCATGTGGTCCCATAATTTCATTGGTATTGGATCTTGAGCTCCGTACATACTTAGGGAATTCCTGAAAATCAATTATAAATTGAATACAGAGCGAGATATTTGAAGTCGGCTTTGTTTTTCGTTAATGAAAAAATGGACTTTTAATTCAAATCAAATGTTCATAATTAATTTTTATTACAACTTATCTCTCGTTTTTTACTTCACATTTTTATTACTCGTTTGGAACAGTTGCTTAACTATCGGTTTCGACATCACCGACTGCTGGTTCGATTCCCATAAGCGAATATAGTTATACTAGCTGACCCGGCAAACGTTGTTTTGCCATATAAATTAATTGTAGGGTAGAAAAAATTTTTAGGGGTGAATCACCCTTAACATTTAGGGGGATGAAAAATATATGTTTTCCGATTCTCCACCCTGGCCGATATGCACCCAAAATTTCAAGAAAATCGGTGGAGTCGTTTCGGAGGAGTTTAATTACAAACACCGTGACACGAGAATTTAATATATTAGATAATACACGTTCCAAACCAGGAAACTTGTCCATGTGAAATTTGTGTATGTAATATTTGTATATATAATCATTATTAGTAATAGTTAATTCAACAAAATAAATAATATCATTTTATCATTTTGTACAAAATAGATACTGAAGCGTTTCCAATAGTGCCAAAGCCGGTGATCACATTGAACTTCATAATAAAATTACAAGAGAATAAAACACAAGTTCTTGTCCCTTGTGGGAATCGAACCCAAGACCTTCGCAAGTCATAGACTGTTGCGATCTCTAATCGAATATTGACGGTGAGGATTTAGGTGCCCCTGATTTATTTGCTTGGAAAAGTGAAGAACTAGATAGCAGATAATAAAGTCCACGAGGAGTGGAAATTCATGATCTTGGCCTACCTCCCTGGTGGGGAGTCGTGAATTATTAAGCATGTATGAGAAGAATTAAAAATAATGTGTAATTAATAAATCCAGTGAAACGAAGTCCAAGCCACGTCTATCTAGTACTTGTAGTGAAAACGCGTGAAGGCCCGACTTCCGAGGGAATTTTAACCGTCTGCAACGTTGGAGGCCGACGTATTGGCCAACGGAGCGCTGCCGGTGCGCGGTCTGGTAAGTTGGGGCCACGTTCTGTTTGGGTGCGGCCTTGCGGGGCGACGCAATCGAGGAAACGGCTTCTAATCGATCCTGGCTATATAGCCTTTAATATTATAGGGTTATTTTTAGACGAAGTACATACTTTGACATAATGTTAATTGAACATTCCATAATCCAAAAAAAATATTAAGATTTTATTTTGACAAGTAATAACCACAATAATGTCAATTCAAACATTGTTTGATTATACCGTTAAGAGTGGTCACCCTATTGTATTTAATGTATGCGCGTGTGTACTATGCGCGCAAAACTTAAGCGTGTAGTTCGTCCAGGACATTGCGCGGTTCAACTGATAGTCCACCATCGTTGTCAATGTACGCATGTCCACATGTGCGACTCTATCTATCATGCTCGAGCATATTTAGGCTTTCCACAGTTGTTTTGTTCGATATTTATATACTCGACGGACTGAAAGAAAGCATTAACATCAATGATGACTCCGTGACCATCAGATGTCAAGTTGCCAAGGTATTTTTTTTTCAACATTGCCCTCACTTTAGGATAACATTATCCTGTGTTGTAAAAACGTTTTACAAACAAAAATTGCAAGAGGAAAAATACCCAGATGCGAAACAACTATCTGTGGGTCGCACAAATAGTTGTCCCGTGTGGGAATCGAACCCACGACCCCCGACGCCGAAGCCAATACCTTGGCAACTGCGCCACGGAATCATCAAGCAATCTATTTGTTTGACCCAAAATAATTCTTTCGCATCTGGGTGTATGTATAATTATGTTAAACGTTCTTAAAACAGGATAATGATATCCTATAGTAAGAGTGCAATGTCTTCGAAGGGAAGACTACATCTGTCTAGATCGCAGTGGCCGTTAGGATTTACTACCCAACCCCTTCCACACAAAAATATAAACATCAACCACAATTTAATTGCGAGGGTCCATTCTCATCGTATTTCCGTCATGTTCGCGCCGTTCTCTCGATCCTAGTTCGTGTGTAGTAAGGAACAGTTGTCCTATTTCACT